CACATCTTTTCACCAGAGTTCTTCAACTCCATTACCAGCTGGCTGACCGAGTCCGTCCAAGTCGACCAGGTGGATCATCTGGTGGGCATGGACGCTGACACCATCTTTGACAAGCACTGTGTGGCCCAGCTGCTCAAGGAGTCCAAGTATCCCAATACCGTGGGCGTCTGTGGATTTGTGGCCGTCGACTTTTCGGGTGGCAACTGGAACATCTGGCGCCTGTACCAAAACGCCGAGTACACCATTGCGCAGTGCCTGCGGCGTCTCCATCAGTCCATGGTCACCAAGAAGGTCTCGTGTCTGCCTGGCTGCTGCCAGCTGCTCAAGATCTGCGAGTACACGTGTGGCGACAAGGTCCTGGTGGATCTGTTCGGATACCACCCTGCTCCCATGGATGGCATGCTCAAGCAGATCCGGGCGACGGCGTCGGAAGACCGCAATCATGTGAGTGACACTCAAGGACGCCACTGAGGTACCACAGTCCACTAACAGATACAAAAGGTCTGTCTGATGCTCACGACCCATCCGGAAGCGCAGACTCGCCAGGCCCTGCGAGCGCATGCATATACGGACGTGCCCAAGACATGGAGCGTCTTCCTATCGCAGCGTCGACGCTGGACACTGGGCGCGACGAGCAACGACCTCCTACTCATGGTGTCACGACACTGCCAGTGGTTCGAGCGCATCCTTGCGCTCTGTAACGTCCTGGTCTGGTGCCTCTGCGCGTTCATCGTGGCGGCGATTGGCTGCATGATTGTGGCCTTCATGTCCCAGCCGTGGTGGATCATCCTGGCTTTTGCGAGCGTCATGATCATCCCGCTCCTCTACTACATTATGATTGCGGTGTGGCACCCGCGTAACATGCGCGAGCGCGTGCAGTACCTCGCCGGGCTGGCCATCTTTGTCATCTGCGGGCCGTTCCTCAACATCTTTGTCATGCTCTTTGCTGTCTGGAACATGGACAGCTTCGGCTGGGGCAAGACGCGTCTCGTGGTAGCCGAGGAGGTCAAGGAGAAGATGGCGGCGGACAACAATAGCCCCAACAACAATAACAGCCATAACAGCGATTCTGGACCCGGCTCTTCGGGCGCCGGCACCGGAAATGCACTGAACGAAAAGACGACGGCCCCTGCCTCCGCACCGCAGCCTTTGCTGACCGGCCGGCCGCGTGATGAAGAGGCTGCACTGGACACGCTCTTCGCAAGGCCGCGAGCAGCGCATGCACCAGTGACATCACCCGCACCCGTGGCCGCACGATAACCCGAGACGGGGCATACGAGTTTTTGAAATGCGGAAGAGCCCTTGGACGTATCACAACTTGGGGGTCGTTGTTTGTGTTTGTGTTTGCGTTGCACAGAAAATGTACGGAAATAGTAATGGATTTTAGAAAGACCCGAAGATATAGAGTTCGTGTTCACCACGCACCTGCTGGTGATGGTTATGATTTTATCGTGAGATGGTTTTTTGTCTCGGTGAGGCATCTGGGGATAGTGTCCGTGTCTTGTGATTCGCCGGATTCGCTGGCGGCCGCCCAAACGGGTAATTGAGCCAGCGTGCTGCTACAGTGGCCTCTCTGGCACTTTGCTCAGGACACGACACGTGCGACAATGTGTTGCGTTTCTCGCGAGATGTCATTGTGCGGGATTGGACGTATTGGCATGGCTTGAGCGCCCTTTCGTCTTGGACCTTGCATAAGCCCAGGCACTCTATTCAAGTCTGGTAGCGAGCCATCCAGATCCCCTTCTCCAAGAAATCTTCCTTTGCAATTGTTCTCTGAGGGACAGGCAGGGGCTGGAACAAATTGACACAGGGTGGAGAAGATGGAGTTGGGGGTGCGGGAGAGACAAAGAAAGGCTCCGACCAACTAATTTAGCGCAGCTTTGAATAAGTGTCACGAACAGGGGTCGAGGCTCCAGCTTTCAAAGTCATCCAGTAGTGCCCTTATTTGAGTGTCACGAAGAAAAGAGACATTAATGTCGATCTGCGCACGCCTAAACTCCGCTTGACGTAACTCGTAGTCGAGACATGGACCTCTTCCTATTGCCAATCACCGACACGGGTAGCACAGCGTCAGTTGTACTTGCTCAAGGGCAATTGATTCTCTTCCGATCTCGTATTCAAGTAGTCGTTGGAAGAGCCTTCGGGATATGCAGGTCCCGGTGCGCGGCTGGGGCCTGTTGTGCACTCGCTCGCTGCATGTCTCGACAGAATTGGCTGAAGAACCAGGTGAGCACAGCTGCTCCTCCATGGCTTGGATTGTGCAAACGTTCAAGCATAGTGAGGCTGCGGTATGCGAAGCACGAGAAGTACGCAGGTCGACACAGCCTTCGTCGATCACTTCGGGGGGCTGCGTGGGGAAGAAGCACAAAGCAGACAGGGAGTGTGCAGAAAAGATGCCGCTCTACGACTACCTGACCTAGCTGCCTATGCCTTATAGGTGCCTATACGACCTGCACGCCTTGCTTACGTGTCTTGGCTTTCATTTTCCCTCCCAGCAATGCGTGGACTAGTTGTGCACTGACCTATAGGTCAGTGCATGATGGGGTAGACTATTCTCGTGCTATTTCTGATTTTCTTCCCCATGTCTCCTTGAGCCTATTGTCCACAACAAGGTGGCGTGGCCCTTGCTCGGCCGACGTTGCAATTCATGGCGTCCATGCAGCAGTAGCCTCGCCTCCTCGTGGCCTGCACTGGACGTGCGTGAATACGATCCATGCCAGCGGGGTTGAGCTGCGTGGCGTCTTGATTTCCTCCATTCATTCTCGGGGTATCAGTGCGTAATGAAATATACGTAGATCCTGGCAAATGCAGACCGGCGCTGATCTCGGCCGTAGCTTGCATTTCATGGGCAGTTCCGAATGGTCAATTATCGTCGTGTCGTGAGCTGAATGATCAAATCTGACCATCCATCCACCTTTTCCCTTCTTCCCCGTCCTTGTTTCTTTCATCCACCAAGGAAGCAGCTGAAAGGCACACGTTCTCCCCATTCCTCGTGCCATTGCGCTCTTGGTCCTGCTGTGTGATCAGTGTCCTCGATACACGCAGCACAAACCCCTTCCAAAACGGTATCACCACACTCGTCACCCTCGCTTACTCGCCGAGTAGCTTGTACCAAGGTTCCTAAACATGCGGTACTCCATGATCATCGTTGCGGCCTCGCTCGCCTCCAGTGTTCTCGGCAGCCCAAGGTTGCTCGCCAAGAGAACAACCTGTGGCCAAGGCCTTGGTGGTTGCGCTCCAGGTGAATGCTGCTCAGAAGGCGGTTACTGTGGTACGGCTACGGACTACTGCAAGAGCCCAGCCTGTCAGATTCCGTACAGTGATGGCAATTGCGACGCTGAGTGAGTTTGAACACGCCAGGTTACCTGGCTGGGAGGGGGTTGGATCGTGCTGCTGACGATGGCTATAGTGAGAAGCCTTGCGGTGCCTCAACTGAGGACTACCCGCGCACCAAGGCGGGATCTGCACCTTATGGTATGTCATTCCAAAATTACGGACACTTGGTAGCCTCGGGAGTAGCCGTGCTGACTCCATAAGACACAATCATCAAGTCGTGCACAGAACCCAACGTCGTGGCACTCACCTTTGACGACGGCCCGTACCTGTACACGTCCAGCCTCCTCGACACGCTGCGCGAGCAGAATGTCAAGGCCACCTTCTTTATCAACGGCAACAACAATGGCAAGGGCCGCATTGACGACCCGGCAAACCCATGGGCTGCCATCATACAGCGTACCTATGCCGAGGGCCACCAGATCGCCTCGCACACATGGACACACGAGGATCTCAGCCTGGCCGACAGCGACCGCCGCACAAAGGAGATTGTCTACAATGAAATGGCCCTCCGCAACATCCTCGGCTTCTTCCCCACCTACATGCGCCCGCCTCGTGGCAGCTGCACGCGCGCCTCTGGCAGTCTGGACCGCCTCACGGAACTGGGCTACCACATTGTCAACTGGGACCTCGACACCAAGGACTATTTGAACGACAGCCCTGACGCCATTCAGAAGAGCAAGGACCTCTTTGACGAAGGCTTCAACGGCACTGCGTCGCCGATTGTGCTTTCGCATGATACCCATGAGCAGACGGTCGTCACGTTGGTGGAGTACATGATCAGCGCCGTCAAGGCCAAGGGCTTCAACCTTGTGACGGTCGGCGAGTGCCTGGGTGACGACGAGGCCAACTGGTACACACAGGCGCCTGCCAGTGAGTGCCGCTTGTCCTCTTAACAGCGACTGTGCGTTTGAAGCGGCTGACTTTGGTTTGAAGGCTCAGAGTGCTCCATTCCGGGAGGAAATCCGGAGACAACCCCAGGGGATGATGGCAACAACGACGGCGACCTTGCGCCCTCCAAGGATGGTACCTGCGGAGAGCGTAGCCAGGGCAAGTATACGTGCAAGGGCTCTGACTACGGTGACTGTTGTTCCTACAACGGCTTTTGGTGAGATACACCCCTCCCCTTGCTCTACGAGACGCGCATGGGTGGAATAGCCACGAATGCTCACACCCACGCAGCGGCGGGACCTCTGGATACTGTGACGGCGGCTGCCAGACGGACTTTGGCAGCTGCAACAAGTATGAGTGCGGCGACGACCTCATCGTCTCGGAGAACGGCCTCTGTGGCAGCGATACCTTTCAAACCTGCTTGGGATCAGTGTATGGCAACTGCTGCTCCAAGCATGGCAACTGGTACGTGAAACTTTGTGTTCTGGTACTTACAGACGTATATTGACTTGCTGAAAGTGGCGAAACCGAGGCCTACTGTGCTTCCGACGATGGCTGTCAGGTGGAATGGGGCCAATGTTCCTGAGAGACGATGATGAGATCTACTCATGCACCGATGGGTTCGTGAGAGTCTTACGGGTTTGTTTAATATTCTTATAGTCGACGGTAATGAGCGAATACGGTATCACAAGTTTCCACACGCTGTCCAGCTTCACTCGCGGCTCATGTTTCCCACCCGAATCCGAGTCAGTGTCTCTCGGAACATTTCTAGGCCCCTAGCCTTTCAATTGCGAGATCTGTCTCTCCTTCTTCTCCTTCTCAGCCCTTTCGCGCCTCTGCTCATACAACCGGCCAAGTTTGCCCCTGTAGCGCCACAACGTCCACAGCAACGCTGTCAGGAACGTGATGGGAATGGCAAAGGCCCAGTAAATCCAGAACTTCCCCGACATCATCCACTCGCCGCCATTCGAGGAAGAGAACGTGGTCGAGAAGATGGCCGCCACAAACGTGGCGGGCAGAAACAGGAGCGTCACAAAGGCCACCGTCTTCATGGCGTCGCTGTCCGCCTTGGTGACCTTGTTGAACTCGAGCTGGATCTGGTTGGTCAGCCGTTCCTTGTTGGCCATGGCCCGGCCCAGGGTCGATTCGAAGAAGTTCTCATAGTACCGGAACTTTTCTTCGTTGTGGTAAAACGCACTGCGCCTGTCCCTTTCTGCGTTCTTCCCATCTGTCAGGGCCTTGACAGCAGCTAGGCCGGACGCTTCAAGTTGCGCAATGTCGTGGCCCTGGGTGTCTGCAGTCTCGTTCCCCAGGACGCTGTCTCGCTGTGCTTTGGCTCGGGCCCAATCAGCCTGGTCAAGAATGTGACGTTGCTCCTCAGTCTCCTCTGTGTGCACTTGGGCGAAGCGAGCGCCAAGCGTCTCGTGGCTGCTCATGATACTGTGTATCGTTTTGATCGACGTTTGCAAGGTCTCCATGCTGTGTGTCGCGTGACGGAGGATATTATGGAGCGTGTCAAAATACGTGACAGAGGTTGTGAGACCCTCGCCCATATCCTTCCTCGTCTCGGCTTCCCGTGTCAGATCCCTGATCTGCCAGACGGAGGTGTCTTGCACAGCGATGAGATCTTCGAAGACTTGTCCATAGACCCAGAATGGGTCCTTGAGATGACTCTTGTCTTTGGGCACGTTGATGAGCAACTTGGCCGCGATCTTCTCGCTGACTTGCGGTTTGGGATCAAAAAGAACAATCTTGGTGGCGCCTGACGACCGCCAGTCGACAAGCATATTTATCTTATACCAATAGTACTTGTGTACATCGTTTTGTACCTTGACTTGCAGACGAAGCCAGGATACTGGAGCCAATGTTAGCACAAGTGACCCTGTTGTCGCGTTATCATTTTCACTGACCTACAGATGAGCCGCCCTCGCTCTCGATGCCATGACTCTCACAGCCAAAGTGGCCACTGGCATTCTTGTTGTGCTCTGACCACCAAAACTGTGGCATGTTGTATTTTTCCGTGAATGCCGTCTGGCATCCGCACTTTGAAAAGTGACAGCGGGTCCATTTGGTGTTCAAGGACAAGTTCGTCCGGGCTTGGGCTGCTTTGACTATACTTTGTCATTCTAAGCGTGTTGCCTTGTGGCAATAAGGGGGAAAGTAGACCTACACCAAGCTGACCGTCTCCTTTTCAACCACCTCCCACACGGGTTGTAGGCAGGCTTCCTGATTACGTGGCTTGCGTATGTCGGTATCTTTATGCTCCTTCCAGCCAGGTCCATCTCCTAGCTTTGCGTCAGTCATCTGCGCGCGGGACATTGACGAGGGTAGCGCACCTTCGCTCCAGGTATAGAAAGGCTTGTACACGCAGGTATCGCCCTCCGCTAACTCAGTCTTGCGGTTCTGTGCCATGTTTGGCAGCTCGACAGCCGCCGTAGCAATTGACATTTGTACTTTGTCCAGGGACGCGACAAGAAGAGGCCCAAGCTACACAGGGGAAATACTTCAATGCCATCTCACCCGTATAGGGTCATCTTTAACATCTCACAGAGTCCCAGCCCAAGAAGGAGGCTGTGCGTTGCTGGCAACCACATGTGCACTTTGCTTCTCTCCAGCCCCGCGTAAGCGCTGCCACAGCCCCCAGCGGCTCGGGGCTCGAAGTGCAGATGCCCACATGACCGTCGGCTCCAGCCTCATCCTCATGAGAATTCAGGGCTCATTGCTCCTCGGAAGACTCTGTCAGCCTCATGGTTTTCGTCGCATCGCATATTTTCTGCACATCCAGGCGCCTCTAGTGGACTGTGGTGGCTCTAGGGAGCCAGCAAGGTCAACACCTGGTGCACTTTTTGGGGTGCGTGCATCCCAGTCGGTTGTTGCTCATGCAGCCGCTTATTGGCGTGTAGATGAAACCCTAAAGATCCTCGGCGTTTAATTTGACCAGTCCATTTGACCAGCGGCGTCCTTGTAAAAGTGAAGTGTTGGGCAGGACTGCCCCGAGGAGGATAGAGGCCCGATCGCGCTGTATTATCCGATACCGAACAGAGATCCGGATGCCCGACCATTGGCGTCGAGGCGAGCCCATCTCATAGGCCTTTGAAATGCATGTTCGACAGATGCTGGCTGGCGCATGTATGTATGTATACGCACAGAGGTCCGCGCACACGAAACTGCGACTGATCGTCGCGCCCGGCTCGAGCAGCTGCAGCCTGGACACCGAGGCAAACGGTGTTGGTGATGACTTGATTGCCCACCGTGACCGTGCGTTTAGTTGAGCCCCTCGCCGCTCCAGCCTGGAGGGTCCCTGGTCCGCGCCATCATGTGTCCAGAAGCATTGACATCCAGTAGCGCGGATTCGTGAGTCGATATGACATGTGTGTGTGTGTGCATGGAGTAGCAATCGCACAGTCGAAGCCCATGGGGCTGTCTTTTCGTAGGTCAAGTTTTCGTAGGTCAGGTACAAGACAGCGGTTGTTGATCAAAAGAAGGTACAATAGCATGTAGGTAGTCTGAGTGAAGTCAGTGATCACGCGTTAGCATTTTGACTGCTTGGCGCGGTTACACCACCAGTCGATCTGAGGAACGCGAGCAGACTTGATTATTGGCTGTGACGCATGGGCTCTTTTGCAAAACGGCGGTGAGTGGGCAGGAAGCCCGAGCAGTGAAGAGAAGTCTAGAAATGTGCCATTGCACTATGGACAATCTCCCAGTCAGTATGAACCAGGACCTCTCCATCTGATTCCTGACACAGAACCCGTATAACAAGACAGAGAAAGCAGTGCTAGCAGAAAAACACGCCTTCAAATCCATACCACGCCTGAACAAGGGTGAAAGCGACCGGAGAGATAGTATAGCCATCCCTTATAACGCCAAAGCAAAGTCCTCCGTAACCATTACCATCCATCCGAGCAAAGTCGGAACAACAAACAGGGAATTCTTCTTCTGTAGCCTTGCCAGTAGCCCCTAGGCAAGCGTCGATGCCCTATTGAATTACCATTCCCTCACCATCAGCAGTGACCGCATCCTCGGGCAAAGCGGGTGTCGAGAAAGGCAGATGAGCGGGTGGCGCTTGTGGATTGTGGTCACCCTACATCACCTGCGAGGCCAGCAAGCGCTGCTCCACCACGTCGTCCATGGGCAAGCCATCCATGCGCGGGCCCTCTATTTGATGCATGCGTTGCTCCAGATTCTGGAAGCGTGGCTCGTAGCTTCCCGAGCGCGCCTCGAGGTGCTCCATGCGCTTCTCAATCATGTCCAGTCGCTGCTCGATCCGGCCCAGCCCATTCATCATGTCGTGGCTCAGGCGATCAATCTTGTTTGTAAAGGAGCGGATGAACGTCGCGGTGGGTGCACTCTCTGTGGTCTGGGGCCCGTTGGGTTGGCGAGGCTCGTGATTGTGACGGGCTTCTTGCAGCGCAAAGCGCCATTGGTTACCGAGCTGCACCTCGCATACCGCTTTCGCGCGAAAGGGACAGTCGATCTTGCGCGTCGAGGGGTTGCGCTTCTTGGCCGTGCTGTTGTACTTGACGCCGCCGCGGTCGCAGACGAGGTCGTATCGGGTAGGCTTGCCGTCGCGGTAGTTGGAGGCGCGCAGCTTGACGATGCCGTAGCCCTGGTCCTTGGCGGCGTGCTGGACGGACGCCATGAGGTCTTCAAAGGTGCGGAAGATGCCTTCGGACGGGGGCGCGAGTTGGGCCGGCGGCGTGCCGGCCATCTGGACTGGGTACGACGTGCTGGCGGGTCTTCAAGGCTGGCCGCCTTGGATGGCACGACGGGGAAAAAGGGTTGGGTCGTTTCCGGATGGGAAACCAGAGAACCAGGCCTGCGAAACAGAGTCGAGGCTCTGTGGCGCTGCGAAAGTGCGCAGGAGCCCAGATATAGGGAGCAAAATGGGAAGATTCGGACTTGGAGAGCAGACCGGGCTGCGCGCGTTGGCAGTCGCGATGCGGCGGCAGGTGAATGGATCCGATGAGGCTGGGCTGTGAGAGTTTTTCCAATCCGCACTGTTGAAGGAGGCAAGGATGCTTGTTTTGCTCGCGCTGGCACGAGCTTGTTCACAGTGAAGGAAGGCAGTGTTTTTGATTGGTCGACACGTCATCCAAAGCGGGTCACTGGGTCCGGTCGGCGCTGCCCAGCTGCAGGCTGCATCTTGTCGTACTGTAAGAATGAGCTAATGCGACGGAGCTCAGGCCTCTATCAAGGGTAGAATATAAGCGTTGCTGCAAGGTCGAGTCAATTGATATTGAGCTAGAACGGCGAGCTGCATCAATATTGTGGAAGTACCTCATGGCCATTTATTAGATGGTTGTCGAGGCATGACCAGCAGGGTACCTCCTGGTCAAGAGCCTGTTGCGGCACGTGACATACTGTGTCCTGCCATCGCGAGGTGAGCCTCTGAACTTGAGAGACTCAATAAATCGTCCGTCTATTCAAGTCACTGCATTTATGTGTGAGACAACGAATCGCTGAGGGGACTATGTGACCTTTTTGTCTTTGCGCAAACACATTGAGCGCAAACACTTTGCACTGAATCCAAGAAACCGTACGCGCAGCGTTGAGCGCAGACGTACGTACCCTGTCCGGCACCGACTTGTGGCCATCCTCACGCGCTCTTGAAGCATCGCCCATCAACATTCCTACCATGGCGCAACAAGGGAATGGTACTCAGAATGGAGCGCCTAGCGGTGTTTCCGAGTCTTGGGAAGAACCTCGTTTGTTGGAAGGCATGCAGCAGCTCAACATCCTTCATGCCAAGGTACGCAGGTTCCGTCATGAACTTGATACAAGGACTGACCATGGGTCGGCTCGATCAGGTCCGTAATATGAGGGAGACAATTCCAAAGATGCTGGAGCCACTGATGCATCAATACTCAACACGTAAGTCTGGGCATTCTCATTCTACGACAGCCTCAAAGATTAACCTGTGACTACAGCGGAGGCCGCCTACCAAGCATTCATCAAGGCGGTCCAAGATGCCCAGGCCGATCTTTCTGACTTTACTGAGCTCATGCGTCATGAGGACAGCAAGGCCGTGCTGGCCAAGGCGAAAGAAAGCCGGGAGCAAGATCCTGAAGGCATCAAGCAATGGGACTATACTGAACATCCAGATTGGTTCGACGGCAAGAAGACATGAAGACAAGGGCACTTGAAGGTTTAATCGGACGGCACGGAAGGGCGCAACTGGTTATGGAGATTGGTTTCACGCATTTATTTGCATGCGATAGCACAGATACCCAACACTTGGTTCGTTTCGCATCTACCGGTTCTTTGACTCTGCATAGCTGCTCCGCTTAGTGAACATGATCCAGTAGCATAGCGCAACATGCAATGCTCGTCTCGTCTCTTGAAGATGACAGCCGGGGTAAGAAGTTACTGAATATGTGATTGTGTTGACAGAACATTGGACATGAGGCTGCGCGCTGAGAACTGCCCCGCCACCTTCACCGAGCTCTGACCGAGATCAGGGTCGGTCGTGTCACGTGCAGGACAGGTCGGCCCCTCCCACGCCCTCTCATTCGCCAGATCCAGAGGGCAGCCCCAAATTCCGCCCACACAAGATTTTGCACCAAATCTTCGAAAACCCTCGTTCCCTTCTCGCGTGAAATCTCCCATTGATTGCATTTGTCGTTCAACAGTCGCCAACCACACAACACCGACACGATGCCTTCCCTCCGCGTTACCTACCGCCGCCGCAACGGGTGAGTCTACCGAACCCGACACAATTTCCGACATTGGCGACCGTTTCGCAATTGTTGCTGGTGGAGGGAATGAGTGGATGAGTTGGGAAAGAGGAACATTTTGGGCTGACTTGTGCTCGCACAGCTACAACACCCGGTCCAACAAGACCCGTGTCATTAAGACCCCCGGTGGTGACATCCGCCTGCTTCACATCAAGAAGCGCGGTACCGTCCCCAAGTGCGGTGACTGCGGCAGCAAGCTCTCTGGCGTAAGTTGCCTCGAACCGAACGAAGCCGGCATTCGACATGGATGAGGGGAAGGGCGACATGGACCATTGGGAACGGGATGGACATTGAAGCATCAAACGCCATGGCTCACCTCGCGCCCTCCTCACTCCGACCGTCGCCGCTTCGCAATACTGTCTTGCTGGATCGCAATGCTGACCATGACCACACAGATCCCCGCTCTCCGCCCCCGCGAGTACTCCCAGATCTCCAAGCCCAAGAAGACCGTCCAGCGTGCCTACGGTGGCTCGAGGTGCGGTAACTGCGTCCGTGACCGCATCGTCCGCGCTTTCTTGATCGAGGAGCAGAAGATTGTCAAGAAGGTCTTGAAGGAGCAGGAGGCTTCGCAGAAGAAGAAATAAATGATGACTACCGATTACATTGCCTACAACAGCGATACACAACCCACACGGCAAATGTCTTATTTCGTCTCACGTTGATGATCCAAAACTGCGAAGGGAGGGGGAAGGAAGGATGGTAGAAGGAACTCTGAACGGACGGGGTTTCTTTTTCTACAGGGTGAAGGTGTCTTCAGGTTTCATTGTGCTTCGGTGTTCACAGGGACAAAAGGGACTGCATGATACATCAGCCAGCCTGGATGGGATGGCGGACTTACGCAATCTTTAGGGCTGCTACCACTTGGTGATTGGAATGAAAACAAACATCAAGTTGCACAGTTCGTTTGGGTGATGTTGCGCAGCGTGATGGACCTTGCCATACTGGTGCCCAACGACGCCATGTTACGATGAAGTCGACAACATGGACGCCATTTGTGAATGGAAAGTCAGCCTTCGGCCCATTTTTGACCATTGTTGAAGCGCGGTATCTACTTGTAAACTCCAATAGGCGCGTTGGCGTGATGTGACCGCTGCTCAGACAATTGCGACCGTTATGACGTGCAACTTTCGAAATTTATCATAGACTCACTTCCTTACCCAACGATCTACGTACCGCCACTTGCGACTCTCTGCCAACCGCCCTTCCACAGCATGCACCGTCCATTATAACACCTATCTACAACACACAATGCGCAGCCAAATACAACGTCAGGCCGCGCGTGCACTGCGGTGCTTCAGACACATCCCCGCTGCGCGCTTGCAATCGTCGACAGCTCCCATACAGCCCAGCCTACGATGCGCCGCTCTCCGATCAATATCGACAACCACGCGCCTCCGCACAGGCGAGGCGCCCCGTCCGGCGACAGACTTTGGCAGTCTTGATGTGCTGGGGAACACACCGGCGCCGTCCACGTCTGTAGACGTTTGCATGCACGACGGCTTCGGCCTGAACAGCAACGTCACGATCAGGGGAGGAGATGGTGCGCTACTGGTGTCGGGCGAGGCCTTCTCCTGGAGGCCATGGGCGGCACGCGGGGACGGTCAGATGACGATCTTGAACAAGAAGGGACAGGTTGAATTTTCGAAAGAAGCCTTTGGCGTCCTGGACCTGCTCTGGCCACGGCCTGGTACGGCTCCCTCTCCCCGACTATTGTTCCTTGTACACGTGTACGTACAGTGACTGACAGAAGCAACAGATCTCCTCATCATCGGCGTGGGTAAAGAGATTAGGCCGTTGAGCCCCGATACGAGCAAGATGCTGGCTTCGCTGGGTCTCAGGGTAGATGTGATGGACACGAGGAACGCGGCTGCTCAGTTCAACATGCTAGCTACGGAGAGAGGTGTTTCTGATGTTGCTGCTGCGCTGATTCCCATGGGCTGGAAGGAGGGTGTGGGAGCTGCCTTGCCTGAGGGTCATGACAAGGAGCAGGATCAGGAGTGATTGGGGGTGACTGTGTATGATTCTGTAAACTACGATAGTGCAGTGTATACTACTCGGAGCAAACAAGATATTTGGGTCGACCTTTTGACCTCGATCAAGCCATGTCTCCTCCAGTGGATATATCTCAACTTGGGCTAAATCTGAGGAACTTCAATTCACATTGTACTTGGACCACGATCCGATGACAACTTGGCAGACTTGTCGTTGAATAATATGAGTATGAAACCCGCGCGCAGAGAAAATTTCAACAATAAATCGTCTTTTTGCTTTCTCCATCACGTCCAGCATGGTGTTGCGTTCGAGTTATCACCTGTATATAGGGTATCCAAAACACACTGATGCGCTCTTCCAATGATAGCATCAGGTGGCTGCATGATGACGAGCGATTCGTCGAGGCTCGACAAGCTCGTGGAATGATTTAGTATTCGACGGCTTTCTCACTAACCCAACCCAATGCCAACAACCGCAAGGCCACTTTCCATGTTGATCCCAACGTCGACGAACGGATTCATTGACTGATTCCCCGTGCTGCACGGCATCGGCAGACCGTGCGCCGTACACACGCGTGCTTGAGCTTCTGGCTGTCGATCCGGTCAGTCGGGCGGCCCCAGCGCAGGGTTTGACACCCTGTATTACCAGTTGAGACATTGGGCACCTTTTGCGCCTGTTTACTCACATCATTCTACGCAACTGGGACTCATCACTCTATTACGATCGCCGCTCATTCTTCTATTCTTCGAGATACCCAACCTGTCTAGTCGCTTGCCTGCTTCCGTTCATTGATACCCAAAGCATTCAATCGTCGTCGTCCACTCTTTCGACTCGCCTGGTACTCTCACGACCAGTCGACTACGCTCAGTCTCACATCACAGGCTCACAGTCCTTCAACAGAGCAAACAACAGGACTGCCTGCGGCCATCTCGTCTCTCATGGATCCTCACGTCTTTGATCCTCACCTCACCGACCCAGATCTTCTCAAGAACCACTCCCAGTTCAGATCCTTCACCACCAGCAAGCACACGTACCCCAAGATAAGGGTCTTTTACCGGCAACACGCCAAAGCAGAGGAAATCTACCGCTCCAATGGCCCACTACCACTTCTCGTGTTTGTCCCTGGCTTGGGAGGTTCGGTAGCCCAGTTTCATCCGTTGCTGACCAGCCTCGTGGACCTGGCACCGTGCTTGGCCATTGACTATCCTGGCTGTGGGCGCTCTGAGTTTGCCCCGACGGCATGGGACGCCTACACATCCGAAGCGCTGGGAGAGTTGCTGGAGGTCATCATTGACGAGTACCGCGATAAAGAGGCCGAGCAGACCATTGTACTTGTCGGACATAGCATGGGCACGTCCTATGCTGCGTGGCTGGCCAACCCCAAAGTCGCGCACAAGACTGAGGTTGCCGACTTTGTGGTCGGTCTTGTTGGTATCTGCCCGGTGCCCGGACCGCTTGACGAGGATAAGGCTCTGTGGGCACGTCGGTTGATGTGGCTTCCCGGATGGCTGATGGATCTCCTTCGAGCGTGGGACGGCATGGGCGGGCTGCAGAGCCCCAGCGTCACCCGCTTCGTGGGCGAAGACGCAGACAACGAGCTGCGGCAGCTTCAGTACCGGTTCAACAAGCAGAGCCGGACACCCGTGTGGAGGCGCATGTTCTACGGCTACCTGCCAGAGTACCGGAACGGAAAGCCGGTCAACAGTCTCGCCGGGCTGGACATATGGGCCGGTGTCAAATGCCCCGTCTATCTCATCGCCGGCGCGGCAGACCATATAATACCCGCGGCGGATATGCAGAAGATTGTCGAGGCCGTCAAGGGCCACCCATCACAGTCCCCTACGACTGGTGAGGCCCTCGCGCCCGCGGCGGCCGCACCCGTAGATCTCTCCCTGAGCGTCGACGACCATCTGGTCCATGTCCCCCAGACAATCGACGACATCCGAGAGGAGGACTTTCAAAAGGTCAAACGAAACCCAGAATCCGACAACAGCCAGGATGACCCCTCGGACGATCCCTCCACGCCCCAGGAGCATCTGGCCGACGTCCCAGCGCAGTCGCGGCATCCACGCAGGTTCGTGCAGTCCACCGTCCTGCCAGCACCCGCCAACCACACCTGCCTATACATGCCAAGCCACTCGCGTGTGATCGCGGGCCTCATCTCCGACTTTCTCGCGTGCAGGGTGACCGGTCGTCTGTCGCTTGCGTGGCAGCTCCAGTACCTCTCGAGGGAGGGCAAGTGGGACGTCAAGAATCTCAACAAGTGGAAGTCGGTCCAGCCCGTGTCGGAGCCCATCGGGCCCCCCGGCGGCGCGCCCCTCTTCCGGGCGCTCAAGACGCTCCGCGAGGCCGACGAGGTGCACACGCCGCACAAGTTCACGGGCACCTGGCCGGGTCAGATCACCGACGTCGTCGACATCTCCAAGGACCAGCCCGTCTACGACCCGCGGGGCCTGGAGCGCGGGGGCATCCAGTACCACAAGTTCCCGACCGTGTCCAAGGTCCCGCCGCAGCCCGAGGAGATTGACGCCTTTATCAAGCTGATTGACAGCATTCGCGCGCGGCGCGCGGAGGAGGGCGCGACGGGGCTCATTGGGGTCCACTGCCACTACGGCTTCAACAGGACCGGGTACTTTATTGTGTGCTACTTGGTGGAGAGGTGCGGGATGACGGTCCATGAGAGCATCGAGACGTTTGCGAGGGCGCGACCTAACGGGATCCGACACTCGCACTTCCTGGACAGGCTGTACGTGCGGTACAATGTGGACGGCGCTGGAACGGGGCAATAAATTCACGGACTGGGAACAATGGCGTTTGTGTCAAAGCGTGGGATGGGATTTGGGAGGCGTTTAAGGAATGGGACTATGATTGCTTCCAAAAAGAGCCCTTGCTTATTCTTGTAGACTCATTCACAACGGCCGCAGAGGCATATCAATATGATCCGATTCGTTGTCTACATTCGCCGCGCTTGCAAGTCTTTATGTATATCTGTATGCTCTACGCTATTCTGGATGCGACCCCCCGTCCGTCAAACGCCCCGTAAACGATGCCAAGTCTTCACATGAAATAGTCATACGCCATGGACTCCACGTCCATGCTGCCCAAATCCATCTTCTCCTTCAGCTCCACGGTGATGGCCTCGACATCTACATCGAGGTACTCCCGCAAAAACGCGCCGACATCCGTGTTCTCAATGTTGCCCCTGATCGCTTCGGTCCCAGGCCCACCAGAGGAGTAGACGTTGACGTCCACGGCGGTGTGCCCATGCGTGCTCCAGCCGACATGGGCACGGAGGGAGATCATGGCCGAGAGAACGGTCAGTGCACCGGCTGGGTCTGCAGCGAGTACGTCGAGCTCCTCGTCAGACGAGTCGGTGATGCCGAGGCCCTTGACGATGATCTCGTCCTCGATCCAGTGCTTGAGCTTATCCTTGGACATGGCTGTGGCAAGGACATGCTCCTGAAGCTTGATGGCGAGGTGCTCACAGGACGCGGTGGCTTGCGCGAGCGCCTTGGGGTACCAGCCGTACACAGGCAGATGGCCGGGCTCCTGAAGCGCGGTGGCCAAACCACCCGTCTCGTGATCGCTGGTGGCGACCAGGACGGTCTCGGTGTCCGATCGCTCGATAAAGTCGAGGACGGCCTTGAAAGCGCGGTCGTACTCGATCACTTCGTGCACCTGCGTGGCAGGGTCGTTGATGTGGCCGGCGTGGTCGATGCGACTGCCCTCAATCATGAGGAAGAAGCCCATGTCGGAGTCCGCGGTAGCTAGCTCGAGGGACCGCAGGGCCACCTCGGTCATCTCGCTCAGCGAGGGGTAGACGTCGTTCATGTTGCGGCGGTCAAGCTCAAAGGGAATGTCCGCCCCCGCAAACAGACCCATGAAGGGGAAGTTGACCTTGTTACCGCTCTCCAGCTTGTCGAAAGCGGAGCGCGAGTCGGCGTAGGTCCAGTTGTACTTGTCCTGGGCCATCTTGGCCACGTCAATGTCGTCCATGCGGCAGCTGCCCTCGGTGGTGTTGGGCAGGAAGTGGCAGCGACCACCACCCAGCATGAGGTCGACCGTGCGCCCAAGGACGCCGTCTCCGACCTCTTGTAGGGCAATGTCATCCTCCAAGGCGCGGAACAAGACATGGCTGGCGAAGCAGGCGGGCGTGGCGTCGGTGATATCGGTGGTGACCGTCAGCCCGGTCATGTAGCCAGCGCGCTTGGCCGCCTCCAGGACACTGCCGCATGGCTGGTAGTCGGGCGTCACCGAGATGGCGCCATTGTAGCTCTTCTTGCCGCAGGAGAAGGCCGTCGCGCCGGCCGCGCTGTCGGTGACCAGCGAGCTGCTTGAGCGCGTACGGCTCGAGCCCCAGAAGTGTTGGTCGAGAACGAGCGTGTCGTTGATGGGCAGGCCGTCGACGTGTTGTCGGAAGCTCCTCGTCAACGAGAGCGAGGCAGGGCCCATGCCGTCCGACACCATGAACACGAGATTGCGCTTGGGCGCGCCATTGTTGTTGTCGCGATCCCGGTTGCCGCGGTCGGTCTGTTGGCTGTGTTGCACCCAGACGGCGAGGACGATGACAGCCGCTGTGGCAAGGAGGGCCCAGATGAAGAGCCCAATCTCTCTCGCCCGCGAGGATCGTCTGGAGGTCTTGTCGTTGGAGGCACCGGTCTGAGGGGAGCCCTCACTGGAGAGGAGGGGATCGTTCTCGGAAGGCTGCTCTATTAATTAGATTGAATTCAGCCAAACTGGAGAACTTCCGTCTTACCATGATGCTGCTTGCGCGACAATGTCCACTGAAATGAGCGGTTGGAGGACTGGATCCAGTCAAGGAAAGGAGGAAAAGACAAACCAGGCCAGGGCAGCCTGGGCAGCTGCGGTTACGTATCGGAGCCGGCAGATGATGTTGACGATGATGATGCTTTTATGCACGCATAGCAGGGGCCTATTTGGGGTCTGCACAGAATGTGCACGTGGCTGACTGGTGGCCCCACACCGGCAGTCATTTGACTTTGAAGGGTGCCTGGAGCCTTTCCGTCTTGACGATAGCTTCACCTATCAGAAGAATTCCCTTGACACTACGGAGGATTATCGACAGGACTCGTGGCTGCAGCTTGCACACGCTCTTTCACCATGTGACGCCGGCTTCACCAGCCATCCGTCACGGCGCCATGGCTGGCATCACCCACCAACCTCGCGTACTTGGCCAACGCGCCTCTCCTGACGTGCGGCTCCGGCTCCTTCCACGCACTCCTCCTCCTGGCCATCTCCTCCTCGCTAATGGCGACGTCGATGCGGTTCGCGACGGCGTCAATGGTGATCTCGTCGCCGTCCTCCACCAGCGCAATCGGTCCACCCGCAGCGGCCTCGGGCACGACGTGACCGACGATGAAGCCGTGCGACGCGCCCGAGTACCGCCCGTCCGTGACCAGCGCCACGTTGGACAGGCCGGCCCCCATGATGGCCGCCGACGCGCGCAGCTGCTCGGGCATGCCTGGGCCGCCCTTGGGGCCCTCGTAGCGGACGATGAGGACGAGATTCCCGGCGTCCCGCTTGATCTCGCCCCTCGACAGCGCCTCGTTGAGCGCGTGCTCCTTGTGGAACACGCGTGCCTTGCCGGTGAAGGAGGTGCCTTCTTTGCCGGTGATTTTGGCGACGGCGCCGCCGGGGGCAAAGTTACCCTTGAGGATGCGGATGTGGCCCGAGTCCTTGTAGGGGTTCTCGAGGGGACGGATGATCTGCTGCCCCGGGTCGAGGCTCGGCCAGTCCGCCACGTTCTCGGCCAGGGTCTTGCCGGTCACGGTGGGGATGTCGCCGTGCAGTATGCCCTTTTGGATCAGCATCTTGATGACAGATGGCGTGCCGCCAATCTTGTAGAGGTCCTCCATGTAGTACTGTCCGCTGGGCGCCAGGTTGGCGAGGTATGGTGTGGTGTCGGACGCGTGGGCGACGTCGTCCAGCGTCAGCGGCACGTCGGCCGTGTTGGCCATGGCGAGAAAGTGCAGCACGCCGTTGGTCGAACCGCCCAGGATCATGGTCAGCCTCAGCGCGTTCTCAAAGGACTTTTTGGTCATGAGGTCGCGGGGACGGATGTCCTTCTCCATGCAGATCTTGATGGCAGCGGCCACCTTCTCGCACTCTCTGCGTTTCTCTGGCGACACCGCGGGATACGAGGACGATCCTGGGAGGGACATGCCCATGGCTTCCTGGCGTGCGGGTCAGTCAGGGCTCAGAATCAAGGGGAGGCTTCACGAGGCCTGGACGTACAATTGCCGTGGCCATGGTGTTCGCCGTGTACATGCCACCGCAGGCGCCGGCGCCAGGGCAGGCATGCCTCTCAATGTCTTCCATCACATCGCTTGGTGTCCGGCCCTCCTTGCCAGCATCGGTCTTGGCGTGGAGCTTGTCGTATGCATAGGCGCCGCTGGCCTCGTAACATGTCGAGATGTTAATCTCCTTCTCCAGAAGAGAGGACTGGCCTTTGCGGATCGTGCCGCCGTAGATCATGATAAAGGGACGGTTGTGGCGAGCAGCAGCCATAACGACGCCAGGCATGTTCTTGTCACAGCCGGGGATGGAGATGTTGGCGTCGTGGGACTGGCCACAGGTGACGGACTCGATGGAGTCTGCGATGATCTCTCGGGTCTGGAGAGAGAAGCGCATGCCTATTGTTCATTTGTTAGAAGATGTGTCGAAAGGGGTGGGAGGGATGAGTACTTTCACTGCCCATGGTGATCGCGTCCGAGACACCGACAGTGTTGTACTGCCATGCGATCATCTTCTGACGCTCGACGGCATCCTTGACGATCTTGCCAAACTCAAGAACTGTAGGTGTCAGCTCGTCTCTCCTCTGGTATAGGCCAAGCCGGCTACTCACGATGGGTGCTGCTCCGCGTTAGTCATGCGTTGACGCTTTGCCGGAGACTGTATACCTACTTGCAAGGATTTCCCTCCCACCAGACAGAAGCAACCCCGACCTGGGCGGCATTCTTCATCATGTCACGGTCAGGCACACCGGCAGCGTACAGCATGGCCTCGTCACGGTCAGCCAGGAGCCCCAATACATGAGCTACTCACACCCTGTCGGGCAACGAAAGGCGACTGACCTGTGCTCCTGGGAACTCATGCCCGCGAGTAATGTTCTGCGACCAGCGGTTCAGGTGAGCGCCCGGGGGCATGCACTTGAACTGGATGTAGTCAGGCGACGACTTGGGGTCGTGCTGGGCCTCGGGGAGCTGGCGATCCTGAGAAGACATGGCTGCCGCAGCGTCAGTTCAAGTTCCCAAAAGAGCAGAAAAGTGATTGACGATGATCACTTGGTCGGACAGGAGACTGAATGTGCAAAGTGTAACGTTTGAATCCGGAGGTGGCTACGGGAGAGGGTGCCATCCGGGTTGGGTGCCGGAGGGGCTGCGGGAGCGGCATCGGCCTGGGACTGGGACTGGAGCCGGGGAAAGCTGCATGGGAGTCACCCACCTGATCAGTGCTTCTTGCAGACACCACGACGTGGGAAGATTATGGGACAATTGACTGTCAATGAGGAGGGCCACGGCGATGTCTGATTCGGCTTAAGGTCAGCTCATGACTACCTACTACGTAGTACGTAGATGCTCCGTAGAAGCTAGAGCTAGCTACCCCTCCCCCTCATCACGACGGAATCCTCCACTCCATGTCGCGACTCGGCTTCGTAGGAGCCAACGACGGAACCTCAGCGTAAAGTGACGGAGAGCAAACAATCCGAAGGTCGTTGCGCTGGATATATCGCCTCAGACCACTCCATGCTGTCCATCAATGAGCATGAATGCTACCCGTGGACTAGTAGACAGAACCACAGGCCAAAGGCCTATTCGAATGCCTCAACCATGATTGGTCAAACGCTGGACCAGTCTGTTTGCTGTCTAAGCTGCTTAAGTGCCTAGCCGTAGGTAGGAATCCATGTAGATAAACACCATATGCTTATAGACAAACACTACACCTTAACCCCAGGGGTCACCAGCGACCAAACATCCCTGACGTTCTACGTCTCAGGCCTGCGTCGAACATGCATCGGCAGTTGTAAATACGGCGCGAGCAGCCCAAGTTTCTGAAGAACATTTTTATAGCTTTACAATCATTACAAACACTACCTGCTATCCACCTTCTCCATTTGGCGCCATGTTTGTGTCACATTTCCCGCTTGCCCAGGCCAGGCCCTCCACCCCAAGATAGGCCGCCCCAAAATCGCTTTAGATAAAAGTTCAAAGAAACACAAGTGGGGGAGCAGATGAATCAGCTGCAGTCCATCCGCCGGATCATGTCCCTGTCCCAGGCGCATCGCTCTGACATGGTGGAGAAGGTATCCCTCGCCTCGCTGACGGGGCTTGCGTTGGGCGTCATCATCGGGCTCGCGCCCTGGTGGTGGGCGCTGCTCTTGGGGCAGCAGCGGCCCGTCCGCCAGGCCGTCTCGAGGCTGGCGGGCGACGCGCTGGCGCCGTACTCGTGGGCGATGGCGGCCCAGAATGTGTTCCTGTGCGCGGCGTAGATGGCGTGCAGACGCGTGAGGTCGACGTGCGACGCGGAGTGGGACGGGGCCGCCGTCACCGAGGGCAGGTTGGTGTTGAGCTTGAAGAGGCTCTGGCTGCTGGACGACGACGACATGTTGGGGTGCTCAAAGGCTGGGAGCATGCGCTGCCCGGCCGGGTAGCCCATGAAGAGTGACGCATCGTTGCTGCTGGGCTTGGGCAGCAGCGACGGGAGCTTCTCCTGGTCCATGATGCTGGGGAGGCGGACGGACCCGGACGAGCTGGCGCTCGCGGGGCTCATCCTCGAGACAGGCTCCGAGGAGTTCTCGCGCAGGAGGTGTGAGTAGTCGGTCTGCACGGACGAGGTCGACAGGTTGCGCTTCCGGCGGTTGGTCCCGTGGCAGATCTGGTGGTAGTGCAGCCGGCAGGCCAGCTCGGTCTTGTTGAGGTGGGCGGCAATGTGCTTGTACGGCATCTTTTGACTGCGCGTCTGGAGCAGATACGACTCCTGCAAAGCTCGGTCAGTGGGGTGCTCTGCATTTGGTTGGCCGTGGCTGGGGATGGATGGGCGGACTAACCTCGCTATCGCTCCAGGCCCGACCGCCGCCCGTGGAGAGGGACTTGCGATGCTTGCCCGACGATGGCCGGGTGCTGCCCATTGATGGCACCGGCGTGTACATGACTTGTGCAAGCTCGACGTGATTTTGTGACATTGTGAGCTGTTGACAACGACCGGCGTTGCGCGTTGGTTGATATTAGGGAGGGCTAGTCCAGACAAAGTACGTGAAACAGTGAACAGATGCTGTAACCGGTAATGCTCGTTCTTCTCTTGGGTATCAAGGCCGTGATGATATCGTGAGTCGAAGGTGTGTGTATTAATGGTCGAGTATAGAGGAGGGAGCAGCCAGCTGCTGATGCGCACGACGAAAGACAATCGTGGAAAGAGGAAAGCGAAGGGGTATTAGTTTGATAGAAAGACCAAGAACCAAAGCCAAACGAGAAAAAACAAAGCGTTCCCCATGGCCATAGATATAAGCTCTGAAATCTCGTTCTCCAAAGGGTCTCTCCTCCACAGGGCCGCCAGACAGGGGCTTGTGTTGTGTGGACCTTTAGAAACGTGTGCGTCTCAACAAACGCCGTCTAGACACACTTGCCTGCACGAGATGTCCAAGTGTGTCAAAGTTGCAGCCTGGGCCAAACGAGTCCCGAGGCTGGGCAAAACAGAGGAAACGGAACGAGACGCCGGATGCGAAGTTTCCGTGTCGGGGGATTGGGAGATACACTGGCTTCAGCATGGACCCTAGAGGCTTCTCTGCCTCACAATGGGCACGATGGTGTTTGAGATGGACAGTCGGACCCAGCATTCAGTTATATGCCAGGTCTTAATGACCGGCCATGGCACACGCGCTGGGCATTAATTCTGTCGCCTACTCACCGGGGTGGCCAGGACGCCTGGGTCATATCAGGTCAAGCTGGCAATGCTGTGATTTCCAGCCCCGGATCTTACTATCTGGCAACTAAGACGTAATTACGGTCATTGCGCGCAGAAGGGACGAAGCTATATGATACACTTGACCAGGGTCGAGCCATACTACTACTTGACGATCGGAGTTGGAGAATGGTGATCATGGGCGGTTTTAACCTCTGCGGGTCTACCCCTGGTCCACGGTGAGTTTCCCATCCACTCGATGAGGAAGGCTGGGAGAGTGACACAGATCTGAGATACTACTACATGCATATAGAGCCTCTTCATCCAGGCTGCCAAACAGGCGAGGCGCATGCAGGAGGTGAGGTTTTGCGGCAGTGGACAGGGGTTTACATGCAGGAATATAGTCTAGCCGTTGAACTGACGCAGAGCCCCTGGTGCTTTTAATGCCAGAGCCCAACCAGGGCTGCTATACCATGATGGGAACTTTATGGAAGTGCGCTGTGCACAAGCATATCGACAGGCTGCCCATGCAAAAGGGCCAGCCTCGTCTCAAATCCAGGCCAGACCAAGTCATGACCCGCCTGTCACCCTCGTAGAACTTACAGTTAATGCCCCATAACGACCGGGGGGGCGGGGGCGGCAGCGTCTCACGTCTCAATTACCCCTGAAACCCGCCAAGTCGGCGGTTCGATTTCATCTCGGTCTCAGCCACGTCAAAGAGTACGGGGAGCCGCCAGCCCCGGACACACTAGACTAGCAGGCTAGCACTGGGCCACTGGATATGTATCTTTAGACTTTTGCATCGCAGAGCATTCTGTTCCTAGGAGAGAAGGGCGGGCGTGGGGTGGCGACGCATGAATGATGGCCAGAACATGTTCGTCGCTTCTTTCATGCAACGTCCGGATCTGGCGCTACCCGCAACTCCGCCTGTCAGGTGTATCATCGGCTACCCGGTACTCCGGGAGGCTAACATTAGTAGCATTTCGCTGTTCAGTGCTGACCTACCCTATTCGTCGTGCTGGGCACCTCGGTGCACACAGGTTTTGGAAACCAAGCCTGGGATCAGTCGATCAAAAATTGTCGACTCTGGCGGGCGGGTTGAACTAAAGTTCATTCAACATTATGTTACAATCTGGGCTCCGATTCTTTATGTACATTGAAGACTTCAACTGTGTCCACGTGCCGACGAGTCTTGGCGGAAATAGTCGCCAAATCGAGACTAGCTTGATTTTTTACTTCAAAGCTTCAGGCCATCCGAGCACCGGTCATTCGACGTACGTCTCAGTGATCTCAGCTCACTGCCACCACCTCACGTATGTCGCCCATCCCCTTGAACATGTCCAGCCCGTTGCTGCAACCGAATGGCCCGGGTGTTGTTGCCCAAAGCATCACCTGAGAAGCACCGTCCATGAAGATCCGACAGCTCACAACGTGCCACACCTGCAGGGCACGCAAACTCGCCGTAGGTCCCACCGTCCATCAGGCGTGGTCGCTTGGACGCCTGCTAAAGAATTGCCATTCAGTGCGACGGGAAGAAACCCGCTTGTACGCAATGCGAGATCCGCAAACGGGACTGCGCTGGCTATCAGCATGATCTCATCTTTCGACCGCCCTTAGTCGGCGGCCCCCCTGGACGTACCAACACTGTCACCAAGGCCAGATCCAAGCCCAGCAAAAAGACACCATCCCCTCCGAAACAAGTAGCAGCTCAAATTGCTCGTTCACAGGAGACTAGTAGTTCCCACCACATAGCTGCGCCAGTGCCGATATCGAGGCCGCTGAGCTGGCCGTTTCTGGACATCATCTCGCTCGTCGTGCAGAACTTCAGCCCCGACAGCGCCCCAGCATGCAAAGGGCTGATCTCGGCCGAGACCATCTGCGGCGCTTGGGTGCAGGTCATGCCCGATCTTGCGCGCTGCCCGGCTGCCGAGACGTATCTGCTACCCGCCATCAAGGCACTCGGCGTCTCCATTGCGTCTCGCGGTGACGCTGGGAGGGCGCCTGTTGGCCAAGCACTAGAGGCCCAGAGAGAGGCTGTGTGTGCTCTCAACCGTGGACTCGGTCAGATGCGAGCAGACGAGTTCGACGTGATCCTGGCATCCGTCATGTGTCTTCTCGTCTCCGAGGTAGGAGACCCAAAGTGCATGTATCCATCCGTTGACGAGGCTGACACCTTTCAGATGATGCTTCCAACGTCAGAATACGGTGCAGTCATCCATCTACGTGGCGCTCGTGATCTCTTGTTCCATCAAGAGCCTGCGTATTACGTCCAAGGACTTCCTCACGCTTTGTACATTGGCTTCAGGCCTGCCTTGGTACACTTCCAAAACTGCCCCCCTCTGCGCACCCATCACTGACCACCCCAGATGACCGCCGCGCTCCAGTTGAGGCAGTACTTTGTCATGGCGGTGGAACCCTGGATCACCGTCCCGTTCACGGTCATCGGACCAACCCACATTCAGATGGTCATGAATAGCGCATTTAGCCTTCCCTGCCTGCTGCGCCAGGTCGACGAGCTTACTCCTCAGGCAGCTGACCAAGACGCATCAGCGGTCACCCGTATGCTCGAGCAGCTGTCAGAGCACATTCGCCGGTTAGCCTCGCTCGAAGAAAAGGCTAGAAAGGACGAGGATGTTTCGGAGTGGCTCCAGGTCACCAGTACACTGGACGCGTCCACGCCATTCGCATTTCCCAGCATCACCGTGGCCAACCTCTTCGTGCTCATCTGGACATTTCGCCTCCTTGCCCTCGAAGGCCTGCGGCATCTTCTCGCCAAGATGCCCGTCCTCCTGAGCGGTTCCGTGCTGCACAAAGCCCTTGCCGAGAGCAGTAGCGACGAAACAGACCGGCTCGCCACGTGGATATTGAGGAGCATAGAGTATCTCGTCTCTGAGCGCTTCCGACTCTTCGGCGCCACGTCTGCCGCCATGCCATTGCAGACGGTCGCCTCATATTACGCAGAGGGCGCGGGTCACGACGAGGAGCTGGCGTTCTGGTATGCGCGCGTGAGAGACTTTATCCGTGCACGAGGATTTGATGGGCTCAAGGCCATTGTTCGGCATGACAAATGAGGAAACTGTAGCTCTGCTCTGCAAGCCCGTAGTGATCTATCTCCGTACCTTACCTAGATCACATGAGAGAGAGTATGGCAGCTGAGGAGTACCCACACACACTATGTACTTATCCGTACACGGCTCACAACGCCCGGTATTCCCACATCTATCATCATCAGAAATCGCAGCTATTTCTCCTCTCACACCTCCGCTCGCAACCTTTCATTCCTTCCCTTTCCTTCCCTCATCCACAGAACAGTCCATCTCATATCCATTGTCTTGTGACCTGGACATAGCCGCTCCCCCCACAATGACGTTCCGCGAACTCCTCCTCCAGCTCGTCTTCCCATGGATGCTCATGTCCATCTCGCTCTACTACGGCCTCGTCACTGTCGTCAAGCTCCTGCTCGCACTCGACTTGGCCACCCTCACCAGCTGGGACAAGTTCAACGAGGCCTGGTTCGGCAACTTTTGGGTGTACATGGGCCCCGTGTCCAAGGAGGGCGCCGAGGCGTGGGTCAGGCCTCTGCTCGAGGGCCGCGTCCGCCAGGGCGACATCTGCCAGACCGTCCAGCACCCCGTCGAGGGGACCGTGCTTGAGATTGGGGCCGGCAGCGGCATGTGGATGGACGTCCTCGCCCAAGTCACCGCCTCATCGGGCAAGGCGACAAAAGTCTACGGCGTGGAGCCGAATCCCATCTCGGCCGCGGCCCTGCGACGAAAGGTCGATGAGCTGGGTATGCAGGGTCGCTACGAGGTCCTGCCGTACGGCATCGAGGATCTCCAGGCCAAGGCGGACATGCAGCCGGGGAGTGTGGACTGCATCGTGACGGTCCAGTGCCTGTGCAGCATCCCCGAGCCGGACAAGAACATACGCCTACTGTATGAGTATCTCAAGCCCGGTGGCCGGTGGTACGTGTACGAGCACGTCAAGGCGGAGGAGGGCCTCTTGGTGCCCGCGTATCAGCGTAAGGACATCCCCCTCTTGCGTTGCATTACAGGACCACACACAGCAAGCAAGGACCACAGCTGACAGGCGCAGGCTTCTCCAACTTCTTCTGGACATTCTTCATGGGATCTTGCTCAATGTGTCGCTCCACACGCTCATCCATTCTCAGCGTGGGCAGCTGGCGCGCCGTAGACCTTGAGAGGCGCGTGGACGAAGGTCCCCTGTCCGTCATCCCGCATACCATGGGCACGTTGCAGAAGGCGTGAGCTCACACGCAAAGTAAAAGACTCAATGATGTAGGCGCTGTTCAATTGAAATATGTACCGCTTGCGATATGTAGATGAATCACCTTCTCCCTCTCTCGGGTTCCGCAAACCGGATCCTCGTGTTCTGTGCAGCACTGGCTCCTTCTTCATCACTGTCGTCCTCCGTTGTTCCCAGCGCAGCCTGTCGCCGCCTCCTTTCGGCTGGTGTTTCGCCGTAATCGTCATCGTCCTCATCGTCCCCTTGCGTGGCGAGCACCGCGAGCCGCCTTCTCCTTTCCGCTGCCGTCTCAACATTGTCATCAGACGGCGTTGCCTTATTCGCCGTCGATGAGGAGGAGGAACCTTGCGCATGCTCCTCGTCACTGGGTCGATGTTCGACAATCGGTGGGACGAGCGCCGGGTCTTGTCTGGCAATAGTTTTGAGCTTTCGGGGTGCATTCGAATCCTCGACAACCTGCTTCCGTGTGCTAGCATCGAGCTTCTGTATCTCGGCAATAAAGTCCTCTTTGGTCATGCGTCGGCCCTCACCACCAATCGTGAAGCGGATCTTCTTGTCGTCGTCCACGGGATTGCCTTGCTCCTCAGCTGCGGGCGTCTTGCCCGTGCCTAGGAAGCTGGTCCATCCACGAGCGGCAGGCCGACTCTGTGCGGCTGTAGAGCTCTCGCCCGCATCAGCGCCTGCCGCAGTAGACGCCGGTTGCTGTCTCGAGGCTAGACCACCGAGCCCAACATACTTAAGACTAGCATTGAGCCGGTCAGACTGCCCTTCGGCCTTCTCAGCGGGGATCTGGTAGGTCTTGACGACTTCACCATCTTCATCCTCGACAATGATCTGTGGAGATTAGTGATTGCACCGCAACGCGCTCATGATTAACATACCGTATTGCCGAATTGGTAGGCCCGTGCAGGCTCGTGGCGCCGGGACGAAGCCTCCTTGCTCTTGCGCTTTTCCATTTCTGTGGTATAGAACGTGCTGATGTTTCGCTTGATGTTGCCTAACGTCCATGGCCGGGATGGTGTCTGCGTTACCGGTGCAGGCAGCTCGTTGTCGTCGCGCTCCTGGCCTTCACCACGGCCACTCGGCTGCACGTCGAGGACTTCGCCGTCCTGATCCTCAAACACCATTTCACGCCCTTCCTCATACACCTCAATTTGGCGAGGTCGTTGTGTGTGCCGGGAAGCTTCATGGCCCTCTTCAGGCATACGCGCACCCTTCTCCTTGAGGCTATCAATGGCCGCCACAGCGTTCAAGTCATTGTCTCCCGTGGGTGTCTCGACATCAGGTGACAGGGCTCCTTCGGGGCTCGTGGGGCTCATCATCCCCGAGCCTTCACGACTGGGGTAAATGGCAGATTGCGAGATGGGGCCACCCGCATCGCTTTTCCTCGATTTGCGCCTTCTCGAGGCCAAAGAAGATGCACGGCTCCCACGCCTTGAGTCATCATCCTCTTTCCGACGTCGCAGAAAACCGCCAGGAGGCGCCAAAGTGTCGGCAGGGAACTCCGGCTCCTTCTCCATGGAACCTTCGGACATTTTGGCTTGTGAGCGAGAGGTGGAGGATATCCGAGGGAGGCGGTTCATCCAAGACGGACCATCGTCTGGGGCGGCAGTGTAGGACATTGTCAAGGACAGAGTATTGATGCGCTTGCCCAGGGTGAAGACAGCGATCGAGGAACCGTGCACAATAATCGAAGAAATGACGATAAAAGTGACGATGGGCCATACCAGGTAGATCAGTTTGAACTCGGGGGCGGATGAGTCCGGCAGAACAGCTAGCGGCACTGGTTCCTCATGCTCCAACTCGGCTCGTGCGAGGATCGCGACGAAGATGGCTCCAACACCAATAGGGCCAAAGTGTCCTGCGAAGAGGGCCTCTCGCCACGTTCTGATGTCCGGTATCAATGGTTTCAACGCCAACATGGCCGGTATCCGTCTGAAGAATATGACAAAGATGGCGATGACCACCAGGCGCCAGACGTACAGGCCCTCGACACCGCTGTTGTACTGCTCCCAGGGGATAATGGTGCCAAGGTACACAAAGTACGTCAAGTTGAGCAGAAGATCGATGACGTTGGATACATGCGACTCCTCCGTCTTCTCCAGGAACCACCCGTCGTTTGAGAAACCGACACCAGCTGCAAAACCGACTAGCAAGTCGTCCAATCCAAGGATACTGCCAGTGCCAGCGCAGAAGAGCGCCACGACGAAGTAGAAGACAAGAAAACTCTCGCGATCAATCATGTCGTGCCTTTCGGCGTATCTGATACCATGGCGGGCAATGTAGCCAATGAGGAAGCCATACACCGTGCCAAACACGCACTCGTACAAGATGACATATACCACGAAATGAAAGCTGACGTCGGAAGCGCTCCTGTTGTACTGAATCAAGTACAAAGAGAGGTACACAAACGGGAACGCCATGCCGTCGTTGCAGCCAGATTCGGCAGACAAAAGATCTCTCAGATGCTTCGGCACGCGCTTGGCGAACTTGCCCTTACCAACAACGGATGAAGCCAATACTGGGTCGGTGGCAGTGACGCAGGCCGCAACGACCAGACTGTCAAGCCAATTGAACGGGACTATCATCCACCAGATGAACAGGCTGGTGATCAGCCAGCCAAAGGTCATGACTGGAACGAGCAGATACACCACGGATCGCCAATGCTTCTCCATGTAGTACTTTGGCAGCTCGACACCGATGGCGAAACATTGCACCACGAGAACGATTCGCGAGAATTCGATGGTTACGATATCGGTGGATCCCCAGCTGTTGGGGTCGATAAGGTTGGCACAATGCGGGCCAAAGATGACACCAGCGAGGGTGGCCACGGTAGCCTCACCAATGTACATGCGCTCCTTGATGAAGGAGGAGCAAAGCATGAACAAGGTCGTGAAGCCGCCCAGAATGGCGTAGACCAGGTGAGAGTCCGTGATGTCGAGGTGATGCCAAGCCATGATTGCGCGAGTACGTCGTGCGGCTGAAGGGGGGCAGGGGCCTCAGTCGAGGACGGATTGTGCGGTGACGGGTCGTCTCAAAGGCATATATGAAAGTTATTTCGGAAGTAAAAGTCGAGCAAAACGAAGCGGCCGGTTGTGAGGGCGTCGAATCGACGACGGGCTTTTGTGACGAGTCGCGTGAACAAGCCTTGGACACCTCCGCAGTCGGCGCTACATGTACGGGTGAGCAAGCCCTGGGGTAAAATTAAGTAAGAATGTTCTTTGGGAAGCAATCAGTTAATCGAGCTGCAGAAGTGAGTGGCTGCAAAACGATACAGAGCTCCCTGGTTCTTCTCGCGGATGGACAAGTAGCGATGAAGCGGGTGGTGAAGATTGGAGAAGGACTGAAGGCCCAGTCCGTCCCAAGAAGAAAAACATCACAGAAGGTTTCGGGCCATTCGTCATCGGGTGCAAAAGCGGCAAGCAGCGCCCGAGACCTCGTGTCTTCTCGCGCTGTCGAAGTTGAAGGTCCAGAGGGATGTGGGTGGGAGATGCCGTGTGAGCCGGGCATATGTGGGGCTCTTCGAGAGCCGCTTTAACGGAGACGACGCTACTGGAGTTGAGGACGCTCCATAATGGACAGGCCGCGTGCTGGACGCACGTTCATGATAAAGAATGAGCAGAACTGCGCGACAAGAAAGATAGAGTTTCTGCCGTAGAGATTTCATGTCCGTCCATTTCATGCAATAGCTACAGTGCCCGTGTGCAATGGAGTAAGGCTCTGCCGCACGCCTCGTGTCTTACGTCGGCCAACAGTGACCATAATTTTGGGTTGGAAAATAAGGCTCACCCGATAAAAATAACTCTAAACCTGATCTCCTCGGCTTCGACAACATTGCCGTGCATATATGCCCGATTGCCCGCACTGACGCCTCATGCCGCAACGGACATCCCCTCAAGAGGCCTGAGGCGATGATACGACTCGGCTTTTTTCAGGCCAAAAGCAGTAATCCGCGAACCGGTGACACTGACAAGATCGCGCGGCCAGGGTGCGACTGGACTTTTCGACCTGCCGCTCATGGGCAATGTTTCCTTCCCAGTTGAGCCTCAATGTCTCGCATTGTTCACATCACACTTTCGTGTCCGTCGAGAAGATCAACGTTGCGTCCAGAGAGACTCACATGTGATGTATAAACGTCGTTTCCAGGCTGATGTTTCATACGCTTTGTAACCGATTTTTCGACAGATCTGCTCCACAGCGGCATACGGGCCACGGCTCGTTGCCAAGGCGTCTGTCTACCATTGCGGAAAGCTGCCAAGCTGAAGGGATATGTGGGCGCCTTTATGAAGCTGTTAAACAATGACCCATCAAGTTGAATCTTGTGATCTCTTTCTGCTCGTATATGGTAGCATGGTTCTGACTGGCGTTGAGCAAGAGCCTGCCCGTCTACATCGCCTCGAACATGTCCGTTTCAGGGAGCATCACCGCATCGGGCGTGATGCCCGAGACAGATTGATGCTTGCCATGTCGGGTTCGGTGGTGCTCTTCTGCAGCGGTCTGCTGCCTTGTACTCGTGGTCGCTTGTGATCAAAGAGTACAACATAGCCAGCAAGGAGCGTGTCTACAGTGGTCTAGCCTCCACCACGAACAGTGATATGGATGCTTTTGACAAGCTCACTTGTAACCGCATCTCTGCTGAGCACTACGCCTCCACGAAACTCTCCTCGACAAGCTCACTGATGCCTTGGATCAACAGATGCGGCACATTCCATAACCAACTCTCGAAAATATTCAAAGTATCCAAAACGCTCAAGTGCAGATTCATAATGTCATAATCACATAAGATTCATCAAGGTGGCTCCAAGCCCCAATGCGCCCATGACAACACAATTGACCGTGCTCATCAGTGCGCCATCATCATACTCACCCTTGACGACCTCGTCCTCAAATTCGCCCTCCACATTTCCCCGAGGCCAATACTCACACACAACGTACCATCCAGGAATATCCGCCCCCTCGTCATCCTCTTTGCATAATTTCCGCCCGCAGCCCACACTATCGGTGTCCTTCCAGACGAGCTGCGTAAAGTGACCGGTGGACTTGTCGAACTTTCCCTTTTTGAAATTGTAGTCTTCTCTCTCGTCGCCCCAGGCCTCCACGGCTGCTGTGGCGTTGCTGTAGCCGATGGCCAGGTTCTCCCCGTAGGGGCCGCCAGAGTGCTCCATCTTGCACGAGCTATCGTCGAGGTAATCGTCTGCAAAGTCTTGCAGCGTGTCGTTCCATGAGACAGAGGACGCATTGTGCTGCGCGCGGTAGTAGTTGGTGGAATTGAGGATGGCCGATGTGAATGTGTCAAAGTCCTTATACGATGGCTCGTCGGATGGAATTGACGGCGCCACTGTCACGACTGTCACGTCGTCTTTTTTTGGCATAGCCACTCCGAGGGAGATCAGCGACAGGAAGAAGACGAGGTTCATGATGTTGACTTCAGGGGGGTTGGCAACCTGGAAGCTAGTGTCGGTGATGTACAGGCGATTCGAGACGTTGTGCGGTAGCAACCCTCAATGGCACCACGCAAACCACGGTGAACGAGCTTGAGGAATGGAAGCGGTGAGCTCTGGGACGAAAAGGCAGGAGCCCAATCTCAAGGCCTTTTCGACAGCAATCATGAGGCCATTCACGGCGGCCCAAGACTGGGTGTCATCGTCAATGCCAAGCGTCCCTTGCCAATGACGTCGTTGGCCAGGGTCGTCTCGGCGGACACGAGCGTCTTTTTCATGCCATGCTCAGCTATGGCGTCAATTGATTGGGCTGTGAGACAGCGTTTCCCAAGATGCCTGAATTCTCACTGTCATGTTGAATATTAGACTCGGAACTTGAAAGATGGAGAGAGATGGAAGCGCGACAAGCTCGAAGGACTACGTCATGAGCAGAGAAATAGACCTACCCTGTAGACACAGAGCTGCCTCTTGAATGGCTTGACATGCGTAATAAATTGGGAGGTAAGAAAAGGCTACAGATTATGAGTGTAGAAAAGTCGGCATCATTGCTTTGTGCGAGGAGCCTGATACCCTACCCGTTGGATTACAATTATATTCGGTGACATGGCAATTTGACCGCGCCTGATCGCTCCATTTTCGAGGCAGACGCCTTCACCGAGATTTGGTTCGTCGCAAGCAACGTGACGCCACTCTGTCACTCTATCAGATACCATATTCCTGACCACTCAGAGCCTCTTCGCCCCATGACAACATTAAGGCGATTTGTGCTTGTTGCCGTTGACCAAGGCGGTTGACGAACTTGTAACCCGAGCTCCGACGTGCGCGTGGCGTCGGCACACTCACATCTCGTGAGCATTGTGCCGCAAACGGCATCGTGGCTCTGCATAACACCAGTCTGAGCGAAGCTAATAGGTTTCCGTGGACCCTGGGCAGACTGTTCGCTCGTCATTCGACCGAATTCACGGAGTAGGTGGAACTTCGTACGTAGCTGGGTGGTCCCAGCTCTCTTCCTTCGAGCTTTGATCGCAATTCTTGTACGTATGTTGTACGGAGTTGAGTACTGCGTTCATCGTTGCCACGCATTGTGCTGAGAGGAGTTGGACGAACGTGACTGAGCAATTATTAATCCCATTATCAACCGAGCAGTGACACTGGATGTTGGGTGGGCCACCTCTCAACGTCGGAGCCCAGCTCGGACTTTTGGTATTTCAAATCCAACCTCCCTCCAAGTTCCAACCACCCTCCAGTCCCCAACAAGGCAAGCCCCCCCGTAAACGCCAGGCGCGGCTCGCTGCATCTCCAATGGTCTGAATTCTGGCATGTCCCCCGTGACCACTGACCATGCGGCATTGCGAATAAGCCATTGGCAGTCCGCTCAGGGGTCTAACATCCACGTTGTTTGATCGGTAAATATTTGGAGCACGCTCTCAGAAACTGCCGACAGTGGAATCCGATGATTGCCTCGGTTCCAACTCACCCAACCTGGAGGCTGGGGCAAGCAAATTAGATCTGGGGAAAGTCCGGGGGAAGGCAGTGATGGTGTCCAAGCGTTGCACCAGCGCGGACCTCATCGTCAGCGAGACCGGGACCCTGGCCAAGCGCCCATCTCCTTGGCACTTGCAGCAGTAATTAGCCTGGGGTGGACTAATAATGTGTTTTTTCCCAAGTCAGGCCGCTGCCTTGTTGGACGGACATAATGGTACTTGAGGTAATATTATTACCGCGCTTTGTCTTTTGAACAGGCAAGATTCCACTAGCCTTGTTTGAAGCGCCATGATCAAGCGTCAAGCGCGAATGCTGCGCACGTGGAAGAGAGCAAAGGCGAGGTGAGCCTACGACCTGCGGCCCCTTGAGAGGTAACTTGTCCGTGAATAAGTATTTACGGAACCTTCCAATTCCAATACACAAGAGAAGCGGAACGATGAGTACGTCGGAGCTACGTCGCACGGCAGCGCGACACACCAATGCTACGATATCGAGTCCACATGCGCCCCCATCGTCCTATTGTAGGTACTTGCATCAGCGCGACGGCGACAAACGCTCCGATGGCGGTCATCGCAGCGCACTCTGGCCTTTCTATACGTTGTCCTGAGCGTCATTGGGCGGTTCAATTATAGTGATTGTTAGGACAGAACAGGCTCGCAAGCAGTCAAGGAACGCGCAGGCATAGGGACGTACTGGCGGACCGACAAGTCCTCAGCTCCAGACGGCGATGTTTTGTCGGCCACAGTCCGAGCCCCTATTGCTCCGTTATGCAACATGGTGGATTGAACATATGATCAATGTGCCAATGGGGCTAGGGAATACTCAATACTGGCTTCGTCAGTGTGCAGGCCCATGATTACCCTTCACAGAGCGGCTGTGTACTGGTAGGACCGGATTTTGGGCGGCTAATCACCCAACAAAAAGGTTGGCAATAATCGTAATGACCAAGCAATTATAAATCGACGGCGATGATAGAATGGACGATGTCACATATTGAATAGTACCTGCCTATGCACGTCGACGTGATCCGTTCAACACCGGACCTGTGCTCTGAGACCGAGAGACTGGAGCGCATTACGCCTTATTGTCCTAACAATGGTTAATTAGGTTGCCGGTTGAAATACAGGGTCGCTAGGCGCATGACGACCCTACGACCCTACGAGGCAGCCGGAGTCGGAAAGTAGCCGGGTTGCGGCCGATGAGCAACAAGGCTCTGATAATACATGTCTGCATGACCACTTGAACAAGCCGTTGCAGTTTCATCTGTCCGGAGTACAGAGGGCGCATCTGGCGCTTCCCCAATTATATCATGGGCTCTGGACTCTTTTCCTGTCCTTCAACGCTCTCAGAAGAATCAAGAAACCCCTTTTCTGACGATAATAATTAGCCGAGGGTTGCTTCTGACCCGCAGACGTCAGTCAACGCGTGTTTTCCGAGCACACCGTGCGCACTAGTGATAATAGTCATGGACCGCACGGCACCAGTTCGCCAGCCGCCAGCCGCCAGCAAGAACTCGAGGGGCATGCCGCATTAACTCATGTCCGCATCGGAGCTCGGGCAGGACGGCGTGGCGAGAGGTCCTGTGACCGGTGGGTACCACCGGCTCAGCCAATTGCAACGGTGTGTTGCTGCGCAGTGTGCTGCCAGCCAGGGGTGCCGCCTATCCCCGTTGTTATGCCGCAGACGCTCCATTCATGCACAGCCAGCAACAGCATCAGGATGGACTCTGGTGGGTGCTGCTGTCCTGTTGTGCTGTTTCGCTCGGCTTGGCCTCAGAGGTACAAAGCCAGCATCGCCTGCTGTGGCAATTCGCCGGCGTTGTTGAACGGTGGCGCAGAGAAAGGGCTTGTTCATCTGCCATGGTGGCATTTGGCTTGGGTAGTCTCAATCTACCTAAGGAGCGGTGAGCGGTGTGGACTTGAAACGAGATCCGCTACGGGCGCCAGGGAGTCGCACTTTACCAAGACGTCCAACTACATTCCTCAGGTCGCCCACAGACGGACAGGGCCAGACGAGCATTTGGCGCTAAGTGTTCCAGAAGCCGTCGGCCTGGGCATGTGTTCAAGGGGGCGTCCTGCGGCATGATTTGCCCTTGGCAGTATGGGGCCATTGCTTAGCCTGGGCCCTGGGCTGGCGCTATTATCGATCTTCCTTATCGGCTGCCTTGCCTTGCCTGGGCTCGGCTTGCCAGCAGTGCAGGCAAGCAGGGTCGCAGAGGCGCGGGAGAAATTCGTCGTTGGCTGTGGCATGATGCAGAGGACGCCCGTGATGGCGAATGGTTGGTCAACGACGGTGCTTGGGGCCAGCCAGCAAGCTAGGGTTAGCCAGAGGCGGACAAGGGCTCAAGGCATCTCTTGCAGCAAAGGCACAGGAAGGTCCAGTCGGTGTGGGACAGTGCCAGCGATCTAGGCGCACAGTCCCCGCGGTGGGTTCAGGATCTTTGTTCGTGGTGCAGGGTCGAGCAGGCGTGCCCCTCCATCGCGACAGAGTGCTGCCAGGCTTCAGTGCAAGACATGGAGCCTCAATGATTGAGTGAGGGACGACTAGAGCGATCCTGTCGGTACAGCCGACGCACAATCAATCTTGCAAGGCGACAATTCACGAGTCTCGACTCACTTGCTGGTGCGACTGTCATGCGACTCGCTGGAACTTTGCGACGGCCGGTTGCGCAAGTCACGACGTCCCATCCGCGACAAGCCGCCAGCAGCAAGCAGCTGGGATTTTCACGTCCAGCCGCAGGTTGCTTACTCCTGTTGAGTCACATTATGCAGGCTGCAGCGCTCCAAACAGGAAACACTTGTCTGTTGGTGACCCTTTACTCCGATAGCCCGCGGGTCCTGGTGCTGGCCAGATCAGCCATGAAGCGACCGCGCTGCCAGCCAAAGTATCTTCATTTTGTGACGTAAATATTCCCTCGATACAGCCCGGGGCCCTGCATCTTGAACAAGAATTAGAAACAACCTAATATGCATATACTACCAATTGCGCTCTTCACCGGGCTGAATGCACGCAGCGTTGCGTTTTTGGTGCCAGGTATCGATCAGCCGCGCTCACGCTCTGACGGCGCGCGCAGCTGCTGCATGGATCTGTGCAGAGCTCGATAACCTGATAGCCGGATGGGTTGGACCTGATTGCTTGTTTAGTTGAGGCTTTTATTTATCGATGTACTTCTCAATCTGTTGGCTTGCTGTGTTGATCATGATGCTCGAGAACTTGACGATATGCAAGCTACTGCACTGTGCAACGTCACGGTGGCACCACTTGCCTGACGATGGTGATGTTGGCCGACAGGATGTTCAATCGCTCCAAGTGCAAGTCACCAGGTAGATTGGTACATATCTTGACGTGTCTGTGTGTATGGCATGTTGATCGTCTAGGAGAAGCAGCTTTACTTATGTCCGTCGAGGGCAATGAGACTGGTGAGGATGTTGACGATTGCGTCGAAGCTTTTGCGAAATAACCGCAACAGCAGATTAGCTTCGAGTATGCAGGCCTCGTGGCAAATGACAAAATCCTACGCCTATCAGCATCATCGTCTTTTTTTAGCTCCAAAGCTATCATGTTCTTTTTCAATTTGGCACGATGCACTGGCAATCGTCTCGGTAATAATTACATGTTTCTCTAAACCCACTGCGTACTACAATGTAGTAACCATCACAGCGTGCAGCTAGGTAGGTAGCTTGAGAAAAATGATAATAAGGGGTGTAGCGTAATAAGCATCAGTGCTTTTGAGAGCTCCTATTCCTAGGTTACCAGGTCGGGGTTTTGTGCTCACGCTGAGCCAGTTTACAGGACCCTAGTGAAGCAGCTTCAGCGTGCTATTTGGGTTCCGGACTCCAAGTCTGTATGAAGCCGCCTACGATGATGCCAGTCTAGGTAATTGCTCAACGATGACATTGGGACCTGCCGGAAGTATGTTGGTTCCTTACTGTAGGTTGCGTGGGTGGTGCTTATTGGCGTTGAGTTACGGGAGCTGATGGTGGGCAGGGCCGAGCAGAGGTACGTACCTGCGGCCAGGAAACAGTGTGTCAATCGCACAAATACTGTGAGCCTGCCGGGGTGCACTTGCATATTCACCATCTCTCAGCGGCAAACGTGCAGCAGCAGCAGCACTAAGCAGCCACTTGGAGCAGGGGCTTAGGGGCCTACCGGCCTAGCGCAGCGCGAATCTCCTACCCAGGCGTGCTCGCTCCAGTCGCTCCAGTCGCCCAGGACATGGACCCATCCATCGCTGCCTCCATTCGCACTTGCCGCGACCAGCTGATCTGATGTCGTTGGGCTCTCCCAAACCCTTTTCTCTCACTCCCAACTCACTTCCCTTCTCACCCTACCTGAATATTCGGGCTGCCTGACTGACCTACGTTCATTTGCTCCGATCTATTGGCATACAACATTGTCCAAGCATTGGCCAATGGCATACATTAGTACAGGCTGAGTCTCTTCCGCCTTTCACTGCCATCCGCCTCAGCGCCGGCCTAATTACTTCATTACTACTCACATCGCATACTTTACGCCAAAAGCCCTAGGCCACCGGCTTTGCGCGCCAGTCTCGTATCCTTTTGAGCATATTTTCTTTTGGCTTCCTCCGACTGGATCTGCAGACTCGTCAAGACCTACAAACCTGCTCGATTTCAGCACGTCATCGCCTTGTCGGACGTCCACTGAAAGCGCCTCGGCCGCACTGCCCCGCGACGACGAAACGTCTAATCGCGACCATTCATCACGCCTGATCTTGGTACTCTGCAAGCCGCAGTTCCGCGCAGCAAGGTTACTTGTCCGGCATTCGTCTCCCATTCATCTGCTCCTGCATTTGTTTGAATCCCGAAACCTTGGTCACCCGCTTGTCATGGTGATGAACGATTCTGGCCCCAGAGTCTCGCGCTCCTCCACCATGTCCGGCTCCCTCGCTTTGTCTGCTACAGCTGAAAATGCCAATAACAACACTGCGCCCGAGGAAACCGGTGAGCTACTTATCCCCTCCAAGAAACTCAAACCAGCCTCCATGCTTTCTTCACGTGGCGGCTGCATCAAACAAAAACTAACTTCAGAATAGTACCCACCGCCGCCGCCGTCAATGCGACAAAGACGCCAAACTTTCCTCCGCCCAAGACCGACAAGCCCCGTCCCCACGTTTGCGCGACTTGCACCCGATCCTTCGCACGATTGGAACACTTGAAGCGCCACGAGCGATCTCACACCAAAGAGAAGCCGTTTGAGTGTCCCGAGTGTGCACGATGCTTCGCTCGCCGCGATCTGCTGCTTCGTCACCAGCAGAAGCTGCACCAGTCATCGACCCCATCTTCGAGGCCTCGCAACCGCCGCGAGTCGACCAGCGGCACTCCTGCCCAGAGCCGAGCCCGCAAGAACAGTGTGGCCAACGCTGCTGCTAATGCGAATGGCGGCGGTAACAACAACTCGGGCGCTTCCATGAGGCCCAGGGCCAACACAATAAGTCATGTCGATCAGACTGCGATGCACATGATCAATGCTGCCAATTCGGCTGTGGCCCCTCCCCGCGTTCCTCAGCCGCATCATGGTCACAACCGCCACGCCAGCCTCATTGGCCTGCCCATCAATGGGCACGGGTTCGATCAGACATTCGGAGGCATGGCCGCTGCTATGGGTCAAAGGGGCACGCCGCATGGTCTGAAAATTGAGACGGCTCACGGGATGGGTGACTTCAACAACGGTGGCCTCCGCACAGCACCCGCGTTGGCACTCAACGAGTTCGACATGGATTCGTTCATGTTTGGGGCCATATCGGCCAACACGGTCAACCCGAACGCGTTGCACTACAGCGACTCTCCGCCATCCTTGGCAATGGGTCCCATGGCCGACTTTGGTGCTCCGATGCCCGAGATGTACCCGACACAGGGTGGCCCCGACGACGACTTCGCTTGGCTGGCAGGATTCGAAAACACAATGACGTTGCAAAATGAAAAGGTAGTGGATGAGTCGAGTCCATCGGCAATCAGTTCGACAAGTCAAAGTGGGTTGAGCGATTTGATGCTCGATGGGTCAAGGTCGAACAACAACGGTGCTCTGGCGCAGGCAAACGAAGCGAACCACACGTGGAACCACGGAACGATGGGCCCTCCTCAATTCCCGCTGAATCAGTTTTCGATGGATTGCAATAACGTCTTCCCGGATCTACTATACGGGGCACCCATGTCCCCTCAGCCAGCTACTCAAAAGACCACCAATGACCCGTACTTGTCTACGCCTCCCCCGTCCATGAGCTCGTTGAGCCCTTCTGGTGTGCCTGGTTTTACCACGCAAAACATTAATCAGACCCTAGGCTTCGGTCTCGAACCGGAGACCCCATCCTCCTTCAGTGGTGGCAATCACGGCGCATCCCCCGTGACTACCATCTCTGATGCCACCCGGAACACCATTGTGAACGCCCTGTCCCAGTGTCTTCCCTACAGCAGTCGTAAACTTTCCTTCAGCAGTTCACATGGCCTGCCCCAGTCACCCGGTACCCAGTCTGGTCAAGCGAATTCCGTGCCCAATGTTCAGGACTTGCAACGCTATGTTGGGGCCTATCTCACCTACTTTCATCCACACATGCCCTTTATACACATACCCACACTTTCTTTTGATCCAAATTCGTCTCACCATGGTGGTATGAGCGGCATAGGCGGCAGTGGCTGTCTCATACTATCCATGGCCGCGATCGGTGCCCTGTACGAGCGCGAGCTCAGTACGTCTCGCGAACTTTTCGAGATGGCCAAGAAGATGATTTTCTACTACCTCGAGGAACGACGCAAGACTGATGTCCGCAAAGCTGACGTGCGACGGAGCACGCTGGGTCCGGAGCTCGGCCACCACCACGAACAAGCGACCCACACGCCGGTATGGCTGGTACAAGCTATGCTGTTAAACGTTGTATATGGCCACAACTGTGGTGACAAGACTGCCGGAGACATTGCGTCCACTCATTGCGCAGCCTTGGTGAGCCTGGCGCAGGCTTCGGATCTCATGCGACCGGTCCGCGTGGGCCGGACTGAGCCGCAGTACAGCACCATGGACGACGATGGCAGCTGGAAGAGGATGACCGAACAAGCGGAGCAACTCGAATGGCTTCGATGGAAGACAATGGAGGAACGCAAAAGGACACTGTACGCTGTCTTCATCATGTCGAGCCTCTTGGTTTCCGCATACAACCACACGCCAGCCTTGACGAATTCCGAAGTCTTCTTGGATTTACCTTCCGATGAGGAGTTCTATTCGGCCGAGTCGAGCACTGCTTTCGCTGCGATGGGCGGCATCAGCGCCGCGGACCACAACCGCATGACTTTCCACGATGCCCTTGGCGAACTGCTGCGTACCAACGAGCGACAGCACATGCTGAGGCCTGCCAGTGGATTTGGGCTTGCGTCCGATACCGAGGAGCTGCCCAAGACAGACCTGACCCCAAGCACTTTCGGTTGCCTTATACTAATCAACGCCCTGCACAATTATATCTGGGAGACTCGCCAGAGGCATCACAACAAAATCTGGACGAACGAGGAGACCGAAAAGATGCATCGTCATATCGAACCTGCGCTCAAGGCCTGGCAGGCCGCTTGGGCGAACAATCCCAAGCATCGTCTGGAGCGGCCGAACCCCTTTGGCTTGGGGCCGCTATCTGCCGACTGCATCCCGATGCTGGACCTGGCTTACATTCGGCTGTTTGTGAACATGTCCAGATCCAAGGAGAGATTTTGGCAGCGCGACTACGATGGAATGGCCATGGAGATCTCAAAAGGCATGGAAATCACTGAAAACGCCGGCGTCGATAAGTCGGATGCGGCATCTGAGGATCTCAGCCCGACAGCCACCGGTCCTGGGGCGACGGATGGCATGGAATCCAACAACTCTTCCACCAACCCGAGCCGACGCGAGAAGCACTTGCGCAAGGCTGCGTTCTTTGCCGCCGGCTCACTGTCCATGTCCGACAAGCTCAACTTGACATTTTCCGAGAATCGGGAGCTGTCTCTCCAGTCCGCCATGTGCGCCTTTGACTGCGCGCAAGTTCTTGCCGAGTGGGTTGCATCTCTTCAAGATCGAGTCGGAGGCTATTTGGGCATTCTTGGCCACGACGAAGTGGATTTTGCGCAGATGCCTGCGCTCATGCTGCTCGAAGAAGAGGACATCAAATTGCTCAAGAAGGTCGAGGAGCTCCTGTCCTCTGTCGAGATGAAGATGAGTCTCGAGGCCGGGAACGGCACAAACGGACCGAACATCACGGCCGACGGTCATCACGGTTTCGCGGCCAAGATCCTACGCGTTACCGCGTACACACTCAATCGCTCAGCGGTGTGGCCTGTGACCAACCTGACTGCCCAGTGCCTCGAGACGCAGGCAGCGTATGCGAAAGCGCGCGCAGAGCGATCGGTTGTAAATATGTCGATTTAAACATGTACGCCTCGAAATACATCCAGACTAGCAAGCAGATGCGCAAGAATTCGGCGAGGAGCTTTGGCGTTTGCTAGTGTACCAGCTTCTACGACAACGACTTAGTGTCACCTTTGGGCTTTTATTCTGAGCGGATTTATTAGGATTCGATGGATGTATAAGTAATCTATGTATGTAGTCGTGTCATAGCCAGCCTTTGACAATCACGGTTCGACGCATTTGTGATAGCAGCATGGAGTGCTGCCTGTCCGAGTGACTAGGCGCCCAGATTGTGTGAATGAACATTTTTCAGCTCGCGATCCGTACTGTCTCTTCTCCAAGGCTTCAACATTGCACCATCTGTCATTGGCTTGTGGTCGTGATCGTCTGACGACGTGCTGCGAGCGGGCGGATCTCCCTTGAATGATGAGTCGTGACTCAACTCTCGTCAACTTGAGCAGGTCACCACCGTCATCATTCTCCTCGCCCATCCTATACTTGAATCTTTACAAAAGGGAAGGCCACGCTCACTTGACACCCAGCTCATCTCTCGCATAAAAACGCTACCACATCACCGGAACCTCATACTGGAATCGCATTAAATGTCTCATCCACCAGGAGTAGCACCGCCTCCTGGAGCGCTCATCCGCCCACCAATCACCTACAGCTTCACCTCATCAGATGGTCTGCGCCAATACGCGGTGCCCATGAGGCAGTGGCTCGCGACCAACGACAAGCGTTTCCACGGCCTTCACGCGTCGGCTGTCGTCTTCAATGCCTCGGGCACCAAGGCCCTCCTCCTCCAACGCGCAGCCCACGACTCGATGCCTGGCCGATGGGAACCCGCCGGCGGTGCCATCGACCCGGGGGACGAGACCATTCTACAGGGCTGCGCGCGGGAGCTGTACGAGGAGGCCGGGTTGAAGGCGAAGCGGATCGTCAGACAGATCGGCTCTGGCGACCCCTTTACGAACCGGACAGGGACGCACATCTTCTGGCGGCTCGCCTTCGAGGTGGAGGTGGAAGACACGGATGATGTGACCAATGATCCGAATGAGCATGCGCGCTGGATCTGGGCGTCACAGAAGGAGATCGAGGAGGAGAGGCGGGAGGAAGATGGAGAGGAGATCCCGATCACGACGACGCGGATGAAGAAGACGCTGTTGGATGCGTTCCATCTGAAAAGGGAGGCTGGGGAGATCCAGGACTAGACAGCGAGGAGGCAACCACACAAGGCACGCTGCCTTTTAAGAATAGAGATATTGTTGGTCCACACCCAGTGTAGGTCTTTGCGCAAAACAACCAGAGTGAAATAGAAACGCGACTCCTGCAAATGTAGCGGCAGTCTAGTATGAAGTACAAGGGGTATCAGCCCTTCCACACTCGATATACACAGTCAAACTTCCCCCAGCTATATGATATAAACAATGCGCAAGTTTCTGGACCCATCAAGCCACTCCGCCAGGCAGGCGTCGATCTCGTCCCCGTCAACAACTGCCACCCACTGCGGTGCGCCCTCTTCGCACGCACCTCATCTCCCTAGTCGAAAGCACTTGCTAACCTCGGCAGGGCACGCAGGTGGACTCTAGTCTCCCAGAGGCATACCCTCAAGCTCATCCAATAGCCGGCGCCAGTTGTCTGCGAGCATCTCGGCGTACTTGACGCGCTCGCCCGCCCAATCCTGGTTCCAGCGGCTGACGTGGTACTGGCTCGACTGGAAGGTGATGAGCTCGTCGCGGAGACACTCCTTGATGAAGATGCTTCGGTTGTGCTGCTGCACGATGGATTCTTTATCCTATCGGGCTGTTAGTGCTTGTCCAAAGCTCTCGCTCCTAATCACGTACCTTGATAATGCTCTCCGCCACGCGCTCCACCTCGCCAGCCTTGATTGTGCCGTCGGGCTTGGATCGCAGGCTGGCCAACTTGGTCTCATTGGATTGGATCCGTCTCTCCAAATAAGGGATGTTGTCCTTGTCCAGCCGCTCTCGTCGTTCAAACATCTCGCGCACGCTCACCAAGGCATCACGTTGCCGCTTCAAGTCCTCGAGCACACCCTCTTCCCAGCCCTTGCTCTCGTCCACGATCAAGGTCTGTGCAGTTTGGAGGTGCTTGCTCATCGCAGTGAGGCCGTCGTTCAGCAGAGGGATCTCGTTGGTGTCCGTGGCATAGGTATCGGCAGAGGTTTCTGTTAGGCTCGCTAGGAGCGATGATACCCGGCCGTGATCCGCAGCGACACCCTCTTGCCTCTTGACTAAACGGTCCATGATGTTGCATATGTTGATGTAGAGCTCAGCCGAGCGCTTGACACCAGCTTTGACTCGGCTAAACAGTTCCTCGAGTCCCTGAGGCAGCGATTCCTCCAGGCCGGGGGGCAATGCACGCTCCTGGAACTCGTCCTGCACAGAGATGCTTGCCTGCTTGCGCCAGACGGACAGTTCCTGATGCTTGTCAGTTTAGCGAAGAGCGTGCGCACTGAGACGGGTGATCTTACTGTTGGTACTGTCAAGAACATGACCACAAGCTGTTCTTGGTTCAAAATTGGGTGTCTGACCAGCGCATTGAGAAATCTGGCCAGCCCTCGCCGTCTCTTCTCAATGAATGAGTTGTCATTGGACAAATGGTTGCCGTTGACGGCAACTCGCTTGGGAGGCAGCAGTGGGAGGACCCGGAATGCGTAGCGTTTATGCAGACAATCGAGCAACCACACAAAGTCGCTATAACGCCTGACGACCTTGCTGCCTCTCCTTTGGCTTGTCACCTCGTAGTTGTGGTGCTGGAACATGAATAAGCCCTCTTTCTCTGGCATCAACGTCACCAAGATAGCCTCCTCGGGTCCAGCGCCCTGTCGACCGACAGACACCCTCGGTGGCGCCAGCGGATTGTTACGCGGCATACCGCTCGCCCCTTCAGCCCCGATACCACCTGTAGCACCGCCGAAGGGACTGGCGTGCTGCTCCTGGCCACCATAACCATGCCCCAAGTTGGCTCCAGCGCCAGCACCGGAGCCGTCAAAGTACCCTCCCCAGCCACCGGCGGAACCACCACCACCACCAGAAGCAGGGGTGTTCCCACTGGCGCTGCTCTGCTGTGCACCGTGGGACCTCGCGCCCATTGTTTCGACCGTGTGCTGGCTAATAGTTCGTCCGGCTATCAACGGCGAGGGATCATCGTCGAACCCATTTGAGCCGCTGCGTGTCTCGGCGCCGTTCGTTTTGGCATGATTGTGATTCTTGTGCATGTCTGGGGTGTTCCATGGATCGATCTCAGGATCGTCCATGGTGGGACGAAGCAGGCGCGACTGCGAGTTCGACGAGTGATGCGAGGGCTGCTGTTGCTGTTGGTTGCCACGCGACGGCGGTGAGGACGCAGTATCCTTGGTCGGGGTCTGGGGAGGTTTGGCGGCGAGCTCAGCAACAGGCGGGAGGACTGGCTCTGCGGTCAAACCAGCGAGCTTGGGCCTTGGTAGGTCTGTTGGATAAAGGTGTTAGCCAAAGGTGACGCTGCATGAGGTCGGTCCATCTAGAGAAGTCAAGGTCTCCACAATGACCTGAGATAGCGGGAACCAATTGATTAGAGGTCTTGGCAGCGATGATCACAGGCAGCCTCATCTCGAGACTCGTCGGAGGGAATCAGCAAAAGATGACTTACTTCTTCTTCGCTCATCCACGCCGTCCAAGCTGATGACCTCTCCCTCTTGCGCGAGACCAATCAACGCCAACAGCACGTTGAACTCGTTGCGACTAAGACTCAGGTCGTCGGTGCGCGCATCGGGCGCAACCACGGACACGATGCGACTTTGCGTCGCTTGATCCGGCAGCCTTGCGGCAGCAAAGATGCTTGCTATGCCGTCTGCGCCGACACTGTGTCCTCCTGCGACCACGGTGTCGAATGTCTCGATGTAGCTCTCCGGCACATCACCAGAGGGAAGCAGGTTTCGGATCATCTCGGCGCGAGACTGCTGCTTCCGTGGCGTGGGCATTGACCAAGGCGAGTCGTCGCCCTCATTGGTATCATCAGCAAAGAGACTGCTCGACGAGGTCTTTTGCGACGGTTCATCGTCGAACAAGCCAGAGGCGCCGCCGCGGTTCTTGCGTGGCGTGGAGACGGAGGGCTCGTCGCCGCCTGGCGGCGATGTTCCAAAAAGTGACATTGCAATTATCGGTTTAGGAAGACCTTATATCTGAACGGCCGTTGCCTGTTGAGAATGGTGATGGTCGGATCGTGTGGGAGGAATCGAGCGAGGCGATGACGATGACGCTGTGTACCTGGGAACGTGCGCGAATCGCAGTCGCGGGAAGGAGATGTAACCGTTGGTCGAGCAAAGAAGCACAGCAATTGCACCGCAAAAAAGACCAATCGTGGTCAGCCCAGGTCGGAGACTACAACCACCAGAGCAGCGTCAAGTCAGTCGGACAGAGGATAGGTAGTGAGGTTATCTAGCAATGGAGGACGGACGAGGCTGGAATCTGGATGGGGGGGTTTCCCGCCGCGCATGCCAAGTGGACGGGAGGGTGGAGAATCGACGCCTGGCTCTCCGAGACCAACAGGGTAGCTCAATCGCACCTCAACGACAGGATAGGGCCTCGTTGCTTAGAAAAGCACGGCAATTGCCGCTAGGACGCTGTAATATACAATAGTACATACTATACACCCTGTGTTCTACCCTCACCACATCGACTCCTCCTTGGGCTTCTTCACCTCCTCAGTCTCGACCTTCTTCACCTTCTCCTTGCTCGGGACCCTGAAGTAGAGCGAAGGCGACTCGCCCTCCTTGAGCTGGTGGCTCAGGTAGCCCCTGTGCGCCGGATCACGGTAGTACTCGATATCCTCACGGCTTGTGGGGTCAGGCAGACGGTACCTGAACCTCGTCTTCCGTGCCTCGTCCACAATCTTCTCCACGTACTCCTTGCCCTGCGGCAGGGGCAGGTCCGTGTGTACCGACTCGCCGGATAGTAGTCGTCGCATGGAAAGCTTCGTGTAGTATCGTGTGAGGACCTTGCCGCCCGTGCGCTCAATGCCCTCAATGGCGCCGGCCGACGCGCGGGAGGCGACAATGTCGATTGGCTGCTTGAGAGACATCTTGCCTCGCGCAAGAAGCTTGATGCCGTCCCGCACGCTGCCCACCAAGCGGCTCTCGATAAGCTCCTTTGGTGTGATTCGTTTCGTCGGGTCGATGCGGCCTTGGTCGATCCAGCTCTGAAGTTTGTCGAGGTTGACCTCGGACATGACAGGAGCACGGCTGTGGACTAGTTAGCTTTCCGCTATTGGAGGAGGGAACAGAGTCGAGAGAAAATCCACTCACAGGTTGTCGAATCCGTGCCGACCCTTCTGGACAATCAAAGGTGTCTGACCACCTTGGAACCATGGATTCACCTTGCCGTGCTGCCCCTGACCCTTGTGACCCCTTCCTGACGTCTTTCCATGTCCAGAAGAGGGACCACGACCAACACGCTTCCTTTTCTTGACGGCGCCGGGGTTATTCGAGAGGCGACTGAGGACAGAAGCCTGGCGCGTTTGCTGCGACGACGGCTGCAGAGAAAGGTTCGCAAGGAGAGCGGTCAGCGGCGACAATGATGATGCGTTCGACGGCGTTCGACAGCATTGCGCCGCAAGGCTCGATGACAGTAGCCGTGGCACCATTCTGATTGATCGGGGATGCGCGAATGGCGTTCAACGGTGAAACGCGAGCTGGCGATGGCGGTTGAGACAACGGCCAACTTTTTTCGGGGAGCAAGGAGCGAGGTCACGTGGGCCCCACGTCAATGTCTCGCAACACCAAGATGCCCATCAGCGATGTTCGCCGTTGATATTGTAGTACAATCATCACGTTCAGCTATGCTTTGCAATCTCTATTGCTTTGTCATTTTCCAGTGAGTGCAAAAGTATTGACGAATAATTCCAAGTCTATTGCCGAACGAGAAAGACTCTTCATGAGCCGAGCTGCACTCCAATCAACTACCCCTTTACCCAGAATACTACAGTTTCGTAAACCTCTGTATGTCTATGCCAAACTTTTCCAACTCTATGTGGTATAGCCTCATAAAAGGAAAATCAGCCAAAGTGAAAACGCCGGTCGCTGAAAGCCACCTATTGCCGCCGTCGTCGTTTGAGAGTCTCCCGTCTCTTGCAAAGCGTCCAACCAACCCCAATTCTAATTACGTAGCCCCAAAGACAAACAATGTACAGAGATCATCATGGGCTGGCCCAGCCGCCCGCAACATCCACCCACTCCGCAAGGCATGAGCCGTCTTTGCCCTCCACATCGACAATGTCGGTATCGCAGCGGCAGCGACACCCGACACCGTTTTCTCTCTCTTCGTCATAATCGGCCCAGTACGCGTCTTCTTCTTTGCGACGCTTCTCATTAGGGTCTGCCATTTCGAAATACGGTTCTCGTGGTAATTGGGCGTCAGGCGCATTGGCCGGACAGTGCTGGATTGTCGTGTGTCGGTAGCCAAAGTCACGGAAGTAATGGATGTCCTTCGGTGACAACAGAACGCCGGCGGCCAGTGAATGAATGGGAGCATCTCCCCACTGCATCTGTTAGTAGCTGACTATATTCAGGCACCGGTCATGTAACTCACTCTCTCCATCCAGAAGCCGCCGCTGCGGTCCATCATCTCGAAAAAGTCGTTGTACTCCTTGCTGCGGAACCAGCTGAGGCGCGCAATCTCAAAATTGGACCAAAAGTGGCACATGTTGTACTTTTCGCCCTCCATCGCTTCGGGGTCAATCTTCTCATGTGAGTGCTTTCTGTGGTCACTCTCCAGGATTTCTTCCGCGAGTGGAGGGTTCTTGTCATTTTCAACGTCCTTCAACTCCTCCTCCGGCTGGGGTTCCACAAACATCTCCCACATGCCTTGGGATTTGATGTTGTTGAGACGCTTGTACGCCGAAGCATATCGAAAGATGTTGGGAACCGTCTCGCGAAGCTCCTTGACGGCAATTGTGAAACCATATGTCTTGTTGGCCTCAATCATTTTGAGGAACGGATCGCTGTGACGGGTTAGCCAAGTCCAAACCCGCGCGCTTGCCGAGAAACCTACTATGTAATGTCACAGAAGTATGTAATCTCGGGCTCGACGCGCCAGTACCACTCATACTTCTGCAGCAACGGGTGGTTGTAGAAGAACCCGGAGTAGAAACGACACATTGCGTGGTAACTCTCTAGCCCTCCGTACATGACCGCTGCGTCGCCTTGCTTCGCAATGCCCTCCTTGGCCACCTTGGGGTCGATCCAGTCAGGGAAGCCCCATGTATGCGGTTCTACCACCCCGAATTCGACGTTCGAGGATGCATATTTCGCCACCGTTTCTTTGAATGTCTCGTTGAATTCGACGTCATTGAGGAAGACGTACGGATAGTGGTACCATCGATTGAAGTGGCGCTCGACGGACTTGATCGACTGAATGACGCCGTCAAGCTCCTTGTTGCGTGCAAGGACGACAAAGGCGGCATTGGCGCGAGGTTGCGAAGTGTCTGGTTCGAGGCAGCCCGTCGCGAAGACCTTGTCGTGCTTCTCGCTGATTTTCCTAGAGCGCGTGAGTGCCACTTCGCTTCGAAGAATCTCTCCTGCACTGACCTGATGGCTGGAGACGCCCCTGCGGGCATCAATGATTGCGAGGAAGAGCCAGGGTGCATCACGAAGAGCACCAGTATCAAGACCAGAACCAATGTTGGAAAAACGATTATCACCCCCATTGGTACGGATACCGATGAATTCCCCCGTAGTTTGAGGGGCTTCTTGAAAAAGTCTAGCTTTGACGACAATGTCTTGCTCTTGCTTCTACTGCTCTTGTCGTCGTCTAATGATGGTAGCTGGATCGCGCGAGTCGATGCACCCCTGGCCCTCCTAACTGGCTCCATGGTGATGCGATCTGTCCTGCCACCCGGCAGGTGTAACTTCGTCGGCCAATTGTGGTTGTTGTTTGTAGGTCTGCGCCCGTCGCAGGCTGTGATCTCTGTCGGCAAGCAAAAGTTTCGCGCGATATTCTGTCGTCAGGAGCGGGATTGCTCAGGATCGATATCTTGGAAACAGATGATGAGCTGTCGGCGAATGAAGTACCCTGGTCACCGTATGCTCGTCGTTATCGTTTCGGCTCCTTCGATCGGTCAGGCTGTCGATGTCTAGCCCTGTGCGAAGGTACTGTAGGACGAGGTGCGAGTCGGCAGTGGAAAGAGTCAGGCACCTTGTTTCAAATCGTCAAGCTATGGCAGAATCCGCGACAGCTTATCGTGCGCTTTGGAGGGTTTAGTGGAAAAAAGAGGACCGATCAGCGCAATCGACCCGTTTATTGAGGGTCAGGTACGTATGCCGGCGGGATGGGAGCAGGCCAATAGGTGGACCTGGTCACCTGGCAGGTCTTGAATTGATAATGTGGAAGCTGGTGGAGCTGCCAGAGCGAAAAGGGGCAAAGAGAAGTCTTCTGGGCGATTCTATTGGTCCGGCAGCTGAGATGTCTCGACGGGCACACAAAATGTATCGTAATCGTAGGTAGTTGCATGCTCTGCGTAGGGATTCGAGCTGTTCTGTTGCTTGATGTGCTGCGAATACGGAGTAGCAGTTGATGGGTTAGGTACGTAAGTAGGTAGTCGACGCCAAGGTTTACACGCGTGCAGTGTGCCGAATCTGGCAGACGCTGGTTTTAGAGAATGGATCCGCTATTATAGTGCGTCAACCAATGAACGGCCCCTAAATACTGTCACCACGATGGACCCGGATTTCAAGCTTCAAGTTCGTTTCACAAACAAGAGACTTGTCCGCACGCCGCAGGTCGGGCGCCTACCCTCAGCACGCCATGTCTCAAAAGATCACAGGCAAAAACTTATCGTACGACACGTCTTTACCGCCATTCCTACAGGCCTTACGATCACAGACTGGCGGTAGTGACCAGCCTCAGACAACTGGACAGAGACGTGCTGCGAAGAAGCGCTCGGACAGCGAGGACGCTGAAGACGTTCCAGTCGTCGTCGATGAGAATGGCAATGTTGTGACGGTTGAGGTTGATAAAGAAGGGCAGGTGAAGCCAGGGGAGGCGCTCGACCCAACGACTGTGGAAGGTCCTGAAAAGGATGAAGTGAAGGAAGCAAAGACAGATGCTGAGACCGCCAAGGCTGCCATTGGAGGCCGGAAACGCAAAGTCGGAAGGCTCATCGGCGACGCTGGGAGCCCTGCGGAACAGGACGAGAAGGACGGGGCAAAGGACAAGGTCAAGCAAGATGAGGCGCCCAAAGCCAAGAAACCCAAGAAGAAAGCACAAAAAATCAAGCTCAGCTTTGATGATGAAGACTGAGCGTGTGCCTGAGCTTTACTGGCCTACACGAGCAGTGCCTTGCACATCGAAGCACACAGAAGATTTAAGCATGGCTACCAGTTGCCGTCAGGTCTACTATACACCGGCTGTCGACGTCCTGGCTCTGGATCACCCGCGCACATAGTGGCACGGGACTTGAGATCTAGTTCACAGTTGCAATGGGCGCCAGTCACGACACAGGAACACGCACGTGGAGATGACGCTTCGACGTAGTTTTACGTTGGAATACAAAAGAAACGAGTCATCGTAATCTACAGCCCATCCGGCGGGGAATCGCTGCCCTTCTCCATGCTACTTCTTTGGTACAACCCCAATCAAACTCCAGATCCTCAACTAGCGATCCGCTTATCGGTAGCGGTACTCAGGCTTGATGTAGTCGGCAAAGGTCTTGGGCTCCTCATAAGCAGGATCGTGGTGGTCGTGGTGATGGTGGTGGTCGTCCTGGGGGCCAATGTACTCCATCTTGTAGACGCTGCCGCACTCGGGGCAACGCTCGACGGGGCGGTCGCGGGTCACCTATTGAGTCAGTCAGCTCTGCGTCATCGTCGCAGGGTCCTGTGCAAGAAGAAAAAAACATACACGCAGCCATGCGACACCGTGGGAGTCGGCGGGGAATCCGGTGCAACCGGCAAACTGCTCGTCGCCGGCAGACTTGATGGTGATGGGGTCCTCCATCGTGCCGAGGCGGCTGGCGTCGAGTGGGCGCATGTCGAAAATGTCAACACCCTCCATCTTTCCGAGAATCTCGAGACGCTCGAGACCGGTAGCCTGCTCGAGATCGGTGGGGACAGTGCCGGGGGCAGCACCGGGACCGAAAAGATCCTCCTCGCCCTTCACCTCTGTTCAATGCCTTGTCAGCCCATGCTCGGTCGAGTATCGCCCAACCATCCGGGGCGCGTCACGCACCATTGAAGACCTTGTAGTGGCCAACCTTCTTGTCGGCAGTACCGGCGAGAGCAGCGGCCTGCTCGTTGGGCGTGGCAGGGTTCTTTGGGGCCTCGCCTAAGTAATCCATCGTGTCAGCCCAATGTTCCCATTCCAAGCTCGGCTAACCAGGATTTTTTCGGAGTCGACATACAGCGGATGAAGGAGGTGGTGAAGCTGCGGGTAGCAACACGGGCGGCGACAGGAGCGCGGCGAGCCGCGACGGCGACAGTGCGCTGGAGGAACATCGTGGAGTCGGGTTCGGGGGGTCGGTAATGTGGTGATGCGGTTGGAGATGATGTTGTCGAGGGATTTGTGCAGATGGGCTCATCTGGCACGACGTTGGAGCGTGGATCCATCTTCGGAAGTCAATTGACCAATGAAGGAACCCATTTGCAATCACGTGACTCATGGGCTCCCGAGCTATGGGGCATCACCAGGCCACATGAAAGTATCACGGCTGTTCGCGTGAACAGTCTGTCGCATCAATAAATCTCAATGAATCAATTTTGGGTATCATGCTTCAAAATACAGCCTCAAAGTTCTGACCGCTGACGCCTTCGTAGCAATGCAACAAATGCTGCCAATATCTCGACCCAGCTTCTTCCCAAACGCCAAATAGCCTGTGCTCAGACTCAACCCTCAGAGCGAACATAGCAAACGTTGTCCAACATGAACACAATCAGGACCCGCAAGGACCCCCATTGGGTGCAGTATGGCCTTGAGTTTGACCGCTGCGTTGCTGGCGGTACACGTTGATTCCGGCGTAGGTTGACTGTTCTGCTAATCGAACCCTCTTCTTCTTCCGCTCGAGCTCTTTCTCCCGAGTAGCCTGTTCGGCCTCTTCACGTAACTTTTTGGCGCGCTCATCCCGTGCCTTGCACCCGCCGACGTTCATGTCGTATGTCTGCTGGCTGCGGCGATTGATCTGGTCCTTGAAAGCAACGCGCTCCTGGCGTTCATTGACCTTCTTTTGGACCTGGTTTACGCCATTGTTGTAGTAAGGCTTTGATTCTTTGGTTCGACCAAAAGTCTTACCCGATGGTTGCTTGAGATGATAGGCAAAGGCTGTCATCATGCGCAGCATCTTGTCATCGGAGTTGTGCTTGTCAATCATGTTTGTGATGACCCTCTTGGCAGCCTTTCTCTGTTCATTCGGGAGCTGCCGTTGGCTTCGGCGGATAGCTGCTTGTCCGATTCTCCAGCGGAGGAAATTCCAAGGTTGCATAGTAAGCTCGCCGTGTTGGTAAAGGATCTCCAAGTCGTACAGGCGAAGGGCAAGACTGTACATCGTCTCCTGCTCGCACAGGCCATCGTCCGGGAGGTATCGCTTGTTGGTAACTTGGTTCGGGTGGGCGACGGTATTAGGGCCGAACATTTTGCCAATCTTGTGCTGCTTTGAACAGTTGTCGGAGTGACGCTTGGCAGTGTCGGCTATCAGCTTCCTCTGCCTCTTTTGCTCTACGGTGATAGGCACGGTCTTCTTCGCTTCTACTAAGCGGGCTGTCCACTCGGCCTTAAGCCGCTCCTCTTCTCCTTCGCGGGCGATATAAGCGTCCAGAGATCGCCAGTGCGGATTCCAGTACGGAGAGTCTTCGCTGATTTTGTTGACCGGCACTCCTCGCATACTCTCGGGATGGGTATACGTGTTGCCGTCTTCGCTCACGCGAAACTCGACTGTCTCCGATAAGTACTGTCTCAATGCGTCGATGTCAAGGTCGTCAGAGCCACGGTTGACATTCGTCGTTTCGTCGACGCCAACGTCTGTTTCAGACATGTCGACCACCGGGGGTCCGCGTTAGGCCTTAGCTCGCAGTGACGTTGTTGGCCTAGTAGTGGCTTGATTAGCTTGTGAGGCCTTCAGTGCCGTGCACTCGCGATCCGCTTGATACGTTTAAGAACCACAAGAAGTAAGCTAGGTGTGATGTTAGTATAAGGGCCAGGGCGCGAGTCCATGTGTTACTTACCGCGGCTTAATGAGCGTAGCTTAAGTATTTCCACGCGATTTGCTAGGTTTAGTTGTGAAATCGTGTGGTCGTAGTATCAAGAGGGTAGGTAAGGTAGGTAGGTCTCGTAATCAGGAGCGCGGGCGATAAAGCGGAGGGGTTAGCAGTGGATAGGAGAGAGGAGTAAACATCGAGAAGTCGCGGTAAAGGTTCTCTACGTAAATAACATCAAAGGGGGCCGGAGCCTTATAGGTGTGTTATCTATCGTGAGTGACGTTACCGGTTACGCAAATTACAACACACCGCCTGCATGCGGAGCCAAGTATATCAGACGAAGGTTCTGTACTACCCTATGCCCCTCTTGGTCTCGCGAAACGATAGCGACACGCGCTTTTGTGTAGATGGAATATACATAACGCGATTACTTACGCGATTGTTATTGGTTTTTAGGCATTGTACTTGTTACTTATTAGGGTCTCTTGACGTGCTATCTTGAGGGCTTGACTGATTGTTGACAGACGACAGGCAATTCCTCTCTAAAATCAGACACTGTCGCGCCGTCTCATCGCAACCTTGACAACTGAGTTTTTATCTTCACGACCAACCATAAAGCATACACCTACAATTTCGCAGCCATTTGCCTCTGTTGCAAGATGTCCAAGCTCGGCGTCATTCTACCCCATGGGGCCAAATACGCTCCACCATTGCGGCTAACGTACTAGCAGTATTGGCAATGCCGAGGTCCAACTGCTCCTCCTATTGAATCTCGTCGCGTCCACCAAGATTAGTATTCCTAGAACTATCACTTCAAAAAATTGAGTTTGCTAAACGCCAGGACTCAAAGGGTCGCATATTGCATTCGAGACAATGGCAGACAAAGCTGACGAGGGCGAGACTTATACGCGCCACTCCTTCCAGGAATGTATGCAGCTCACGCGGATATCGAGCGCAAATGGGAAGGATGCACAGCGATATTTCAGCCACCAGCAGCCCTGGAGGCCAGGCCAGGACTTGGGATGGAGCATGAATACGCAAAGGAGTCCAGAGCGCGCGAGGAAGTTTGGTCCGGGTGCGTACGGGGCTCATGTGTACGCCCAAGCATCGTATGCAGCTGCCAAGGCGATCGAGGAGGACAAGTCTATACAGAGCGCCAGCCAACTTGCTATTTCCGTGAGTCTCATCGTAGAGCGCGTCGCCCAATTCTGAACTGACCCAAATTAGTCTATACAAGGCGTCTTCTCCCGCCCAGGCCTCCAGGACAGACCGTTTATTTATGATGTGTCAAACATCAGTACGGGACGGTCTTTTTCTACCCAGCTTGTGGTCGCACGCCAACCTTTCGAGCCATCTAGCAAGCCTGAGGGTCCTTTCCCACTTTCTGAAGCAGATCTGCCGCTCGACGAAGTGGCCTTTACGAGCCTGACGACTTTCAAGAGGCCAACAGACACGCCGTCAGAGGTGCAAGAGCGGGACTCGCCACAGGTTCGCTTCGCCGAGATTTTGCAGTCGAGGGCGGCGGATGAGTGGGAGGCCTCTCCCCAAGCCGATATCGATATCGTGCGCGAGACGTTCCCCATGAAGGGACATGGGTCCTTTCCCATCTTGGACATGTACAAGGTCGACATGACGGGGTACAACGCCAGCAAAGATATTCCAGATCGACGGCAGCTGACGTTGTACCGCCTACACAAGCCAGTACCTGAAGACGACATCAATGCACACATCCTCTGCCACGCATACGAGTCCGATCGAAATGGGCTCATTATGCTCGGGAACCACCTCGGCTATGGATATAGCCTGGGCCCCACGGCCACGCTGAGCTACAGCTTCTTTGTTCACGTCAATGGCGACGAGGCGGTCATGAGAGGCGACGGATGGTGGGTTCAGGAGATGTGGTGGCCTCGGGTGAGTGCGGGACGTTGCATGCAGGAGACAAGACTCTGGAGTCCCGAAGGAAAGCATATTGCCAGCGGATACCAGGACGGGATGGTCTTGCCTGCGAAGAAAAGCAAGATTTGACGAGTACATACTTATACATATATATACACCGGATACTATGTGTTACATTTCTGTACGGCGAAGCCTGAACCTCTGTGGTGCGGGCCTCTACATACACAGACCGCTCTGGAGGCCTTTTCAGGGACGCCGCTAGGGGTTCGTCATCTCGTCTGACTTGAGGACGCTGCTTTGCACCTAATCGAGTCTGCAGAAAAAAGAGCGTCGACAGGGCGGCACGTAATCAGCGACGAGATCGCAGGGCAGCCAGCCGACCGAGAGCGTCGTTGGAAGAAGACCATCGAGCTCTATGATAGAGCCTATTAAAAAGCCTCCGCACAATAGATCATCAGTGGGGATGGGCTCCTGGTGAAGCATTCTCATTTGTTCTTGCCCTGTTCTTGCCGGGTGTTGAGGTCCGGAAGCCTCCGACGCACGTCAGCCTGGGATGACGGCCAAGTGCCCAGGTAAGTAGAGCGTGCTGACTGATGCATGTTGCACCCGCAAGTGCTAGACGTGGCAACTTTTGGCGGGAGGCTTGGGGGAGTGCGCTCTTTCTACTCCTGAGTGCATGACTAGAGTTTCGTCCGAGCTGCGGCTTTCGAGAGGGCATTGCAGGACTAGCAGATTTGCCAACTGACCTGGCTTAGTGATGAGCCAGTCACTCATCCTCCGACGCGGAATCTGACTCATCTTGTTCACTGCTCTCTTCCTCTTCGTCGTCGTCGTCTATGGTAATGGTTTCGCGTGGTTGTTCAGAAGGCTTTGGCATGCCATTGGCGGGGGCGCTCTCTGGGGGAGGAGGAGGAGGTGGTGGTGGCTCTGGGCCTGCAATATTCGCAAGAAAAGCCCACGCTGCACTCTGCAATGTGTCGCGGGCCGTGGCATGCTCAGTGTCCTCACATATGACCAGTTGCGCGTTGGCGATGCCTGTCTTGAAACCGATGCCCGCCTCGACCGGATTCATTACGTTTGCTTTGTTTGCCACAGCCAAGGTCGGCGTCCGGATCTGCCTGAGCCAGGACCTCAAGTCGTAGTAAGGCATGTTCATTGAGTACGCAAAGTTGTGCGTCTCATGGTGCAAGAGCCGGGACGCAAGGGTGATGTGCGGCTTATAGATGTGTCTGATCTCTGACACAGCGGCGGCAAAGTCTTCCTCGTCTACGCAAAAGCCAGACCAGAGCCTGAGCTGGCGGTCCACGTCTGGTTTCGGGCCTTTGCCCTGGTACGTCAGGACCGTTTTGAGATTCCCCATGGAGGCGTGGACACCGTGGACCCAAGTATCGTGAAGGATGAGCGCAGAAAGACGCTTGGGATACGCAATGGCGTATTGCAAGGCAATGCAGCCGCCGTAGCCGTCGCCAACCAGTGTGAAATGAAGGTAGTCGCCAGCCCAGCGGCTCAACTCCTCAATGTCGACGAGCCAACGTTGGTGGGTGAAAGGGCCCATGTCATCACTGCGACCGGAGCCCCTGAGGTCATATATCAGCAGACGAAATCGCTTGGCTAAGAAGCCGAATTTCTTCTGGGATTCCTTCATGTCTGATACGCCCGGGGAGTCGTGAACTACGATAGCCAAGGGCAAAGTAGGCTCATCATTGATGATGGCAACGCGCAGGCGCGCCTTATCACGGAGCTGCACGCAAGTATTGAGTACCTTGGAGAATGAGGCGTCCTTGATGAGATGTCGACTGCTGCTATTGCCAATGGCCACCGATTTGGGGTCATCTTCATCAGCCCATTGTGGCAGGCGTGATATCCGCACGAGGCCCCACGCGCGGATCTGGATCTCTAGACCGCGTCTGCCAACGTGATGACCAGTTCGTTGCTTGATTATGGGCTCCATGATTCTGTGTATTTCTCGGTTGGAGTGCCCAGCCATATGCAGGTCAACAATCTCTTGGCGGAATGGCTGCAGAATGGTGCGGGAGAGCCTGGGTCGGTGGCCTAGGTTCCATTGCTGCAGGGCGCGCCGGAGGGTGCACGTTGCAATAGGGCGGTTACCACGCGACTCTAACAGTTCATTGACAGCAGGAAGCAGTGTTCCTGGCGTGTTGAAGGCAGGGTTCATGGCCAAGATCTCAGATTTGATCGACTCGAGGTCGGCCCTCGGCCGACCTGGGTTGGCCTTGCGCGGCATGGAGATGGATACAATGGAAGGACACCAGTGGTGTGAACTGTTGGGCGACGATTGACGATGTTTGTTGCTAAGCCCCCCAAAAGAAGGAGTACGCGTTGCGAGTTTTGCTCCTTCCCTTCACGCTTTTATGGGGCAGTGGGGAAAAGACCTGATGTGAGTGGACGTGTGAATGTACAAGGCTCCTAACAGAAGATCACACTATCGCTAGCTGGTACTGATAGTGGTGACCTAAAGGTGGAATTGCACCAGGCTCCCCTTTCCCCCGTACCTTCCTTCAAGCTTCTGAAGTTCTGACGCCTTGGCTACCAGGTATCTTGGCCATCTTGAATAAGAGCAGGTGCCAGCTGTATCTTTCGAGAGCTTGACAACGTGGTGACATTGCAACTCCACAGGCTCTACGCAAGTAGCCCTCGAGCACCTGAAATTCCGCGACAGCTACTACGCAATCCACGCAGTTTGGCGTCATCAGCAGACCTCAGCGACGGCACTTGTGCTGCACGTAACCTTGCCCAAGTCTGTCTGTCCATCACCTGCCACGCTGCCACCTGGTCGGTCGGTCACTATCTGGACAGGCCCATCCATGTACACGTCGCAGAAATGTCAAAAAGTTCGATGGAACCATCGATTGCCCCCACACGCAACATGGCAATCAGTTCGCTAGCTGCCTGTCTTGGTAGCTGCTCCTCGACATCTGCACGTGTGAGCTGCGTGAGCTGCTTTGGCCTGCCTGTCGTGGCTGAGACAGAAGGTGAGTGGTCGCTCGTCGGTCGCCTATCTACGTATATGCCTTTTTGAGCTCGACTCACCGCCAGCGATCGTCACCGATGGCCAGACGTTCGGCAGTCCATTGACTTGTCGTTCGTCCAGGGCCGACATCCGGCGCTTGTTGCTCGCTCACCAAGCCACGTTGCCAAGTTTGCCTCTTTCAGTGCGGTCCAGGCGGGCCACTTGTGGCTCTGCGAATTGACGGGAGAGCCTTCTGGATGCTCATGTCCAAATTGCCATTAATCAGGAGTTGAAAAATCGCGAGAGCGTGAGCTTGTGCTCACAGCGTGCTCCAGTCCCCCGAGATGCACGGCGTTGATCACCTAATTAATACGTACTGCAGGTAGGTTACGTACAAGGACCTTGGGTGCTTGGGTGGATATTTTCCGCCACCCAAATTCGAGGCCGTGGTTGATGAACGAGGAGGTGGGGAGCTCCAGACTTTCGCTGCGGCTGCGGCTGCAAGCTGCTGCAAGCTGCATCCACCATTCAGCCTGGAAGATTATTTCTCGGAGCATGAAATTGGCAGCTGAGAAGCAGGACGGACGGTAGCTCAATGCGTTGCGCTGCGAGCCTGGTCCCGGGCCGCTGAGAATACGCACTGCGATTCCTCCCTCGGCCTGATTACCTGACAGGGCTGCTAGCAGGCCAAAGGACGGATGGCAGCAACACGCGAGCATTTCTACCACACTTGTTGAACACACATGCACCACGGAAAAAAGCCGTGGATCCTCACTTGTCGCCGCGGCTATTTTCCAGCCGTCTGCAACCAGCCAACCATGTGTCAACCACCAGGCATTCAGTGTTCACACCCTCTGCCATCCCTGTCGGGCCTTCTCGATTAGGGCAGCACATCCCCCGGGAAGCAGGCCTCTTCCAAACGAAACGCGGGGCAGCTGGGTCCATGAGGAAGAGAGAGGGGCGGCGCGCGCTGTGAAGTGTGAACTGATGCGCTAGCTCGCTTACAAGCCGCGTGCGTGGGAAGGATTGGAGTCCAGTCAGGACCGCTGCCTCCGAGTCCGAGCCAAGGTCATTCGCCTGCCTCCGAAGACGAATGGTGGCCCTTTCTGCCATGTGCCCGTTATTATCATCGTGGGCCTGTCAGATCGGCGTGGCCATCCATCAAATGGCAGGGTCTCACTCTGCTGCTGATTGATGGCGATTCTTCAACACTAAAGGACCCCTCCTTTCCCCAGACCTGGCTCTTTTGGACTTCTACTCGCTCTCATCTTCTTTATTGCGCCTACGATAATCAACAGCACCTGTCCTTCCCTAGACTAACCGATGCCTCGGGAGTGTGGCCAAGCCAGCCGGGTCACAGTGTGACTGCGCCTACATGAGCGAATAGCGACCCAAGGACCGGGTCTCCAATAGTCTCGACATTGCGCTCCCGTCCTGGATCCTAGGTCCTAGACTCCTAGTAGGTCCTAGGCCGGCCGGTCAGTCAGATTCGCGCGTCGAACCCCTGGCTCCTTGGCTGGGGAGCAGGAGCCAACAATATCGAGTCTTCCCCATCGCCTCCCGCCCACCCGCCCAGTGCAGCCCGCTACGTGCGATGTGTACCCTGGACGTGAACATGGACATTGCCAATTTGGAAGACACCATCATGGAGATGGCGTGAGTGTCCTGCAGGCCCGAGAGGGCGCTCCCTGACCTGACTGACGAGTCACAGAAACTCCTTGACGCGTCTCAATAATAACGAGGCCAGCGCGGCAAGCAGCAATCAGGGACAAGCCACGCCGAGGACCGCCGCCCCCACGGGGCAGCAGCTGAGAGGTTCTTTTTCACACGACATCAGCCCGTTATCCACATTCTCGGCGACGAACACCACTACTACCAGCACCTCTCCTGTTTCTCGTTCTTACTTTCCCTCACGTTACAGCTTCAGCCCTGCGGCTTCCCCAGACTTGGAGACTCACCAGGCGGTCATTCCTTGGCCCACCCTCGAAGGCGAGGCCACTTATATCCGCCCTTCACAGGAATTCCTCGAACAGAGACGCTCTTCCACGGCGCGCAACAGCGTTGCTCACCCGGGCCGGCGCCTCTCCATCGCCTCTTCGGCGCACACGCGATCATCGTCCTGTGCCTCCAGCACATCCCACATGTTGGGAACGAGTCCCTTCCCGGCTCCGCTGAAGCCTCTACCGCCTGTGCCGGCCTCGGTCAGGACGTCTCAGCGCACGTCATCACAGCCGTCTTCATGTGACCAGTCGTCCCTCGATATGGACCGCTTGTCACATGCGTCGAGCACGACCTCGTCCAACCTGTCGAGAGCGTCCATGCAGTCCTTCAGCGTGCGGCCGCCCGTGCCTCGTCGCCCGCCAGAGCACCTGCGCCCGTCTCTGCCATCGTCCCCAAACACACGCAGGCTGTATCCCCTCGAGATTGTCTATTGGAAACAGCTCGCTGGTGCCGAGAAGCGCAAGAGCGGCAAGACGAACATGGTGCACTATCTCGACATCTCCACCAAGGCTAGCACGGTGGCCACCAAGCATGGCAACAGCGTCATCAAGTTCTGGGAGGTCTCGTCGGGGGATCTGGTCGGCACCGTCAAGATCTCCGCCTACACCGAGGCACACTGCAGGTCGCGTGACTACCTGATCCGCAGCCACCTCATCCTGTCCGAGACCAACCATCTCGCCGCCATCGCTACCCGGTTTGGCCGCACCATTGAGATCTGGGACTGGAAGATCAACAAGAAGCTCCAGGTCATCGACGACACTGACCGGTGGGTGGCCGGTCGCTTTGAAACGCACGACGTGGGCTGGAGTCCGCTCGCGGCCTACCGCGGCAAGGACGCTCTGATCGACCTGTTTGCGGCCACGCCACAGAAGAAGCCGTTTGTCAAAGTCCGCACCATTGACATTCGAAAGGCCGGACTGCCTTTCACGCCTCAGTACCCGGAGCTGGCGCTGTCCTCCACCAGTCCACTGCTCGTCGCCGCCGCGGGGCCCCGTCCGCCTCGAGCGGGCCACCCACCGCCCGACCGGGAAACGATGCTGGTGACGTGGGACATTACCGACTTTCGGGAGGTCTCAAACGCCCCCGACCGCGTCGTCAGACCGTGGCAGCACAAGGAGCTCGAGACAGCGCTGCCGTGTAACCTGACAGCCTATGGGGACCTCGTCCTGTCCATCTGGATTCCGTCTGGCTACCGCACCGTGACGAATCACAACGCCAGGGGCGAGCTGGAGTATACGTTGACGCCGGTGCCGGTGCCATTCCGCTACGTCCTCGTGTGGGATCTCAGCGAGAACTCGACGCGCACGTACGGCATCCCCAACACCACGTCGTGCATCTCGCCCGACTGCCGCTTCGTGGCGTACAGCCAGGTGGCCGAGCGACGGAGCAAGATCGCCATCCTGGACGCGCAGTCGGGCGAGGAGGTGTGGAGTGCGGGCGGCGAGGGCAACCTCAAGTCGCTCGATCAGGTCGGTGACCTGTCCAAGGTGACGGATCTCGCCTTCTCTGCCGACGGGCGGTTCCTGGTGGTGGGCGAGGTCGACGGCAACACGAGCGTGTACGACGTGCGGGAGTCGGCGTTCTAAATGGTCTAGATCCGGTGATGAAGTGCTGGTGAGGCGTTTTCGGCAGATACCTCTTTGTTATTCTTCTGGGGGACCGACTGTTCATGGCGTTCCAAGCAGTTTGTGGGTATTATATGCATTCTCTCGGTATATACATGTGCTTTCCTCTGTATATACATGTGTTTCTCAATAAATCTCAGTCATGATCATTACCGCATTTGACTCTTTGTCTGTCTATCTATCTATATACGCCCGTAGTCCTTCTCCGTACTGTTGACAGAAGGGCTCGTACTCCCCGAGGGGTTTGGGTATCTCGGATCCCGGTCCTTGCCGTGTTCCATCTCGACGACGACGGACGTGACCGTGTCCATCTGGATGGCAGCCGTGCCCCGGAGGGACTCCTGACTGACGCTCCGCGCGCCCCCCGGTCGACGGTCGCCCCGGGCGGGCCTCTCGGTGTCAGAGCCGCCGCCCAGACGCTGCCACGACCACCAGCCGCCGGTGGTCTTGTCCTCAGCATGCCCTCCTGCGCCGCCGCCAGGGCCGTGGGGGTTCCCGCCCTGGACCCAGACCATGTTGCCAAAGGCGCGCTGCTGGGCGGTCTGCATGAAGCGAAAAGTGGCGAGGCCCGTGTCGGCGCTGTCGACGTCGTGCTTGCTGGCAAAGACAATGACGTTGCGGGTGGTGCCAAAGAGCATGCAGTCAAACATGCCGTTGGAGGCGATCATGGCGCCGGCAAAGCACATGTAGCCGAGGGGCACGTCGGCGCCGGCCATGCTGGCGATGCGGCCGAGGGCGAGCGGGGCGGTGCAGAGGACGTAGATGACGGGGTAGATGAGGAAGGCCGGGTTGTGGGCGAGGTTGAGCTGGGACGAGGGACGCTCGACGGTGCGGGTGCGGTCGGAGACGGCGGCGCCGTGGGCCCGAGCCTCCTCGCGGCGGATGTGGATGAAGATGGTGGTGTAGAGGCCCGAAGTGACGGCGATGGCGATGAAGATGAAGAGGTAGTGGGTGAGGAGGCGCAGGTTGGAGTAGGCAATGTTCATCCAGCACCAGGCGCCGGCGCGGACAAAGAAGCCGCCGTAGTGGGCGCCGTTGGCGGTGGCGAGGACGGGGACGACGGAGATGGTGTAGACAAAGAGCCAGGCGCCGGCGATGACGGTGTAGAGGACCCGGTGCGGCATCTTGTAGCGGCGGACGACGGAGAGGTAGGTGTGCACGGCGATGAGGGTGATGAAGCAGCTCGAGGCCAGGTCGCCCGTCGAGACAAAGAGGCCCTGGGTGAAGCAGGTGGGCGTGCCGACGCGGACCTCGTCGTACCGGAGCCACTCGGCGTTGAGGAAGAAGGCGATGCCCTGGTGCATGTCGGCCAGGAGGAGGTTGAAGATGAGGATGAGGAACTGGTTGGGCGGCTGTCGCTTGATGGTGGTGGTGGTGGTGCCTGTCGTCGTTGTCTTCCGCCGCAGGGACTGCCGCCGCTCCGCGTCGCCGTCGTCATTGCTACTGCTCTTGCGATCCTTGTCCCCCGAGCTGCGCTCCTGTGTCTGCTGCGCGTCCTCCTGGCCGTCGGTGAAGATGGTGTCGATGCCCAGCGCAAAGTCGACCCTCCGCTGGAGCGACTTGCCGTTCTGCTCACTGGCGACAATGTGGCCCTCGGGTCGTGCACGGGGCGTTTTCATGTAGTGCCAAATCAGCTTGTATGTGAGGTAAAGGAATAGGACGCTCGACGAGAAGAAGGAGACAAAGGCCATTGTCGTGATGGCCGTGAGTCCCTGTTGTAGACTGGGGGTCAGAGCCAGCGACTGGCCCGACTCGGCCAGCTGCCCGTTGACCATGTTGTCGGTGGTTGTTGTGATGGCGGTGGCGATGGTGAATGGTGTGATGAATGGGGATAGGACCCTTCTTGTCCGCCCTCAGCCTCAGCCTCTTCGTTTTCCGGATCCGTGTTGCTGCCAATGATGATCCAAGTCACCTAACTTCCCGGATGGTTTGCCTAGAAGCAGGGACACAAGAGTGAGGTGATTGATCACTTGAATACTGCGTCTGTCGAATTACCTAGGCCAGAGAGCGTCCGATCCTCATATTGGGGGTCCTCGAGTCTCGAGATCTGATGGCGGCGCCCACACGTGGCAGCCAGTGTGTCTTGTCAGATTTCGAGAATACTGTACATAAGGCCGTCTCACGGTAAAGAAGAAACGACCGCATGACACTAGTTATCAATAATTCATACCTACCGGGGCCGGACTGCCCCTGGGCAATCGCTTGTCAGGATGTGCATCTTCAGTGGTAAGCGAGTGGCACCATGTCCCGTTGAAGCTAGGCGCGCAGGCGGACCCCTGACGCCCACTGCAATTGTTGTGCCCTGCGAGTCATGGTCCTGCGACTGACAGGGCGTCTAAATGTGATGATCCATCTTTCTCTTCCTTTTAAGGCGACCGGCAGTCTATTCTCGCCGGGGTGGCCAACGAGGGAGGCTCCAAGAGGACACCACGCAGAGTGAGGCTGCTGAGGCAGGCGGCGATGGAACTTGCGCCTAATTACTTGACTTACAGTAATATGTATGAGCATTTGGACTCGGGGAGTCCGCGGCCTTCGGCAGGACAGTTTCAGCCCTCTCACCGGTAGGGTGACATTTCTCTGTCTGAGGATTCTGCGTTTGTCTTGACATGTGGAGTTTGGAGGTTTTGTGGCTGGCTTGGCGGCGCAGGCCGACGGGCAGGCAATCGGCGACTGTCATGGAACGACGAGCGAGCGAATAGAATCCCCTGGGCCCCGATGTGTGAGATCTTATTGATGCGTGCGTCTCGAGTCTAGACTCTAGTCTCTAGCCAAGTCCGCCGACGTGGACTGGACAAGGCGCTAGCCAACGTGAACTAGCAAGGCCAATTGCCGGCGGGGCTACGTATCTCATGTCGTCGAGCGTCGACTCTGCGATCACTGATAGATCACTGCTGACATGTCGTCGTGAATCGTTCCAACGCAACGGTCGGTCCTGGAAGGCCTGCCCTGTCGACAACCCCCTGCGAACGATGTTCAAACTTCAAAGACTCGAAGTGATGGATCAGCAGGATATTGGATGGATGATGGACCACTGCCAGGGCCAGGGCCAGGCAGCCAGGGTGATGATGTTCCAGTGGATCCAATCAAACGCCAGGCCCTGCTTCTCCACTCCATGTCCCCAGGGGTCCAGTCCAGAGGGCCAGCACCATCATCAGCACCTTATTAATTACCTTAGCGAGCCTTTCTAGCGGAGCTAACAAGCGCCGGCTGTCGCCCAACGGGCTCCAGGTCGACTCGCGGAATTTAGATTGACTGCAATTGAGACGGACAAGTAAGTCACTCACCTGAGTCACCTCATTATGTACGTATGCACAAAGGTAACTAGCCACGCCTCATGTCATGCAGCCTCTCGTCAGATGATCATCTACGATCTGCCAGGCACCGTGCGTGCTCTCCCACGTGTGCGCGTCGATGCAGTATACGTAGGGCTGAAGAGAAGCAACGATATGATATATCACAGAGGCATAGGTGGACCTGTCATGTACGCACGCTTTCAACACGGGTGAGCAGTGGCTTCACTGCGTAGCAGACTGCCCGCATCTAAATACATTCATTTCTTCGTTTCTGCATCACACGCTAATCGTGCGGAACACGCTAAACTCCTCGCCGGTGGCGACGAGGCTGCCCGTGATCTGCGGGTGCCAGTGCACCTCCTTGACGTCCTTGAGGTAGTGCACAAAGAGCAGCTGGGGCGGAACGTCCGAGGGGACACCGGCGCCCTTGGCCTCCTCGTCGTCCAGCTCGACGGCCAGGTCCCAGAGGGTGACGGTGTTGTCGCCCGCGGCGACGGCGACGATGGAGTCGTCGGTCGGGTGCCACTCGACGCTGGTGACCTGCTCCTTGTGGTAGTCAAAGCTGGCGAGCGGCTGGGGGCTGTCGCTGCTCGTCTTCCACTGGCGCAGGTCCCAGACGGCCCAGGTGCCGTCGTCGGCGCCCGTGGCGAGCAGGTGCGACGTCTGCCGTGACCAGGACATGACGTTGACGTCGTGCTGCGAGACCTGCATGGTGATGGCCGGCTTGCGTGCCTTGGAGCGAATGTCCCAGACGCGCACCGTGCCGTCGCTCGAGGCCGAGGCGAAGACGCTAGTCTCCGACGGCGACCACTGCAGCTCCTCGACGCTGCCCGTGTGGCCCTGGAAGGGCCGGTTGTCCGTCTGGAAGCCGCCGCCGTCGGAGCGCGACGTCACGTAGATGAGGCCGTCGTTGTCGCCCGTCAGCAGCTTGCCCGGCACGGTGGACGACCAGTCGACGGCGTAGCCCTCGGCCTTGTGGGCGCGGATCGTCGAGAGGGGCTTGTTCTGCTGCGCGGTAATGGTCGACCCGGGCGTGTCGAAGGACTCGAGGTGAGGCGTGATGTCGTGGATGTAGACGTCGCTCGACTCGGACATGGTCGCCGTCAGGGTCGTGCCCGGCCGCCCGGCCTCCTGGCTGGGCAGCTGGGTCGCGCGCACGCGGTTCGTGGTCGACTTGAGGGGGATGGTCTTGCTCTCGAGGATGGGGTCGGCGTCCTCGTCATCGTCGTCGTCGTCGTCGCTCGACTCGTCCCCGTCGCCCTTGTTCATCCTGCTCAGCCCGCTGAACTTCATGACCATGAGCTGGTTCTCGCCCGTGCGCGCCGTCTCGGCCTGCGTGCCCGCCACGGTGTACATGGTGGCCGGGTAGGTCTTGCGGTTGTCGCCCAGCCCGTCCTTGAGCACGTCGAACGACAGGCAGGGCCAGGGCGTGCTGAGGCTGTGGAACATTTCGTAGGTGGTCGGGTCGGGCGCGAGCGTCTGGCCGGCCTCGAGCTTGTTGCGGCCGACGATGAAGGTGCCCTGGTCTACCTCCATGGCATCTGGGGGGGTCAGCAAAGGTCCATGTCTCTCATGTCAGTCTCAACGTACCCTTCTCCTCGGCCTCGCGCTCCGCGTCTGGGCGGCCGTCGACGCCGGCCTCGAGGATCTCGTCCTCGCTCTCGAATTCGTCTTCAAACTCGTCCTCAAACTCGCCCATGTCCTTGGTCGCATCGTCCACGTCCATCTTCTCAGGCCTGTCGCGGTCCTTGAGGGGGCCATCCTCGGCTGCGTCTGCCGTTCTTTTCGACATGGTCTCTTTTGTACTGGCCTGACTGTCAATCGCTGGTGATGTCTACACAAATGAGGCTTCTTTGCAAGAGAATGGTGGTGGTCGACTTCTTACAGATGTCAGTTGTTGCGACCACCACCACCACCAGGCGAGCCCAAAATGACGACCCCTCCAAAACTTTTTTCCCCAATGCGTGTCCCCGCCCGCCACCGATAAGCGATAAGGACTGGACCTCCAGTCCTTGTGAATTAGACATGCTGCCGTCGGAGCGAAATGTGCGCCTGGGTCGGCATTGTCTGAGCGCTCATGACATGGCTCATGGTATGATATCTGCATTTGAATTCCAAATATGCCACTCGGGTGGTCCAATCGATGCTGACAGACGTGTGCTCAGCTCACCATGCTTGCCTGCGGCGCTGACTAGTCGTGTATTCCAGAAGCCTCAAGCGATTGAATGTAATCCGCGATTCCAAAGCGCCATCAATTGGTAATATGCTCTTGTCTGCGCCATCAAGCCGTACGCAGGTCCAGTGGTCGAGCCGAAGCACGTCAGCCCGCCAGCCGCTCTTTTGTCAGCAGACGACGCACCGTCCCGCCGTCCGCCCGCCCCCCACCAACAAGCATATTAAACCCCCAGTCTGCCTGCCTGCCCCTCGTCGCGAACGCGATCCTCAAGACACATCAAAAGATCGGCACCCGAAGAGTAATTAAAAGAGACGACTCTCCCACGCTACAGAAGAATCACTAGAAACTGCAAGAGAACGACCGCCGCCATGTCCGTCCAAGACATCACCTCCAAGGCCGAGTTCGACGCGCTCCTCAAGACCAGCCCCTACGTCGCCCTCCAGGCCACCGCCACCTGGTGCGGGCCCTGCAAGGCCATCTCGCCCATCTACAACAAGCTCGCCGAGTCCAACAAGGACGCCGCCGCCGCCAAGTTTGTCCGCTTCGACATTGACGCCGATTCAGACCTCACACAGGAGCTCGGCATCCGCTCCGTGCCCGCCTTCTTCTTCTTCGAGAACGGCGAGAAGGTGGACAGCGTCGTCGGCGCGAACCCGCCCGCCCTGCAAAAGGCTGTTGGTGCGCTCGTCGAGAAGGCGAGCGCGTGAGGGGGCGTTGACTGTGGCACATGGTATGGGGGACATGCGCGAGGACTTCATCATGGGATAGAGATTGCGGGAGAGCGTCACATGGATGGGGAGTAGAACATGGAGAACAGGTCACTTTTTGCCATGCATGAGAAATGAAAGAAATGAAAGAATATCGGGGTTTCCCCTTCCCTTCAACAATGCTTTTACGTCCAAGGGGCCCAAACACGTTGATCTTCCTTATCATGCTTCGCTCGAAAACTCCGGCTAATGGTCAATTCGCACACGTCCGTCCAAAGCTCATGACTTCTTGCTAGCAACAGAATCGCCGCTCAGTCCTTGAATCCTAGAGTCCACCCTCGGATTCACAACGGGCACTGCTGCTGGTGTTGGGGGTGGGGACTCCTCCATCGTCTCCGACGCGCCCAGCTTGGACGATCCCGAGGGGAGTCGCGCGGCCGACGACAGACGACGCGTCTGCTTGTCCTCCACGACAGACAGGCGCGCTGTCTCGCTGACACCCATGCTCCGTCGCCCCGGCGTGTCGGTCGGGCTGCCAGGGGCCAACGATCCAGAGGGGGCCTTGTTGGCTGGTCGCCACCGGTTCCAGAAGCTGCCGTCGCCCTCGGGCTTCCTCGAGTCCGCCACGCTCATAAAGCTGAAACTCGGCGTCGGTGGAATCGTCGCGTCGGTGAGGTACGTCTTGCCCAGCCTGCCCGTCGTCCGCGTCGTGTGCGTGCTGCTGGTCGGGCTGCCGGGGGGGCTCCTGAGCATGGACCCCCGACTCGTTTCCTGCGCCGATGTGCCGGTGGTGACAAGCGACGTCCTGCTCGCCTTGTTGGGCGATAGCGAACGCTCGCTGCGCGCCGGGGTCACGTTCCTGCTTCGGAGCCGGGTCCCGTCCACGTCCTGCCGCCAGCTGATGATCCGGTCGGACGCCGGTTGCGGAAGGATGGGGCTGTTGGCGAGACTCACAGACCCTCGTCGCGACTGTACGCGGCTCGTCCCACTCGCCTTTGTCCTGACGCTTGCGCTGCGGCCCACGCCTCCTCCCAGCTTGCCTGAGAACTTGGACCCCGTCTCCCACATGTTCTGCTGCCGTTTGACGTACGCGCAGTCTTGACGAAAAACCTTGATCGTGCCTGTCCTGTCCGTGGTGATGATGATGTTGCCGTCGTGGTGTTTCGAGCGCTCCACGTACGCCGGCGTCTCCTCTGGCTTTCTGGCGTTCGAGTCGTGTCTGAGACGCTGGCTGCCTTCACCGTCCCCATCAGATGCCTGGCTTTCCGCCAGGCTGACCAGCGTAACAGGTGGTGGGTTGCAGAGGTCATAGATGGGATCGCCCGACGCGCTCAGTAGCTGTCTGCTTTTCGTAGGCGCCACGACGGCCGTTGTGACCACCTCGGGGTGCGCGTCGAAGCATTCATGAGGCTGCTTGTCTCGATCGCCGCCGTCGACGGCTGCGGGGCCCCAAATGTACGCCTTTCGATCCTCGCTGCCGCAAATGATATGTCGTCCATCCTCCGTGAAGCGGGCATGGATCTGGCTCGACTGGTTGACATGACCTCGGTACTTGGCCTCCAGCATCCGGGTTTTGAGACTGTATACCCGGACGCGCGAGTCGTTGGAGCTGATCAGGACTTTGACATCGCCCGCGCTCGGTCCGGACTGCACATTGATCGTCTCGATGCCCGTGATCTTGCTGCCCTTGGCGTTCTTGCCCCTCGACGACCGCACGTGAATCTGAAACTGCGCCTCGAGGCCCTCTGTCTCGTAGAACGTGCACATGCCGCTGAGCCCACCGCAGATGGCCGTCTTGCCGTCCGGGCTGAAGCCCACGGCCGTGATGAACTCGCCCGCCTCGGCAGAATACGGCACATCCTTGTCCGGGATGCTCCACAGCCTCAGCTGCGCGTCGAGGCACCCTGCCAGGAAGAAGCGGTCGTCCGTCGGGTGGAATGCGATGGACGTGACAATGTCCGTGTGCTTGAATGTCGCTAGGCTCTCAGACCGCGAAGGGTGCCAGAGCTTGACCGTCTTGTCCATGGAAGCAGACAGCAGAAATCCATTCTTGCCCCAGGACATGGACAGGACCTCCCCCGTGTGCCCCTCAAACTCACGGATCGGTTTGCTTCGAAAGACGGGCGCGCTCAGCTTCTCGCCAATGTTGCCGCACTGCACCTCGTCCTCTTCCTGCGCCTTGCGGTCCTCGGGCGTCGAGATGACAGCGTACACGCGGATCCTGTCGTCCTTGCCTCCGACCGCCAGGTAGCGGCCGTCGCAGCTGAACTCGGTCGCCCAGATCGCGGCAGAGCCCCCCTTGAGGATCTTCTTGCCGACCGCCATTGACGGCGCGCGGGTGCTGTCGTCGTCCTTGTCGGGGCCGGCCGCCGAGAGCTCTTGCGCCAGGAACATCCTGTTGAACTCCCGGGCCTTCTTGTTCCTGGTCTTGGCCTTGATGTACCGAGGCGGCTCCTTGTAGAATGGGATGTAGCCACCGCCGGCGCCTAGTACCGAGGTGAGTGCGCGCGCATTGGCACCGTCGTCCCGTGCTTCGCCGAGCTCAGAGTCGGAATCAGGCACGTCATCGTCTCGTGTCCATGGTGTTCGCATGCTGAGTCGGCTGAGGAACGAGGATCCCTTCCTGCAGAGAACATGGTCAGTAGCTGAGCTCCAGATGGGGGCACGCTTGGCAGGCACTCACCTCCACTCCTTGGTGGCGTCTACCACAGCACTGGGCGGCTTGTTGTTTGTCGTCGTCTCTGCTGCCTCCGTGTTTGGACTCTCGGGACGGCCAGGGACAAGCAGCCGCTGAGCAATAGACTGGGATTGTTCGGTATGGCTGTTTGTACGCAGGTATATCTGATTGCTCAGGGGATCCAGTCCGATGGAAGGGGCGTTGGAAGCAGTAGGCCTGAGCTGCCCCTTGTCCCCCTTTGCGTTCTGTGTATTCGATCGTGAGAGGCGGGTTGTGGTGGAGCGCCTGCTGTTTGCTGGCGGGCTTCCATTGCCTAGGGTGGAATCTTTGTCAGGATCATGTACCCATTAGACTCAAGCCACCCGCCGTTCCAGGAGAAGCGACGCGTGGAAGGGACTCGGGGGGAGGAGCCAGGATGTCGACGTACCTGTCGCGGCATCACAGCCACCACCATCGGGACCGGATGGTGGGTTTGGAGACCCTGGGGCCGGGGCCGCGTCGGAGCTGCCGTCGTGCAGGGCGCCATCGCCTTGGTGATTGGCAGACGGTGTCATTGAAGAGGCATATCCCATGCTGCGCCTGCGCAACGTACGCCAAAGGGGTGCGCTTTCGTGGGCGCGGAAGAGGGCACAAGTAGGTGGCCGGGCGGACACGCGCTGGAACTTGGGGAGCTCTCAGTCCGTCTCGGATTCGGGTGGGTCGGTACGAGGCTTCGGGCCTCGCTCCTCGTTCTCATGGGCCTCGTGCGTACGTATACTACGTACTTGGTGTACGTTGACTCGCGTGCCGACGAATGACGAGCTTGCGAATGCGAGGAACCGCAGGTGAAAACCGCGGATCACAAATATCTATACGTGTAATAATAATTGCAATATTGATAATGCGTGGACTCGGACGCTTCGGACCTTGGTCGTTCGACCGTTTATGGTATGGTTCTAGAACGCTGGCTGTCCTTGTTCGCTGGAGCTTATTTGAATAGGTAGCTGTTCGTGGAAGGTCATTCGAGCTTGGGAGGGCTGCTGCCTGCAGGGGGTCTGGCGCAGCAAAGGGGTCGGAACGAGCTGGTTTGATCAGTCGTGGACAGATCTCACGAAGCCTTGAGAAAGTTGAGAGAGTAATGCCGTAGCATCAGCGCGACAAGACATTGCGGGAGGCAAGTACCTTCCTTGATCACCCAGTCAAGCAATCCTGGGCGCCACGGTGTAAGATACCCTGTACACATCATCATCACTAGGTACCTGGTAGCAGCTGGTGCCTCAGATGCCAAGCCGGCCTATGCAGGCATCGGAAAGCAGGATCATTATTACCTCTCCCACATTTCTAAAGCGTCAATCGCCAACAACGCCAAGTGGCTACTTGCAAAGCACCTGGGATCTGCAGGAAGTGTACCCTCGGCGCGCCCCCATTGTAGCAGAGGCGTCGCATATCACTCGTACAGCCACAGCTCTCATTGGAGCCACAAGAAATGTGCCTCGCTCGCTGCTGAGCCCAGCTCAGTCATGACGTTTTTTTGCCAACGTGTGGCACAGTCTAGGCCCTGAAGCGCAGGTAAGGTAGTTGAGCGATCCTCGCAAGCCACAACTCCATCAGGCGCCGATCTCTCCAATGACCTCACGAAAGTGTCAACGCCGCGCGGTGCCGTTCACGTTGCGCCGTGCTACCGGTCTTGGACTGCTTTTATTGCCCAAAGGAGAAGCTGTGCCGAGGTGTGCGTATGCCTTGGTCCGTCGCTTTCGCATTGCGCCGGTCCGTCCGCTCTCATTAATGAAAGTGATCTTGGAGACAACGGCATGATTTACCACAAGAGCTCTTTGACATCGCCCAATGCTATGATGCGGAAGGAAACCAAAGGTCTCCCACAATGGACAAAAGAAGCTGTCGATACTAGCTGAATTTCATCCAGACACATGCTTCGAACTTGATAGACAGGTGTCAGTTTCTCACTAGGTTCTCTTCCTCATGAATCCAATTTTTTCGTTTTCTTCTAATCTCATCACAATCATAAGTTACAAAATGAATTGTGTAATCAGCTTACAGACTGATTGATCGGTGCTCGGTGCCCTGTGGTCTAGGGTAACTCAACTCGCATAAAAACCAGCTGGTCGGACATGGCTTATCGTCGTCATGGGCTTGTCGCAGCCTGACGTGAACATCTAAACCCAACTCACGACAGCGCTCTTACAACCTTCTGCTAGCATTGCCTCAAGCGCCATCATGAAGCTCGCCAAGCGGAAGATTCCCGCTGACATCGAGGGAGAGGCGGTCTCTCTCTTGCCGGAAGACCCCGAGGACATGGTGTGTTCTTCTCTCAACTTCTCCCCGCCGATGCTGCTGCGGCGTTGCCCCTCCCCCACTAACAGCTTCATTTCAAGTGGCATATATACAATCTCGTGCGTCCGGGCGACATAGTCCATGGACACACCAGTCGCAAGGTCGTCCGCGAGAATGACGACACGGGGGCCACCAGCGCAGAGCGCGTCCACCTCGACCTCGCCATCAAGGTCAAGGACACATCCTTCGACCCCATGACGTGCATCCTCCGAGCGTCAGGTCTCGTCGTCACCGAGAATGAGGCCGCGAGCTTGGGCGCCCAGCACGCCCTCGAGTTTGAGCCGAACCGGTCCTTCTCGCTCATCAAGCCGGAGGGATGGGACTCGGTCGCGCAGGAGATGATGCAGCAGGCGCTGTCCGACGACAAGAATGGCGCGCTGGCCGCCGTGGTTATGCACGAGGGCCTGGCCAACATCTGCCTGATCACAGACTACCGCACTGTGCACAAGGTCAGGGTCGAGCACGCGGTGCCCAAGAAACACGACGCCTCGTCACACCAGGACGCCGGCATGCGCAAATTCTATGAGAAGACGCTGGGGTCTCTCTTGCGCGCCGCCGACTTCTCCAAGTCGAGACCGCTCCTCCTGGCAAGTCCCGGCTTCGTCGCCGCCGACTTCAAAAAGTACATTGCCGACCAGGGCCGAGACAAGTCTGACAAGACCCTGACGGCCGTGGCCAAACTTGCCGAGGTGGTGCACGCACCGTCGGGGCACCTTCACAGCTTGAACGCGGTGCTCAAGGACCCCAAGGTGCTTGCCAAGATGAAGGACGTCAAATACGCAAAGGAGGCGTTGTTGCTGGACACATTCTTCGACAAGCTCAAGCTCGAGGACGGGCGGGCCTGGTATGGCACCACAGCTGTCGAAAAGGCAGTCCAGGATGGTGCGGTCGGACAGGGCGGCGGCGTGCTGCTCATCAACAACATCCTATTCCGACACGAGGACCTGGCGATACGGAACCGTTACGTGGCCCTCGTCGACCAGGTCAAGGCCCTAGGGGGCGAGCACCGCATCCTGAGTAGTGATCACGGCAGCGGACAGCGCCTGCAAATGCTCGGACACATTGCTGCGATCTTGACGTACCCAATGCTGGACCTGGACGAGGACGAGGATGAAGAAGAGGAGGCTACGCCGCAGAACCGAGAGCGGCAAGACGACGACCAAATAGATATGATGGACAGCGTGATATGAAATGAAAAAAGAGACGTGAATACCAATCTATTGCGTATCTTTGGGGTCTACCATGGCGATTGACTGCAAGTGCACATGTGCATAGGCGCAGGTCTACAGGGCTCAGAATATCCCATGGAGAATAGGACTGGAAGACCCCTAGTCGTTGAAGCGACGACGCCCTCCTGCAGTTGATGATGTGATCTTGCGATGTGTATAGCCGGTGATGGAACTGGATCAATTACCTGGTACTCAGCACGTTCTCACGTAGTACGTAGACTAGAATTATCGGAGACAGGTAGCGCATCACGATGAGAGCCACAGGCCTCTAGTTGAGCCCCACACCAGCTTGACCTACACACGTCACTACTATCTCGATCTCCGCTTAACCCCGGTTCTTGTCGAATATATAATGCGACTGAAAGGCAAAGTACACCAAACAAACTGTATCCCCCGCATTACAACATACACCCTTCAACATAGTGCAAGGTTATGCTCAGGACAATGGCGAACAAGTTCAGCATCTCATCAACTGTCAAGCTCAGGTCGGGCTACGAGCTTCCCGTCCTGGGGTTTGGTGTGAGTACCAATGATAGCTAGTCGTCGAAGCTAGGCGACTGACTTGTGTTATCTAGGTTTACAAGACGTGAGGCTTGCCTTTCTGCACCAACTGCCAAGTTGTCAATAGGCTGACCAACATGAATATAGTCCCGCAGACCAAGCCACTGATTGCGTTCGACAAGCTCTGAAGATTGGCTACCGACACGTAAGCGAGAAGTGCGCATCAGTCTAATGGCACAGCACTGACATCCAGCAGATTGACTCGGCCACGGCCTACCACAACCAGGGGCCGTCCGCTGAGGGCATCAAAGCCGCCGGCGTACCCCGCGAGGACGTCTTCTTCACCACCAAGGTCCCCTCGGGCGACACGCCCCTCGGCTACGAGAACGTCAAGAAGCTCGTCGATGCGGCCATTGACGAGACCAAGCTCTCGTACCTGGACCTCGTCCTCATCCACTGGCCCCATTCAGCGGGCCCCGAAGGTCGCAAGGGCGCCTGGCGCGCGCTCGTCGACGCTGTCGAGGCCAAAAAGGTGCGCTCCATCGGTGTCTCCAACTTTGGCGTGCACCATCTCGACGAGCTCGAGAGCTACATCAAGGAGCTCGAGACGGAGCGTGGGCCGGGCAAGGGAGGTGTCATTTCCGTCGGCCAGTGGGAGCTGCACCCCTGGCTGACGCGCCCGGACATTGTCAAGTGGTGCAACGAGAGGAGCATCGCCATCGAGGCCTACTGCCCCATTGTGCGTGGACAGCGCCTCGACGACCCCAAGGTCCAGGAGCTGGCCAAGAAGCACGGCAAGACTCCTGCCCAGATTTTGCTGCGCTGGAGCGTGCAGAGGGGCTATGTTCCCCTCGTTAAGAGCGTGACACCCTCGCGGATCGAAGAGAATGCTGGCATCTTTGACTTTGCGCTGACTGATGAGGAGGTTGAGGATCTGCGCACGGACGAGTACAGTGTTTGCTCGTGGGATCCTACGGTCAAGCCTCTGGAAGAATGAGCTAGGGGTGCATATGGAAGCAAAGTAATCCTCAAGAAGAGAACGATGAATATTTCAGTGTGAACGTTGCAGATCAAGATCATTCAGGGTCAAAGTGCTACTGTAGCTGTGGTGGGGGCACGTGACATCGAGATCACCACGCGACAGACTTGTGTCGTACGGAGTAGACGCCCCGCCAAACGACATGGAGCCGTGAGACGCGACTTAGCACGCACCAAATCGTACTACGTAACCCCCAAGCACCTCAGAGTCAGCCCATCAATCAGATGAACTCGCAAAAGGCCAGACATACTCCGAAGATCCGATGACGGGCCCGATCGCTTTGCGATGCCCGTGCAAAACACGTTCACGCTCATAACCGAGCGCATCGCCAAGAACAATGCCGCCGCCGAGACGTCGCGGCCCATGACCTCGAAGCAGCTCAAGAAACAACACCAGAAAGCAAACCAAGGACCCAAGTTATCCCGTATCGAACAGCGCAAGCTGGAGCTCGCCGAGCAGGAGCGTATACGCAAAGAGCTGGAAAAGGACCGACAACAGGCCCGTGCACGGATCGCCCGAGACAAGAAGAAGGCCAAGGAGGAGGCGCAGAAGGAGGCTCGTCGTAAGAAGGGGAGGCCGCTCGTCGACGTCAGACCGAGTCAGGACACCATTTCTAGATTTGTGAGAGGAAACGGGAACGGCAAGAAAAGAGACGGGAGCGGTGCTGCCGTTGGTAGGATAGCGGCGATTGCAGAGGAGCCAGAGGACGGAGAGGCGCAGACAGCAGAGCGATCGAGCAACTCGGATATGCCGAAATCGTCAAAGAAATCCACGCCACAGTCAGCATCGGGATTGACGGCGTCCAGGCTTGTAGAAGCTAGGCCAGAACCACTAGCACGAGACGTCAGCAACAACAGTGTGCGACCCCCAGATCAGCCACTCGAGACCGAAGATGAGAAAGGAGACGAAGAATCCGAGCCTGCAGATAGAACTGCGGGATTGCCATCTGATGCCTCCCCTCAACCATCGTCAAAACCACCAGCAAAGTGCGAGCACGCACCGGAGATGCCGATTCCGAACCCGTCGACGTCACCCGCCCCCAAGGGCACAGAAGCTAAAGGTTCCAAGTCGTCGAGCGCCCCGATAGACCCTGGATCGGGCATTCATCCGTGCTTGCAAGACGAGGGCCCCATCGATAGCGCACGACCTTTGCCTGAGCCGCCAGCTTCAGGCGGGCTTCCCAAGAAAAGGGCCACGAGTACAGGGAACGAAGCAGCCGCCATGCCGCCAGATCACAATGACGACCTTTTAACAAACATCGACCTCGACGACCTACTAGACGATGTGTCCATCAAGGATCTTGAGACGGTCATCAGTGGCCGCGAGCAAAAGCCCGCCAATGCACCAGTGGCAGAGCTGTTCGAAGACGACTTTGCCGATGATCTCGTACTGACGCAGTTGCCGCCTAAAACTGCATCAAGCCCCGTGGAAAGTTTTGTTGATCGCAGCGAGTGTGCTCCAGCAAAGTTTCGCGGCTCCACGGTACCCCTAGGACCTCCAGCGGCGGCCGAAGAAAGGAGCACAGGATCTGAGCCCGGTATGGACCTACAAGAGGGGCTCTTGGACGGTTTACTGTTGGACCTGGGCATGGGCTTCTCACAGGATCTCGATTTGTACGACGTTCCAGAATTGGAAGATCCGCCAGCCGTGGACGCTTCCGCAGAAGACCCCCAGGCTGAGCCACCGAGTTTTACAAGCACGCAGTTTGAGGACGACCTGGGCGATGATGCACTCGAGGCTATAGACGCCATGCTCGAAGGTTGTTCAGGCCCTCAAACAGAGCAGAAGTCACCATTACCACACAAACGTTCGATGGGGCCTCATAACCAAGAAGGGTCATTTCAAAACCCAGTTTCTATAATTCCGAATGTGGCGACTGTGACTGCACCGGATTTCTCCAGTTTTGGCGAAGATGGCTTGGAAGATGATCTTCTTAGAGGGTTGTTCATGACACAAGCGCCTGTAGACGCCTCTGCGTCTGTTCCTCAACCTTTGGACACGGCGAAGCCGCAGGTCTCCGAGGTCAAGACAGCCGACACGAGCACATCGCTCTCCTATGCTGCGGACCTCGGGATCCAGCGGCAGCCATCACCGCCCCGGCCAGATCCACCCATGAGTACACAAGCTGTCTTGATGAACTTTGACGACTACTTTCCTTCCCCGTCCCAGCAGGAGCGCGAGTTGGAGGACGACAGACTGCCCTTTGTCTCCCAGAAGACACCTTGTCCGCCGCCCAGACCACCACGACCACAGATGCGCAAGGCTTCACCGCACCCGACGCAGGCCATGGCACCACCGCCTTCACCGAAGCGTTTCTTCAGCACATCTGGCTCGAACGAACTGCTTTCCCTGGCTGTGCATCGCAGTCGCCGCGACATTGCCCTGGAGAATCTGCACGACCAAGACCGCCACAGGGTGCAGGCTGGCACGAATCAACCCAACCGCCAGCTTCAGCGACAGGCGGAATGGCCTGGCCGGTCCTCGGCGGCAGGATCCAGGAAGCAGACAGCTCCCGGCTTCCGCCATACTATGAGAGCCCCATTCATGAAGCGGCCCGCGCAGGGGCGGCCACCTGCCTTCAAGCAGGCCAGAGCGCCGGCGGTTCGTGCGCCAGACGTCCGGCCTCCCCCCTTTAAACCGCCGGCTAAGCACCCCTCCACAGGGAAGGAGAATGACTGTCCGCCGCCGCAGGACGATGTGATGATTGCGTCGCAAGAGACGGAATACGGAGGGGGTTGGATAGATGACATTGCATTGGATATACTGTGATGACGAGGGGGAGGTCTCCCCCTTCTAATGAGGCATGAGTACTAGGATATCCCCATTTAGCGAATACAAGCGATTTTCTTTGCTACTCGAGATTTTCGAATGGCCTGAGGACAGGTTAATTAATGATTAGAAAACGCAAGATAGACACGACGGTGTGGCTCACCAGCACCTCCGCATGTGATAATTAATTTGAGATGAACTCCTACAGATGCGTGTAATGCCGCCCTATGAGAGAGAAAAGGACCAAGCTCGGGCTGCCATGTATGACCCGCTGCATCTATGCCGTCTCCCCTGAACACCATGCTCGTGTGGTAGGAAAATCAAAAAGGCAAAAGGGAAGAAAAAGCAACGCCAGAAGATGCCCTCCTCAGACGTAGACACCCACCCATTCGCCCTTGGCCAACACGGGCGTCTCACATCCGTCGACGGCGCAGTGGATGTTGCTCGCGGCACCTGAGCTCGGGAAGCCGGCCGAAGGCTTAGTCTTGCTCTTTGTCGCCTTCCTTCTCTCGAAGCAATTGTAGCAGTATACCTGGATGACAGGCAGATTAGCAAAAAGAAAGAAAAAGTTGAGACCCAGGTCTGCTTACGTGGCCGCATTTCTTGAGCGCCCAGAAGTGATGCTCCGGCGCCCGTTTCCTCTTCCTGGACCCCGAGGCCTTGCTCGCGGCGGCGGACGGTCCCACGCCTGTCTCGTAGGCGAGTTCCTCGCTGCACAGCGGGCAGACGGCGACCATGTCCTCCTCCGGGTCGGCGTTTGTGTTGCGGGTGAATCCCTCAGTCGTGGGCGGTGTCTTCTCGCGAGTCGGCTTGGGCGCCTCGTTCTGCGCGGCCGGGTATGTGCCGGCCGTGACGTCCAGTCTCATATCTCGCCAGTTGTAGGTGATGTTCCGCAGGGCGTTGATGCTGCCTAGACGGGCGGCCCAGGAGAGGGCCCCGCCGCCGCGTGGTGGCGTCGGTCGGGCGGGGCCAGGTCCCATGCCCATGTCGACGAGTAGATCCGAGGAGGGCGGTAGGGGGAGAGGGAGCGATGGCCGGGGCAGGCGGCCCGCGGGTCTCTGACGTCGGGCGGGCGATGCCTGGGCACGCGGTGGATGGCGGTGGGAGACCTCGTTGATCTCGTCGTCGTCGCCCGTCAGGTCGATAAAGGACTGCATGTTGGATCTGGAGATGGTGCCGTCGCTGCGGGCGAGCGTGGGTGGCGATACGCGGTTGGGTCGACTGCGTCTGGGGTTGTTGCTCTGCTGGGAGGACGGCAGAGGGGGCTGCACCTCCACAGAGGAATCGTCGTCCGCTGTCAGGTCGATGACCCCGTCCGCTGCGGCAGGCGCCGCGCTCATCCTGGGAACTCGTCGGCCGTGGGCGTGGTGGCGAGGATCGTGCCGTGGGTGGTGATGGTGGTGGCGGCGATGATGGTGGTGGTGGTGATGATGGTGATGGTGGTGGTGAGGTCGTCCGCCTGGGGTGGTCGAGCTGGCGGCGGCGGTGGCGGAACGGCTTCGTCGTTCTGTTGTCGAGTCGTCGTGGCGAGGATCAAGACTAGGTTCGGCCGTGTCTCGTGCTATTCTTGTAAGGTTGCTGAGACTGTTGCGCAACCCGCTCAACGTATCGTAGACTGCGAACTCCTCGTCCACATCCGGCAAGGCCCTTAGGAATTCGGCAAATTCTGGCTCAAGATAGTCGAGATACGTGGGCGCTCGATTCTCGTGTGACTGGGTCGGGGATCGCGCAGGCGGAGGGCTCGAATCGCCCAGAACGATGGGTTGGGATGCCTCGCTGTAGTCGATGTGGCGGCTTCGGCGGGGGCGGGCGTTGGTGCGGGCAGCAGGGGAAGGCGTGACCTCGACGACGTCCTCGTCGCTCTCGGCGTAGAGTGAATGGGCGTAGGTTGAATGGTCGTCGACAAAGAGGCCGTCTTCCAGGTCGAGGTCCATCCTGGGTGGCGGCGTGAATCCGCGTGAAACTGACGGCAGCCTGAACTAGGGATGAGGCGAGGCAGCTGTGGTGGATGGAAATTCGTCCGAGGTTGTGGTTGACGCGTCAGAGGGTCGATATATACTGATCATGGTCTGGGTACGTGGGAGGCGCGTCGCAGGAGGTAAGGCTGTCCTGTCAGTGAATACGTGGTGACCATGCACAACGATCAAATGCGAGGGATGGATGATGGATGATGTTGTGCCATGTCTAGCGGCGGCTGTCAACCCACTTTACTCGCCTGGCACTGCTGGCAGCCTGTGGGTGAGTTAGCGCCGCACATTCGACTCCGATCACGCGCGAATCGCCACTCGACGTTTTAACTTTTTCTCACCATGAAGCAGTTACTCAGCAAGAGAGGATAGATGGCAGATAGTGAGATTGCAATTCATTCCCAAACACCGCTCTCTAGATAGGTAGACCACAAGCCCCTTTTGCCAATTTGCTATGCCTGAACGCCGAATACAGTTACAACACCCTCGCCATTGACCGACACCAGCTTCTGCCCGCTCTGGCCCCATCGCACAGCGACCGCACCGACGGAGCTCCGGAAGGGCTCAGCCCACGCCTTCTTGGACTTGACGTACTGCTGGACCGTGACCCCCGAGGCGCCTCCCGTCGCCAGGAACTGCCCAGTGTAGTCCCACGCCAGCGACTGCACCGAGCCCCCGGTCTCGAGCACCTTGGCCGTCCTGGCGTCGCCCTCCTTTCGTAGATCAAAGATGGTGACCGTGGTCTGCCCCTTGGCGATGCCAGCGAGCCAGTATCCGTTCTCGGAGAAGGTGAGGGCCTGCACGGGCGCGCCAATGTCAAACTCGGCCGCCAGCTCGAGCGTCTTGGTCATGAACAGCTTCAGCTTGCCCGAGACGGTGCCCGCCGCGAGCAGGTGGCCGTCAGGGTGGAATGCGCAGGTGGTCAGGGCTGTGATTTGTTAGCATATATTTTCCACCTGGACCACATGGCAACTTACGGGAATCCGTGTAAGCACGGCTGATGCGTCCCATGTTGGTAAAGTCGTAGAACACGACGCTCTTGTCCGAACCAACAGAGGCCAAGATCTGCTCCCCAGGATGCAAGCTCAAGCCGGTGGCAGCACCCGCGTGCTCGCTGGCTTCGCTCACCTGTTCGCCATTCTGGTACACCTTGACAGAACCCTGGCTGGTCGCAAACACGACCTTGGAGGCCGCAGCCAAGGTCGCCGTGACGGGCTCGTCGACAGCAATCTGGTGCTCCACCGTGTCCGTCTCGATCAAGTATGTGGCAGACGCGCTCTTCAGTCCACCCAGCGCAGCGATCGTCTGGTCCACGTCGAGCGAAGTCGCCTGCGCCACGGGCAGGGCATTGGTAGTGGCGGGCGCAAACGCGCTGACCTCGTCCCCGGTGACCCAGCCCTCGGGAATCGGTCGCTTGGATCGACCTTTCGACTTGCTGGCCTGTGTCTGGTCCACCTGCGCCGCGAAACTCTCCGGTAGACCCTCGACGCTGTCCACGGCCATGGCGTCGCCGCCGCTGCTGCTGGCAGCGCCCCCGGTGACGGTGACCTTGCCCAGTGCGTCGCGGGCCTCGTCTCTCTCCCTCGTCAGCCTCGCAATGACGCGGACGGCGGCATCGTGCTGGTAGAGGGCGGTCGCGAGCTCCTCGCGGGTGCGCGCCAGCTGCTCCTTGAGGTTGTAGGTCTCGAGGGCCAGGGCGTCCCACTCGTTCTGAAAGGTCGCCAGGAGGGCTGGGATGGACGTCAGGGTGGGTGGCCGCGGTCGGACGATGCGGGAGGATGTGATGGGGAGGAGGTCTTCCGGCTGCAGCGCCTCGCCCGTGTTGGGCTCCGTGCCGTGCTCGTGGATGTACTGGTCAATCAGTCGCTTCTCGTAGATGACGCCGCTCTTCTTGGACACGACGGGCTCCTGGGGGGCCTCGCCCGATACTGCGTTGGTCAGCGGCCAGAACAGAGGTGGGGGAGCGCCTGGCAGACTTACTTCCGCAGAGCATGTTGACAGATTGAGGGTGTGGCGCGCTCAATCGCGGTTTGATGATGCGCTGGTCGCGGCTCGAGATTTTGCTGGCCTTGGCCTTAGGTACTTGCTATCAGGCTGCGATGCACGGACCAACTCTCTGCATGGGTCACGAGGTGATAAGGCAGAGAAGCTTTATCGCGGGTCCGTGCCAAGACACGTCCGCCGCGGGGTCCAGCCTCCAGGACTCCAGTGACCTGACCTGACCTGGGGCATCTCACGCACAGGCACAGCACAGCACAGGCGTTCCGGAACCACCTTAGCCAGCCAGCCAGGTGATCGACTGGAGGTAGCACTGTTGGGCTTGTGTCCCGCAACGGCCAAATTTGGGGGTCCATGTCCTACTCCTAGGTACTTGTATCCTGTTATGTTTGGAGCCAGCCCGTCCTGAGCGTTCCCTCTCTCGTTCGTTTCTGCCCTTTGCTCTGCTTCCCAGCCAGCATGACCGTCCTGAAACTACCGCCCATCAAGGGCTTCCACACCTGCTCCGACCTGGAGCAGACCGACGTCCTCGATACCCTGTTCGAGCCCAGCCCCGTCATCCACGAGAAGCTGCTGTCCGTCATCCGCACGGCCCAGTACAACTCCTGGGACGACCTGATCGACGCCTGCCAGATCCGCCTGCTGTCGCTCGCCGCGTCCACCTCGACCTCGTCGCCCGACGCCGAGCTGCTCAACGTGCTGGGCTCGCATCCGCGCCTGGGCGAGAAGAAGATTGAGTCGGCCCACTCGGCCTCGGAGCAGGCCAACATCCAGAGGAACCAGAGCGTCGCGCAGGAGGAGGAGCTCGCGGCCCTGAACAAGCAGTACGAGGAGACCTTTCCCGGCCTGCGCTACGTCGTCTTTGTCAACGGGCGCGACAGGCCCGCGATTATGGAGGACATGAAATCGAGGATCGCGCGGGCCGACTACACAATGGAGGTGGATGCTGCGCTGCAGGTGAGTTTGCTCGCCCCCCGTGCGCGGACTCATGTTCCCCATGGTCCCCCCCCCCCCCCAGTCCCCAGTGACGGGCGGCTACTAACGTGAAAGAAAGGCCATGTGTGACATTGCAAAGGATAGGGCGTCGAAGCTGGTATAGGCCGGCCTCGTCATACTCTGGGGGCGCAGCGGCACAAGAAGACAAGAAAGACCTTGATTACTCTTTTTATCTTTGTTGACGGGTATCTCTGATCAAACAGCGAAACCATACTCCAGTACCTTATCATGCCAATATGCACCGACGCCCGTCCCAGTTGATGACTACAAACAGCAGGCTTTCTCTCGCAACCCCCTTTTTTTCTCCCCCTAGATCGTCACCCACGATATGCCGTCGAGCTCATCCAGATACTCCTCGTACGAATGATCCTCCTCTGCCGCCGCCGTCGAGGTGCCGTTGCCAAAGATGACGCCAAAGTCCGAGTACACCTGCTCCGGATCCTCGCTCAGACCTGCGCCGTCGTCGCAGTGCAGGTAGGAAAACCCGTCGTCGTCCAGCTCGTCGTAATACCCGCTGCTGCGCTCGGGGTGAAGCTCGGGCGACCGGACAGGATGGATGCGTGGCGACGTCCTCTTGCGTGCGGCGGCGAGGTCGCACGTTGGCAGGGGAAGCGCGGCCGGCTGCGACAGCAACGTCTGCACCTTAAAGGAAGCGTGGCCCATGGCGCGCGCGGAGGAGGCGATGAGGGCCTCTCGAGACGAGCGTAGATGCTTTGCCCCGGCGGACACGGTGGGCCAAGTCGAAGACTGCCAGGGCGCCTTGGACCATGTGCTTTCTCGGGCGTCCTCCTCGACCTGCACGCGCTGGCCGGGGTGGCCCAGCCCGAGCCTTCGCCGGAGGCGGTTCATGACCGAGAACCGTAGAAACGAGGTGGCGTGCAAGTGCGCGGCTCGTCTCGCGACATCATACGAGGTGGCAATCTTGGCGAAGCGCTTGTCTCCCTGCTTGGCACCCTCCCTGTTGAGGATATGCGTCGCGGGCAACGAGTAAGGTTGCGACAGGCGGCTGGTGATGAGCTCAGTGCGCAAGCGACGCTTCTTACAGCTCAGCGAGGCCGTGTTGGGGCCGTCGACGTCCTGGCCGTGCCGGATCCGTTTCCAGCGTTTTGGTTCCTGGCGAGTTGTTTGTGTTGCTGGCTCCGGAAAGTCAAAGTGCATGCCCTCGTGAGGCGCCCAGGTGAAGAAGAAGTCGTCCACCGAGGAGGCCGCTGGCGTGGGCGTGCCATCCGTAGAGCTATCGTAGCCGCCGAGCGGGCCGAAACTGCTGCTGCTGTTGCTGTTGTTCCCCAGGAGGTCATCCAGGCTGATACTGCTTGAGATGGCACATCGCGGGATGGCAGACGGGGCGAGGCAGAGACCCTTGCGGAGGCTGCCCTCGACCGTGTCCTGCCCCCACGCGGGCAGCAGCTCGTGTGATGTGGGCGAGCTGGGCTCAACGTCGACGACCTGGACCATTTCCACACAGCAGCACACTGGTGGTGGTGGTGGTGATGGTGGTCATGTACCGTGCACGTCAATGTCTGGCGCACATGCTATGCTGGTGATGAAGTGTGCGACATGGACCCGGCGCGTTGTGCGGCGCCATGTGCTCAGGGGGATATCTGGATAGGCGGACTGGTGGACAGCACGAGGAAAGGAAGGTTGATGAGCAGACAGACTGACAGACAGACAGAAGAGAGAGGGGCGAGGACAAGAGCGTTGAATGCCCGAGAGTGGATGAAATCGGCGGCTGTAGTGCAGAGGGGAGGGAGGGAGTAGATCCGGTCAGCTGGCTCAGCCAGGCACTTTACTCCGCAAATCAGGCTGCATCCCTGTCGCAGATTGCTTGCTTCTGGCGCCCCGTGGTGATCAATGGGGTCTCGATTCTCGAAAGGTTCAGGTGAGCGTTATTAATGAGCAATTGTGTTACGAATGGTGGACGGTCATCACGCATCGTGCTCGGCTACTGGCCCTAGCAAAGAAGAGGCTGTGAGCACGGTCCATGCTCCAGCCAAGTCCATGCTGTTTCGGGCAGGTCTTGGGTCTTGTCTACGCACGGCCATCGATGTCTCGTGCGTATTTCACTGTGCAGATGGTCATCATGCGCGGATCATCGTGGCGTAGGGCACCCATCTCAATGTGGTGGAGCTTCGATCCGCTTGCTGTGCTAGGGACGGGCCTCGCCGAGCCTGACTCGAGCGAGGTCCTGGAGTCCTGACTCTGATGAATCCTGCGAGGATTGAGGATTCAAACATCGAGGAGTTTGTTCCCAATGCAACTGGGTGAAGAATTTTCAAGTACGAGCGGACAGACGGCTCATCTCCCCCCGGTCTGCATGCACGGGCGGCCAGAGGCTGGGGTAAGACATCCATCCATGATCCGGGGAAAAACCAGGGCTGTGCGCCATCCAGACAGGAATGCTGCTGCTGCTGCTGCTGCACGAGACGGCTGGCCAAATGAAGCAACCCGACAGCTGACCCCTTGCCGTCGGAGATGCCCGTTTCCCTCTGCCTCCCCCTGCGACGGCAACCCAATCCCCAGGGTTGAATGTGCTTCGCGGCGCACGATCCAATGAGGACGACGAGGTGACGCCGTGCAGACTCGTGGCTGCCAATACATCAAGACGATGCAGCAGCATGCATCATGCAGTGTCAGGGTGGTCCCCACAGAGACGAGCCTCGTCTTTTTGCCGCTGGGCAAGCTTTGTGCAGCAAATGCACGTGTTGGCGGAGAGTGAGGTCGATGAGCATCATGATTATTGCCAAGTAAGAAAGTAGGTACAGTAAAAGAACCCGCGAAAGAACCAACACCAGACTGCCATGTACGCGCCTGAACACCAAGCAAGCCGATCCATACGTAGCGAGACACCCCATACTCAGATGCCCGTCGTCGTGACATCAAAAATCCCATTGCGCCAGCCCTGCCTCTCATATTCGTACACTTGCTGCTCAGCATTCCGTCCCTCCTCCTCCCACAGCTTGACCAGGCTGCCCGGCGCGTAGCGACCGCGGAAAACTCCGCCGCCCGGCTTCACACCCACGCGCGCGTCGACGTCTGGGTCCGGGGCGGGCGTGAGGCGGGCGGCGACGGCCTTGACAAACGTCCACAGGTCCTGGGGGTCCGCGATGCGCGTGGCGCGCAGACGCTCGCGCGCGTAGAGCAGCTCCCGGTTCAGCGTCTCAAGGCCCTCGGTGATGCCCTTGCTGATCTGAAATTCGAGCGCCTTGCGGACAATGGGCCGGACGAGCGGCTTGAAGAGCCAGGCCAGGCAGGCAAACTTGGACTGGCTCAAGGTGTAGTTGAGGTGGTGGATCTTGACGGTGACGCCGCGCAGGGCCACCATGCTGTCCATCCGGTCGCGGCCAATCTCGAGGTCGACGGCAATGTCGAGACCGCGCTCGTCGAGGTGGAAGCCGGCGATGCCCTCGTCCATGACCCGCAGGAGGCCCGAGTGCAGGCGGAGCCAGTACCCGAGGTCGTCGGCGGCGATGGACATGCCCGAGATCTTGACGCGCACGAGGGAGCGCATGGTGGAGGCGACCCGCATGCGGGCCTTGCGCACCTGAATGTCGTTCTGGGTCGTTATGTTGAGCTGGAACGGGAGGAACGAGCTCTGGTTGACGGTCCGGCCCGGCTCGAGGATGAGGTTCTCCATCAGCAGGTCCACGGCCGGCGTGGACACCTCGACGCGCGGGATGGGTATGTACTGCACGGCGTTGATGGCCATGGGCACGAAGACGTTGACAGAGTCCGTGATGAGTGCCCCGTTGGTGTACTGGCCGGTGGGCGACAGCAGGTGGGCGAGGCGCGTGGACGTGCGGAGCAGCTTGTGCACGTCCGTGTCGCGCATAAAGGACTGGAACGCCGCGTGGAGGGCGTTGAGCAGCTTGCTGAGGTCCTCGGACATGTTTGAGTCCGACTGGAGCTTCTTGGACTTGGTGCGGACCTCGTTCAGCCGCTCGTCGACGTGGTCAAAGAAGTCGGGGTCGGCGAGCATGTCCTGCACCATGTTGGATATGTTGCGGACGAGCTCGTCGAAATCCGGGTCACTCTTCCCGTCCTCCACGACGGCCTTGAAGGCGTCCTCCACCTTGTTCCACTCGTCCTTGTCGCCAATGGACGTGAGGAACATCCAAAAGTTCTTGAGGGCCCGGTCCGCCTCTGGGTTGCGATCGACGTCGTCCTCCACGGCGTCGACCGCCTCCGTCGCGGCGTGCGAGTAGGCCAGGAGGTACCGCCGGAGCAAGGTGGACAGGGTCGAGACAGACTGCGAGTAGTCCGGCTTCTTGCGCAGCTTCATGACGGCCGCCTTGAGTCGCGTCACGAGTGCCTCCTGCTCCTCGCCAGTCGCATGCTCGACGACGCTGTCCCCCGCGTCGTGGGCGACCTCGGACGCGCCCTGCGCGAGGATCTGGGTGACCTCCTTGGCCTCGCCCGCGAGGTCTTCCTTGGTCGGTGGCGCCTTGGAGTTGCCGTTGGCCTGCTGGACGGCCTTTTGGTCCTCCTCGGAGGGCTCGAGCTTCTTGCCTGCCTTCTTGGACACGTCGGCGAGGCTGAAGGCCGTGTCGCGAAAGACCTCGCGGGCGACGGTCTCCACGTCGGACAGGAAGACGCGAAAGTCAGAGTTGGTGAGCAGCAGGGACCCGACGGTGCGCAGGCTCTCATATGCCGCCGCCGTGTCGCCCTTTGCCTTGGCAGCCGACGCCCTGGCGGCGAGGTCCTCCGTGTCCACGTTCAGGCGCGCCTTGGCCAGGCACCACAGAAAGTCCTGGATCTGGTCCTCCGAGTTCTTGTTCTGCAGCAGAGTGATGAGCTGCTGGAGGAGGAGCTTGGTGGTGCGGAGGAGGGCGCGTCCTGAGTCGCTCAGATCAGGCACGTCCGGGTTGAGCACGTCGGCGGAGAGAAGAGTCCTTAGGTGCACAATGGTCTGCTCGTTGGAGGGCATGTAGCCCTTGGACATGGCGCGGAGCATCTGATACGTGTGCAGCTTCTCGTGAAGGCGCGCCTGCAGCGCGGTATCGTCATTGTAGCGAGGCAGCAGGGGCTCGCGCTCGCTGTCACGGCTGTTGCCGCCACCGAACCCGAGGCAAGACAGCATGGCGTGAATGACTGGACCTGGTATCAGGTCGCGGGAGAAATGGCGATGTAGGAGCCAAGGTTGATGATGGCCATTGCGCTCACCGTGACGGGACCTTGAACACAGTCAGTCAGTCCGTAGTGATGACGTCGCGGATCTCAGATCTCAGATCCCCGGATCGGGTCCAACGTGAGGAAGACGATAGCGTGGGCGTAGCGCATCCCCTGCCAAGGCAGACGGCTTTCCCCAGAAGCTAAAGTTCCGACTATAGAGGCTAATATTCAAGTGCGGATTCTCGAAATGAGAGCATGCACGGATGGTGATTAATTAGGTTCGGACAATTGATCACAGGGACGTCCCCTCATGGAGACAACTGTCTAGGCTACCCGGGACACGGCGTCCGGTAGGCGATAAGATAGGCTACCCTGGAGGACATGCGCAGTCTATCCATCATTCGTTCGGCTGTGTGCGTACGCACTCCCGTGCCTAACCTTGGCATCAAAATAGCTTCAACACTTTTCCTCCTTCATGTGAAGATCCATCTCGTCAGGCTCACAGGGTTCTTTGTACCTGTCCAGGACGACACAATATCATAAAGACCTCTTCATACCCGCCAAGCGACACGAAGTAGCGCTCCGACTAGCCCTGCTGGCTCTTGTTTTCTTTGGTCTAGGGCGGCTAGTGAATGCCCATAAATTCAAGCCTTGCCTCGAGCTCTTTTTCGGAAGCCTCAAAGACATCGGCTCACTAGGCCCTCGCAGCCCCGATCGGAGGGATGTGCACCTTTACGACGTGGTGGTTGACACGCGCATTGTGAGCGCGTTATATGGCAGCGCGCCACGTAGCTGGGACGACTCAGCGAGTCAACACCTCACCCTCAACCCTGGCCATTGAATGTAAACTCAAAGCCATCGCTGTTCTCCATCCCCGACAGGAAGAGCTCCAGGGCCGTCTCGTCGGGCAGCGACAGGTCATCGAGGAACATGTCCCCCGAAGGCACGTCAGCATACACAGGGGCGACATTCGTCTCGTTCGCGGCTGTCCATGAACCTGGGTCACCGTCTCTCCACACGCCACTACTCCCCGGAGCAGCCTGCTCAGCCGCCCCCGGCCGCAACGAGAATCCAGGGCCTTCCCCTCTGTGATGACCGCCAACCGGCTGGTGCCTGTGCTTGGAGGCTCGCTGCTCAAACAGCTGCAGAACACCCTGAGCAAAGCGCCAGTGCGGGCACAACCCGCGAAGCGACGCCCGCAGCGAGTCGAATGTCTGCTGAGCCTTGGCCGAGACGAGCGGGTTCGAGGACGCGTTCGACTCGCTGCTCACGTGGACCAGGGCCGTGAAGAGGGCGTGAATACTATAATGCCAGAGCTTCGTCAGCGCGCCCCGCTGCCGCATCGTCTCCAGGATGGACGCCATGACGAGGGTCGCGCTGCTGCAGATGCCCGGATCGCTGCATGCCTCCGATACCGGGTCGGGCTGGCCCTTGGGAGGCGGCCGATGGGAGAGCACGAGGAAGTTGTTGTACGTCAGATGCAGCGTCGCCTGCCAGGGGTCGACGCTGGAGTAGGACAGCTGCATGCTGGGCGGGAGCTGCTGCGTGAACTGCGCCAGGGCCATGTCGGCGTCCCTCGCTGCTTGGATGCGACTCTCGGGCGTCGCGCGGAGGGCCCAGCGCGCACGCGTGGCGGCGGCGATGACGGCACATAGTCTTGCGTGGTGGACGACGAAGCTCACTTCGGCGTTGGGCACGCCCTCAAACTCGGCCTCAGTAAGCTCTGGCACATCGGACTCTTCGAGGTTCCTTGCTCCACGTCAGCAGGTGGATGTTATATGTAGTCTATGGGACTCACATTGCCTGTGGCCGGCCATACGATAACGACACCATGGTATCAAATTGGAACAGAACCCAGAACAGACGCGCCCATGTTCGCTTCGCCATGGGCATCATGCTCGACTTGCTCACGTCGCGGTGCATGCCGGCGCCGAGAGCAGTCCTGGTGGCGATGCCGATCCAGTGCCAGGCATTCGCGACAATCTCCTCGAGACCGTCCGAGTACCACGTCAGCAGTAGCGCGACCTGGACGTACATGGTGCGGTCCTGCTCGAAGCGGTAGTCGACGAGGAGCTTCGCCCTGCGGAAGAAGGTCGGCTGGAGCGCCCGGATGGAGCTGTCGTGCGCGGCGAGGACATGACTGCCGACGACAAATATGGCGTTGAGGAGCGGCAGCGGGACGGGACACCGGGTCACCTTGCCCTCGTACTGGGCCATGAAATGCTCCTCGTCGACAATGGGCCAGCCCGTGTTGACGTTGTCAAAGTAGGCGCGCAGCAGCCGGGCCTCCATCTCCTTGGATGGGCGCTCCAGCGCCTCGGGCGGGACGTGCTGCAGGTCGTGGGCGGTGAGCTTGCGGGCGAACTGGCGGTTGCCAAAGTGGAAGACGCTGTCGTAGCCTGGCTGGCACGAGCTCTGGCGGACGAGGTAGTTGAAGTTGGACACCTCGGTGCCGATGAAACAGGTGCGGCCGTGGTGGTCGATCATGGCCGTCCGCACGTCCTCGCAGTCGATGAACTCGGCCAGGTTGCCCGGGTCATTCTCCTCGGCCGAGTCGGCGGCGTCGCGAGGCGTGGCCGTGGCTGACAGGCTCGCGCTCGCCGTCTCCCGCGGCCGGATGGGGATCTCCCTGGATGGCCTCCTGCTGCTGCGCAGCCTCTTCTTCTCGTACATCAGGCATCCTGCGCGGCCCGTCGTGCGACAGTTTGTGCACGGTGCGCCCTTGTCCAGGATATCGCAGCGGACCTTGCGCTGATGGCAGTGTGTACACGCTCTTCCGTCTGTCGGTACGTTAGCACCCTCCCATTTGACGGGGGAACGGGACATTGGTCATACGTACTGGCACGTCGTCGGCCGTTCGCGGGACGCTCTGGACGCCCGGGGTCCATTGGGTCCAGTCTGCCCAGCTCAGCTAATTGGTAAGCGAGAGAAGGACGGACTCAAATCTCGGGAAGAGGACGAGGAACTTAGTCTGAGGATGTGTCAGTGTGAAAGAGGAGCGGAAGTTGGAGCCAATGACGCCTCGACGGCGCCCTTTTTTCTTGGCGACGCCGGACCGGATGTCGAGGAGGAGGGCCGGCCTCGGCACTTTTGGCCAATCACTGTCTGTCTCGCGGCTTACACGGAAATCTGCCCAAGGACTCGGTCTTCATGCTTCATTGACGAGTCTCGACTGCTGTCATGGCAAGGTACATGCAGCAAAGTTTGCAGAATCCACAGGAGCACATTGGGTAATGGAATCCGCGAGATATAAAGAGGACCAGGCAGGTGGCCCCAGCCTGGATCAGAAAAGCATATTGGCTGGCATCTTTTTCTCGACGACATGGCTTCTACGGACGGCACCACAACGCCTACCTTGCTGGAAAAGGCGCCAGCACCTCTCGAGGCAGTATCCTTGGACAAGAGCTGGGATCCCACCAAGCTGTCATGGGTGCGTACTCCATTCCATGTACTAGTTCGCTGCAAGAGACTCTAACATCCGACAGCAACGCAAGGCACACATTGTCATTGCTGGCTTCACCTGCACCTTCAATGGCAACATGGGCTCCTCCATGCCCTCGGGGGCCCTTGACGCGATCGCCGAAGAGTTCAACGTCTCGCAAAAAATCCATCTCACCCTCCTCAACTCCCTCTACATGATCGGCTACGTCCTGGGACCGCTCATCTTCGGACCTCTCAGCGAGTACATTGGTCGACGGCCTGTCATGATCGGCACGTTTCTCGGCTATCTCGTCTTCACTCTGGCGTGCTCCGGGGCACCAACCTACGGCGCCCTCCTGGCCCTTCGACTACTGTGTGGGATCAACGCGGCGGCGCCCACGACAGTCATCAGCGGTCTCTATGCTGATATCCTCGACAACCCGTCACAGCGAGGTTTCGCGCTGTCCACGTACATGACCATCACGACATTCGGACCAATGATAGGTCCCATTATCTCCGGCTACTCTTCACCCGTCTCGTGGCGATGGCCATTCTGGGCAGCCGGTCTCATTGCAGCCCCCGGGCTGCCCATTGTCCTGACCATCCCCGAGACGTTTGCGCCCGTCCTCTACAACAAGATGATCAAGGAGCGTATCAAGGGCGGCAGCCACGCCGCTGGTTGCACGTCGACAGAGCTGCAGCCCTTTAATGTCCGCAAGATCTTCCTTCGGCCGATGACGCTGCTCGTCACGGAGCCCATCCTGTTCTCGACGGCCATCTACCTCGCCCTCGCCTACTCTGTCTTCTACCTGCTCTTCCAGGCGTATCCGATTGTCTACCAAGGTGTGTTCCACTACTGCGTCTGGGAAAGTCCATGCTGACCCTTCTGATCCTAGACTTTTATGGCTTGGCACCTGGGCCAGCAGCCCTGGCGTATCTACCTGGTTCGTCTCCCCAGACCAAGATCAGTTCGAAGACTAAATAATCATGTTGCTAGTGGCTCTCGGCGTGATCCTTTCCATGGCCGTATTCTACGTCTTCAACAACTACTACGACAAATCAGCCCGCGCAGGCCAACACTGGGCGCAGCGCGAGATCAACAGGAGACTGCCGATTGCATGCATCGCCTCACCCTGGTACGCTATTCTTGTTTCTTTCTTTCGGCTTTGCAGCCACTGACCACCCCCAGCATGACCATCTCCCTGTTCTGGCTGGGCTGGACGACCTTTAGGGGCATCTCGCCCATCGTCGTGTCCCTGGGCGGCATCCTCTGGGGCGTCGGCTTCCAGCTCATCTTCATGGGCATGTCCAACTACCTGACCGACGTCTTCCGCCAGCACTCGGCCTCGGCGCAGGCGGCCAGCAGCATGACCCGGTCCATTGGCGCCGTCGTCCTGCCCCTCGCCGCGCCCGCCATGTACGGCGACCTCGGCCTTCACTGGGCCCCGTCGCTGCTGGCGTTCATCGCCCTCGCCATGGGGCTCATCCCGTTTGCCTTCATTCGCTACGGCGATGCCCTGGCCAAGAGGAGTCGGTACGCGCAGGCGGTCGATCTGCCCAAGGAGTAGGGGGGGCCTTGATGAGATATGTGGATAATGACATGATATAACGACGTGCATAGCGATTTATATACACTCTCACCATCACGCAAACAGCGGCCCGTTGAGATACTTGAACCCCGAGTCGCAGGCCACCGTGACAACCACCTTGCCCGGCCCGAGCTCCTTGGCCAGCTGGATCGCCGCCACGACGTTCAAGCCCGTCGACACACCGGCAAAGACGCCCTCCTCCGCAGCCAGCCGGCGACACATGTCCCGCCCCTCCTCCTCTGAGACGCCGCGCGCCTCATCGTACAGCGCCTCGTCCAGCAGCGGGGGAATAAAACCAGTACCGACACCATCCACGCTGTGGACGCCCGTCTTCCCCTCTGTCAGAAGAGGTGAGCTCGCGGGCTCGAGCACGACAACCTTGGTATCCCGTTTCCTCTCCTTCAGCACGGCCGCCACACCCATGGCCATACCCGCGCCGCCCACAGCCGCACAGAACGCATCGATCCCCTGCGGCAGCTGCGCGACGAGTTCCTCCCCGAGCGCGCGGTAGCCGACGAGGGCATCTTTGTTCTTAAACTGGTTCGCCAGCAGCCATCCCTCCCTGTCGGCCGTCTCGCTGGCACGGTCGACGAGGGAACGGAAGAAGTCCGGCGTGATCTTACCCGTCGGACTCTCGACGAGATCGAGCTCAGCGCCCAGGGCGGCCATGGTGCGCAGCTTCTCAGGCGCAAAGACGGGCGAGCAGACGGCGCGAAAGGGATACCCCTTGAGGGCGCATACATAGGCGAGCGACGAGCCGGTGCTGCCACCCGTGGCCTCGACGATTTTCATGCCCGGTGTGAGACGGCCGTCTTGCTCGGCTTGCTCCACGATGGCGCGGGCGAGGCGGTCCTTGTAGGAGGCGGTCGGGTTCATGTACTCGAGCTTGATGTAGATGTCGGCGCAGCCCGGGGGGATGACCTTGCCGAGGCGCAGGAGGGGGGTGTTGCCGATGACATCGAGGGGGTGATGGCAGGCCGGGCGGATGTTGCTTGTCATGGTGAGTGAGAGGAGGGGAGGATGAGGGAGGGTGGAGGTTGGTGACGGGAGAGGCTTGAGTCTGTGTCTCCGCGAGGACACGATGATCTATTTATGTGCTCTGCGTCGACCGTGTATGTAATGACTAGGCGGGCACGTTCTTGGATGCCTCTTGAACCAGATTGGCTATGCGAAGACATCATCGGTTCTTGAGTCCTTTTGACGATCCACTTGTTACCTATTAGCGCATCAACGTACTGCCCCAAAGTTCCAACTTCCAGCAGAGGGATGATACTGCTTTTGGCTCTACTATCGGCAGTAAATGTCTTGGTGACTGTTCTGAACTTCTGGCTCACTGGCGTCTGATCAACCATCATGATCATCACGATCCACGACCCTCACTCACGTAGTTCCTAGGCACTCCAGCTAAGACGATTTAGGCAACTATTTCCGCCAAGCATTTGTATCTACCACACGATATACTTACACACAGGACTCCGTATCAAGGTCATTGCATAGTCAATTTGCCAAGTAGTCCATCGTCGTCGCGTACCAATGCATCATTGCGTCTACCCAGCTCGTGTGCCCCCCGGTGACCGTGTCACGAGTAAGAATGCCCCGACAAAATTAAGAGAAAACAGATAACGACAACACGAAACTCCAGTATGCTTGCACTGCACCCAAAAAGGACAACCCCATCACCTCACCTCACCTGGCCCCGTTGGCCCCCTTGGGCAAGGCTGGCACCGGCGGCGGCACCGCATCCTCCTCGTCCTCGTCCTCATCCTCGTCCGGCAAGCCCTCCCCGCTGCCGAGCAGCTGCGCGACATTCTTCATCTCGTAGTGCTTCTTCCGGGCCTCCTCAAACTTGCGGTGCTTGGCCTTCTCCTCCTCGGACCAGCCAGCCATGTCCGGCGCGTCCATGTCGTGGCGTCCATCGTCGACGCTCTCGTCATCGACATGCGCCCTCTTCTCAGCGGACGGCGTCCTCTCGACCGGCCACGAGACGGCCTCCTCGGGCTCGCCGAGCGACAGGCCGGGGATGTCCTCCTCCGCAGGCGCACGGGCAGACTTGCGACCAGGGTCAGGGCCGTCCGCCATCACCTCGTCCCCATCCTCGTCGTCCGACGGGTCCTCGGCCGGGTCGTAGTGCTTCGCATAGGGTGTCTTGGGCTCGTCAATCTTCATAGTCGCCGTGCGCTCCTGCTCGGTGAGGTAGAGGTTCGCCTCGTCCCACTTGAGGCGCTGGCTGGTGCCGTCGTCGGCGCGCGCGTGGCCGGAGAGGCGGCGGGCGGCGGCGGCCTGGCGCGCGGCGGACGAGGAGCGACGGTCGCCGGCGTTGAAGTGCGTGTTCTCAATGGTGATCTCCTTGCTGGACAGGGAGCGCTCGCGGCGGCGGGGGTCGTCGGGACGCGCGGGGGCGGCGGCTGGGGGAGCAGAGGGGTGGATGTTCTGTGTGCTGGGGTTCTTGAGGATGCCTTTTTGCGTGTTAGTATTTTCTTTCCCTTGGTTGCTTCGTGGTACTGTACCTTTGGGTCGCTTTGCATCGGGCCCTGGCGGCGAGTGCACAGGTGGTGAATGGTCGACCATGGACGCCATCGTTGGTGTGTGAGGTAGCGCGGTGCGGGAGGTGGAAGGAAGTGAGATCAGCGTTGTCGATGGTGTTTGTGAACGCAGGTGTTGGGGACAAGATGCGGTCGCATGCGATAGACGACGAGATTATGGTGTGGTGCAGGAAGCACAAGCTCCAGTCTCGGCACGTGAGATGCTGGACTGTTAGTCTAGTGATGAGCTCAGTTGGTGCCTGCAGTGAGGGGTGACACAGCAGGTGGTGCCGCGCTTTCGACGAGGGTTACGGGAGGCTGGAGGCGACTGGACTCTATTGAACGTAAAGCTGGCTGATGACGAGCGAAATCTAAGGTGGTTGGGTGGTCTCGGCTCCAGTCTGCTGCACTCGCTCATTCACTCACTCCTTCAACATTCCCTCATTCGTTCCTTTGATGGTGCGTGATGAATGTCTGGGCAGAAGCGGGATGACGGCATGCTGTGGGTGACCTTGCAGAGGGGTCCAGCCCGGGGCCAGGCCCACTTGTGCCAGCTCAGCTCCAGTCAGCTTTGTAGATAGTGACGATGCACCTGTAGTACCCTGTACTAGATCAACGTAGTGCCTTGATCACCGCTAACACTCACTCTCCAGTATGTCACTATACGGATGGCGGGAACGATGTCCATCACGGTAGCACAGCAGGCAATGTTGAATTCGAATCGATTCTATCATCATGGTATCCCCAACGCAGTGTAATATCAGAACTGTCCCTCTTACCACCATCACGAGGTCGGCGTCGTCTCGAGCTCCTCCATGTCCGAGTCCGGCATCAGCCCCATGATCGCGTGGAGCACGTTGTAGGACGTCCGCCAGCACACGCTCTTGTGCTGCTCCCCCTGCCAGATCTCGACGCAGCTCTTCAACGTGTCCAGGATGATCTGGCGCGGCACAATCTCGCAGCCCGTGCCCGCCGCACCCGCCAGCGGCGCGTCCGGCCGCAGCACGTGCACGCTCGCCTGCAGCGCCGCCGAGAAGAACTCGTGCGTAAAGGCCCGCCCGACCAGGTCGTACCTGTGCGCCGGGTCCTCGTACCAGAAGTTGCGGTAGTGCATCAGCACCGCCAGCGAGCACTCGAGCGACGACCAGTACGACTCGGGGAACATGGTCGGCCCGTCCAGGTGCAGCGCAAACGGCCGGTGCAGCACCATCAGGCACCGCCGCAGATAGATATCCACCGTCGTCCGCTGCAGCTCGTTGGTGCACACTCGCTGCGCGTGCGCCATCAGCGCCCGGATCTGCGCGTTGTATCGGAGCACCTCCGGGTACGGGATCTGGTCGTTGCCCGAGTTGAGCTGCACCAGGATCGACAGCACCACCGGCAGCGACTCGGACAGGATCTGCTGCAGCCCGCTGTGCTCCCCGAGCTCCGGCATGCTCTTGAGCGAGCTCAGCTCATCTGGCCGCGTCAGCGGCGGCATCCCCGTCGGCAGCGACAGCTTGATGTCCAGGTACAGAATCGTCAGCCACAGCCGCCGCCGCGATGACCGCTCGGCCGCGTCCATGCCCTCCGAGCTGTCTTGCGGCAGCCCAAAGATGAAACACATGCGCACCAGCAGGCCCAGCAGCGACCAGCAAGAGTCGACGAACCAGCACGTCGGGTTGCACACCTGCTTGGCCACCACCATGAGACACGTGGCCTTCAAGGAGGCAAACGTCGGCCGGAACATGAACGGCGTCTGCATCAGACACGCCTCGGCGCCCATCATCAGCTCCGTCGCGATGCTCGGCTCCTCGTGGCTCGGCGTCGCAAACGCACCCAGCCCCATGACCATGAGCAGCTGGGCGAGCCAGCACAGGCTCACCGAGTTGGTGTCCTGCCAGTACGCCTCGAGCTCGCGCTGGAACACGGCCACGTCCAGGATCGGGTTGACGCAGTCCAGCAGGTTGATGTAGCGGTCAATGTACGTCTGGCACCGCGGCCGCTCGCTCTCCACCAGCTTGACCACCGCGTCGCGCGCATAGTACTTTGTGGCGCCCGGCGTGCCGAACGGGAAGTTGCCGGGCAGCGTGAAGTTGGCGAGACACGCGTTGGTCGCCACGTTCTCCAGCGCCGTCGTCAAAGTCGGCGACTCCTTTGTCGTTAGGTGGGCAATCTGCGCTTCGTTAGCTGGGGGTCTGTACTTGCATGGATATATGGATGCCCTCCATGTGGCCGGTCCGCTTGCTTCGTACCTTGGTCATGAGGTCCCGCCAGTGGCTCGATCCTCGCGGCTCGTGACTGACGTGCCATGTGGCCTGCGTCGACTTGGTGATCTCGCTGCCGGACGAGGGGTTGGGCACCGTAGGGCAGGGAAACTTGCCACCATTCGGTCCCTTGTTGTAGCTGTAGTAGCACTCGCGCCCGTTGCCGCTGCTCTTGCAACGGCCGCACGGCAGCTCCTTGTCGCATTTGACCTTGAGGCGATGGCATCGCAGGCAGCTGAGGCAATTGCGCTTGCGCTTCCTCACGACCCTCTGCCCGGCGTGGGCACCACCACCCGAGGAGGGTCCTGCGACAGTCGTCGAGTCGTCCGCGAGCGACGATGCGTCGACGGCCCCTGACAGCGAGTTAATGAGCAGCTTCTGCTCGCTCGTCTCCTCGACCGAGTCGGAGGGGGAGATCAGGCCATTCTTGCCATCCGGGTTATCCTCGTACTTGAGGACCGGGGACACGGACGAGCCGTTGGGGGCCGACGCAGAACTAACACCACCACTACCGGGATTCTCAAAGCTGCACCGCACGCCGGCCTGCACGCAACGGGAGCAGGACGGCTTGAGGAGATCGCAGCGGCGCTTAAAGTGTCGACAGCGGTCGCACGTCTTGACCTCGCGCATGTGCGGCATGGCGACAGCGGCGGTGGGGGGGCAGAGAGCGGCGCGCAGGGCTGGCTACCTAATCGATTCGTGCGCCCGGGCGCGTCGTGGAGGACGGACAATCGGTCGGTCGGTCGTTGGTGCTCGGGGGCACGGTGTTAAGCGTCGCACGGCTGCGGACACCCGTTGGTTTGGGTCGAGATGGAGTCCCTGTTGGCTTGGCCGTGATGTTGTCGTCCAGTCCTCGAGTTGGTCGAGTCGAGACTGTTGGTTCGAGGAACCCGACTTTTGATTCGTAAAGGTGACTGGAGCAGTACCGACTGTCCGTATCACGGGGGGGGCGGACGGGGCGGGTGGACGCCACGAGTCTGCTGGAGCCTATGGGTCAACACTTGACCCAGCCGACAACACTATCGTCTGTGACAGAGATTTTACAGCCGCCGCACCGTGCGTGGATGTTGTTGGGCTGGTGAAAAGGACGGGCAAGCCACTTCAGGTGGTCGACTAAGCATTGGAGAAGGGGGCGGCAGGGGGGGCGATAGCGATAGCGGAGAGCCCGTCGTCCAGATGCAGACGGAGCGAGATGAAGCAGGGCTGGGGAAGCAAAGAGGCTGCAGCTCTGACAACATGCAGCCGTATGACAGCGTCGCAATCGAGGCGAGGCGGGTTGCGGAGGGAGATCCGGCGGTTGGGTTGGGGGGAGAGACTGGCTCAGCAGCCCACTATGAGCAATACAAGGAGGTCGACTGGGAGGAATGTGATCCCCCTGGGTTGCTCCTGCTGCTGGTGAGCGTTTAGCCTGTTCGTGCGTTCGTCGGCTGCCTGGCTAGGCGCGCTCCACTCTGACTCGCCGCTGGGCTCCTATATGTGCAGGGCCACGGGCAGGATGAATCCTGCGGTCGGACGGCGAATCGGCAGCTATCCAGGCCCGTTGCAGAGGGCCAGGAAATCACTTACCTCGGTCGACAAAAGGTCAGCATTTGCTTACTCGCGTCCGCCGCAAAAGCACCTAGCAATTTGTGCTAGCAGTGTACGTACCACAATTCCATCAATTAGTGCTCACTGCTCACTGTCGCAGTTCCGGCGTAGTGGTGGTGGTGGTGGTGGAGCCCCGGGTACCCTAGCGCCCCGATTGTCCGTCCCCGGCCCTAATTGACGAAAGGAATCCTCACTGGAAGCCGCTGCAGCTGCTGCAGATGCGGATCCTTCCAGTGGATAATAGGGCGGACGGGATTCCTGCTGAAGATTCCAATCCCGCCGTCCAACCTCCACTCCAGCCTTCGCCTGTCGGCGTGATGGAGAAAACCCTACCGACTGGGACACGCAGACGTCGCAGAGGCGAATGTCTCGGCATCAGGAGGAACATGGCTAGCTCGATATCACCATGGCGCTGCCGATCCGGCAATCGACATGGCAGTTGCACAGCCGCCCCCATCCTCAATTCCTGATGGGACGCTGGAATTACGCACAGAAGAGGCTACGGTTGCCGCGACAGACAGAGCGAATACCCAATCCTGCCGAGGGCCGACACGATGCCATGCATTGAAAAAAGTCCATTGATCTGTGCTCTGCATCTCGAGCCTTTTTTCGACATTTCTCCGAATTGCAGGGTACGCATCGTCTCGCAGGCAGTACTTTTGTGTTCCGTTCGTGGCGGCCTCACTGGGCGGGAGCATGTCGATCCCCTCCTAGGCGCGCGAGTTGCTGTACAATCTTGGTATAGCACCGTGACCCTGTTGGCTGTCAATGGCGTCTGCACGAGCGGCAGACGTGCCCATTGGTCGCCGCGGCTGCTGGAGTCGTGATAGCGCTGTCAACTATAGACGCAATGGCCTCCATCCGGCCGAGTTTCCTGATGAGCCGCACAATACGTTACTTTGATGGGTGCCGTTTACGGTTCACATCTTGACTTCTCTTCCTCGACACGTGCATTGGCACTTACCTCGGCAAGCAGCGGTGGCTAATGGGCTGAAGTATGTATCCATAGGGACGGATCTATGGCCTGAGGACTGTCTTCCACATTGAATGGCCAGATATATGGCAAAAGATGTACCCCAGTCCGAAACTTCAACGGCAAATCCAAACTGACACATGAGGACGTCTCAAACACAGTGCCGTCACTGCCGTATATCCGGATGCTACTGTAGGTCTCTGACTATGGACAGCGGGATATAGTACATATGTAACTTACGCGCGTGTTCTGCCTGACAATATATCCTAAGTCTGCTGAACCTGCATTGAACCTAGAAGCCCGCGGGAGTCAGCGGTAGAGCTTGCTGGTCGATTATGGGCTTGCAAAGGGAAGTGAAGCCTGATGAGCTGTTTGTTCATGCCTGAATGTCACAATCGATATACTTCCATTGAGATGTGGTGTCTTCGTGAAAGTTTCTTGTCAAGACCTGAGGTCACTGGCGGCAATATCGCCATTCTGCGCACTCTCAGGGGCTCACGAAGACCCGTTTACTCTCTATGCTGAGCCCTTCGGCACACACAAGTCCACCTCGTTCAAGCTTTGAGCCGCCAAGTACTTTTAACTCGGTCTTTTCATGCTTGATCTTATTCAGTCTTCTCCCCATCTCAAATACGACGCCTCCATGAATCGTGGCTCACCTTGGGGTATATTGGAGCCTTCATGTTCTCATCAGCTACCGTGCCAGAGGTTTACACTTCTCCCTACGTCAAACCGAACTCGCCATTGTCACTGGCAGACTGAGCTCGAAGTCATCCACAAGCTCATGGAATAACTGCAATGTCCCCATAGCTTCATCCCTGTTGTCAGAGGACATTATTCACAGGGGAATTCGGCCATGAAGAGGCTCTTTTGCACTCCTGACTAGTGAACGAGGCCCTGTTGTGTTGCTGCAGATTTCGCTCTAGCTCTTCACCTGTACAAGATAATCAGGGCATCATAGTCAACTTGTACAATAGACACACCTGGCAAGGTGGCATGAAAGCACGAGTCATGATCAGAGTTCCCTACCTTTTGCCACGTTGTGAGGGACACTCCACGAAAAACAATGATAAATGCCACATGTACTTGCAATATTACATGGCGCGGGCCACTGAAGTCTGTCCCGCTGTAGCGCACTCATAAAAATAAAGGGGGTATCTCTGAAAGTCATCCTGTGCGCCTGCGTCCACTCACCCCAACCCCAGCACTCGTCCACCACGCGTCCCGATATAGATACCAGGCATCGCGACCGCCCTGTCCGGGAACGATGGCCTGCGATAGTACACGACGCGACACACCGGGCAGTCGAACCGCTCAATTAGGAACCAGCTCGCGAGGCATCGTGCGTGGAATGCATGACCGCAGCTGTTCAGGGTCAACACGTCGTCCACCACCTCCTCCGCGGCATCACCGTTGCATGTCGTCGGCGACACGGTCGTAGGCAATGCACCCTTGAAACTCAGTCTGCCCCGGCAGAACCTGACCCTCTTGCTTTGTCGACTCGCTGCGGCCGTGGTGAGTTCGTCGAGCGCGAGCCGTATGCTGCCACCATCTATGTGTGCCGGTTCGGGGACCAAGGGGCCGATGCAAATGGGACTTGACGTCGTCAGCTCATTTTCAAGAAGCTAGGGGAAGGAGTGTGTGGTCCAAAGGTGAGCCGTACCATTCTCCAAGGTCCAGCTGAGCAGCTGCGGCCTCGGTATCCTCTACAGGATGCGTCGAGCACGCGGTCACAGTACTTAACTTCCTCCGTGCACGTCCCAGCTGTTTTGGTCCAGGGTCGACTGCGCTCAAGGCACGATTCGATCGCCGGTAGGAAGAGATGGCGCCCGTTCTGTATAATACGTCATGTTTAACACAGCCCTATCGAGTGATGGCGGAGGCGTGTCTGCCACGGCCCGATTGAAAAGGTTCACTCTACTCACAGCGGCGCGATGATAAAAATAAGACAAAAAATAACAACGAGCACAATGCTCAGGTCCTCCATGATGAATTTCGACGAAACGTCTCGGTTCACGTAAGAATATAGCTGCGCCTCGGGTAGGCAAAGCGAAGCTTCCTTCAGTGGGGCAGGGCGCGATTCGCGACGGCACCGACAATAGATCGTGGCATCCCAGCCAACACGCCCTTGATGCTGGGAAATTGAAGAGGATGTGGTGCAGATTCCGACGCAAGGAGTTTGGAGATCGAGAAGGAGGCCAGCCACCGCGATAAAATTGATGCGTGGAAGAGGACTACGTGGGAGAGTTCAGTACCTTAGCTTGGAGTTGGGCTGCCGCTATCATGGTCGCACCACTTCCCCCACAATCGGCCACTAAAACTCGGTCACCTGGTCACACGGGATGCCTCCATTCAAGATTCGCCTATTGTTCAAACACACACGGTCGCTCGTCTATTGAGTATTATACCCTAGTTACTCGCGTCACCGCTGGCTGGCTGTGACAATTCACAGTGCTGACATCACATCATAGACACTACCACGACGGCGATCCCTTCACCGTACGTTGAAGTCAATGGCGACGTGCATTGGCCGGAAGGTGCGGGGATCCGTCGAGCTGCCGTGTCACAATGTGATACCGGATACATACGTGCGCAGCAGCTCGAGCTGATAGCTGGAGCGTGCGCTTCTGCTGCCGACAAGCAGTCCAGCGCCGGTCTCGATCATTCCAACGTCCTCTCGGCCGTCTGGTCGCCTTATCATTGGACCTGATCACCGAAAACGAGGAAATGGCGTGACGCAGTCGGCAGGGAGTCGTGGAGCTGGAGAACTGGGGTCACCATCTTCAGCTCACGCGGCCTCGATTGGGCGGGGAAGACCCCCCCTGGTTGCGTGGTCACTTGACTTGTTGGGCTCCGGCTGTTCAGCTTCTCCAACCCTCCACTGCCTCATGCTGCCAAAAGAGTTGAGTGACGAGTCTGGCACCTCTGACTAGGCCGGAACGGTCTGGACGAAGAGGTCAGCCGGCAGAACGACAGAAAGAGGAGACGCTGGAAAAATAAGCTTAATGCTGTTGCATTGTCCAAAACAGTTCAGGACCGTCTAGGACTGCTGGCATGTTAATTATGCGCTCATTCCCATGCGTCTCCACGTCCGCCAAGGCCCTGAGAGACTTCAACAGCTCCTCCCTTTGAGCGAAACTGCCACTTGCGCGGAGCATGAAGTGAGTCAATAAAGCCAACTAAGCGCCATCAGTGATGGAAACTCGTTTACTGGCCAGCACGCATTGGCAAGTGCCTATCGCTCGCCAGGCCGATGGTGAAGCAAACGAACGACCAGGGTATGGGCCTAAGAAATCGCTGTGGCCAGTCAGGAGGCGGCGCCAAGGGACCAGCCAGGCTGGGACACGTTCCGAGAAACACGGCACGCATGCTGCAATTCAAGCTTAAATCTCGCCGCCGCCGAGCCTCAATGGCGTGGATACGGAATACGGAGTACGACCACCATTGCCGGTCCATAAGGGCCGCGTTGGCGAGAGTTACCCGAGAGGAGCACCCTTGTCTGGATGTAATTGACAGCAAAAGGCTTTGAATGGTTACTTAGAGCCGACAGAGCCTACGAACAGGTGTTTCGGTCTTTACAAGTCGGTATTTGTCTTGTGCGTCTAAACACAACTTTCCCTGAACCAAGCAGGGCCCCCATCTTCCGCAACATTCTCTTCGACGTCCTTCCCTTTTCTTCTTCAGCCTCATGCACGCCGGACGGGTGGAACGCAATTTACCCCCATCCTCCGGTGCGAAGATAACCCCTTCGTTCGTACAGCCTGTACACGTAGATGGAGTGGTCTGTGCGTTGCTCCAGCACCTCTAGAACCAATAAGTGCCCCGTTTCCTTCGATCGTGCTTCCAAAAAGATTCCAACAGTCAGCTGACCCCTCTTTGCGTGTCGGTGAGCGGGGCGCATCGTCGTCATCACCTCAAGTTCAGGCTGCTCCGTTCGTGGGACTGGCAGTGATGCCCGTGACAGGCTGAACTGCTTTTTTGCCGCCTCTGCGTGGGGAAACTGGGCTGACTCCCCACGAGCGATCTGTCACCTCGTCGAGCATCCTGGTGTAGATCGTGGTCGATACGACGGTGGTCGGCTTGAGTCTTGACATGAACATGGGTTATACACTGAGAAGTTCCAACTACCTTGAGAAGCAGAGAAGCTATGGAGTCTGTTGTCCAGGTGAGATGGGTATTACGTGCGAGTCAGGCAAGTTGAGGCCATTACGCGGCTCCGCGCCTGAGCCAAGGACAAGGGTGGATCCGGTCCCCATATCCAATTCTCCGTCCGTGTCGTCGTTGACAGACTACTGCACAACAGACAGACTAATTATCCTCGACGTTTTAAGGTTATTGCCGGAACAACCGGCGATGTTGAGACATCGACCACAGGTCTGCTCATTGCAGCGGCCAAATTATGCCAGTGAAGGAGGGAGGGCGCTGGTCTACCGTCACTCTCATCTGCAGCCTATCTGTACCGTGACGTGCAATGACCTTGTAGGAAACCATATTGGATGCACAGCGACGTCGCTCATATGACTTGGTCGGCAACCTATTGCCAAACGACAAGTTATGCAAGTCTCGCACGGCTGAGCCGTGCTGCAGCTGTTGCACTCGAGCCCTGGGGTCTTGAACCCTTGCTATCCATGGGGGCTGCATACGATTCTTAGTCAATGTTTCCTATTAGCACGCTCATCCCCTCACTCTCCCGCGGAGCCCAAGCAGAAAAGGGTTGAGATCTCCCACGCTGATGAGTATGAAGCCACTGCCGCGCACGTCAAGCTGTCTTATCAGCTGGTGGGGCCCCTCGTTCTCCGCTGTGGAGGCTGCGCCAAAGGGATCGAACCGCGTGGTTAACCTTATTCGCCAATTGGCGCCCGAGGCGGACAATATTCCTTGGGTGACGACAGTCAGTCACAGAGCGTGGCGCGCCAAGGCTGCCTGCATCGCATTTTCGAAATGAGAGGGCAAGTCGGTGCACGGGTGGATCGATCATCCACACTGAGCTCTTGGGGCATCATCCTACAGTAGAATTAACAAGAGACGCAGACTGGAGAGCGCCCAGGCAGCCCCGCCTTTGAACCGCAGATGCGCTGGTGCGAAGTCGTACATACGAAATGATCATCGGTAGGGCAATGCTGATGATGGTTCGACCGAGGGGAGACGTACGACGCACGGATGATAGTTGACGGGTGCACCGGAATGGGGGGGGTGAGGGGCTCGGACGCCATCTGTCGATGCGAACTCTATCGGTGCAGCCCAGTCCGAGGCGAGGAAACGTCGAGGGGACCATCGTTGCTAGATGCTAATAGTCTAGCGTATTAACCGTAGTCGAGAAGAGATCTTCCGAACGTCCAGACGTTGCTTGACACCATCGGCTGCCCGTGACTTACACGGCGAGGACTGGAATGACGACATGGCATAAATAGGAACAGTTGCTCCATTGAGGCTCTGTGATCCGACGTTGAAAGAAACTTGGGCCCACGTATCTCGAGCGACTGGGTCCGGGGCGCCGCTAATCTGTCCCTGATCGGGACTCCAGGAGGCGCCGACACAAAAGCGGTCGGCTACAGCGTTGCAACCTGCCACACGGGATAGTCTGTCACCGGTACTCCAGTTGCTCGATCGTCTTCCCGTGGGAGGCTGCATGCGCCTGCAGTGACACGGACACGCACTGTTGTCAGACAGCGCGGAGCGACTCGACCAGGCAAGACACCACGCGCCCGAGGACTGAAGACTGGACCTTGAGCCGATGAGACAATCCCAGGACAGCATTTCACTTGGGCTTGCTTGGGGGGTTCGTCACTCAACAACAGAAACCGCACCAATGTGCAACTTGCTTAAAGACCCGTCGACAATGGCCTGATGACCATTTGACAGGGAGTATAGATATTTAGCAGGGTTTCGTGGTATGGCTCGCGATATTGTGGTGGGAGCCGAGCTATGAGGTCATTGTCGCTGGTGGTTGTGCATCCCAGCGCATGACAGCCAGTAGCCTCACTTTGATGAGCCGGGGGGAAGATAGATGGAATGAAGATTAACGGCCACGAGGATCACGAAGCCGAATGCTCCCTCTCGAATAGTTGTTCAATGGTACCCTTCATATCGGGAAGTCTGTCTCCCTTGAATTGGTAACGGGCAACACGCGTCGTCGACCTCGAGGACCTGGGAAGATCCGGCAAAAAAGGCGACAAAAACAGTTGACAGTGCAAGATGCGCCGGCAAGAAGACAAGGGTACGCCATGCTCCAAGAAGGATGGCATCGCTACCCACTTACACGACCAGGAAGACGCACTAAGCACGTTCTAAGGCTTGTCTAATGTACGGGGCCCCCCACCAACACCGGCTTCACCCAAGCCCACGCATCCATGTTCAAGAAGCAGAGGTGAGCCGAACACGGCAACTTAAATAAATGCCATGCATTCCAGGTACCAAAGTCTCTTTTACTCTCCTCTCCTCTTCCTCTTTCTCCTCTTCATTCTCTTTCTTCTTCTCTTCCTTCCCCAAGCAGAAGTCGTCATCTTCGCCTCTCCCCTCATCCGTCTTCGCCTTGTCCATTGGCTTGGAACAAGAGATCAACAACACATCCTTGAGGAGAGAGATCAACCAGAGAGACCTGTCACCTTCCCGTCGCCCAATCGAAACTCAAACCACCGAGAACGCGGGGAACAACGCCGTCCGTTCGAAACCGCCTATGTAGTTGCGTAAACTAGCAATCTGCGTTGGTTGGTAGTGCGTTTTAGTCGTTTTATCCTTCAATCGAAGCCGGGGATTTAGTTTCAACCTTTCTGCTGCCCCACCGTCAATTGCCTTTCCTGTCGCGCCGCACGTCCATGCGAGCTACGCAGTCTCGACGAAAGCCAATTCGCCATCATGGGAAAGAAGAATGGTGAAGACGAGGCCGTGGCCAACCACGTCTCGGGCCAGGCTAACACCCCCATGAGCAAGCCCGCGCACGCCCTCACCTTTGAGGAGGTCGCTAGCGAGCTCGGCGCTGACGTACAGAACGGTCTCACCAATGACGAGCACAAGACGCGCCTGGAGAAGTACGGGCGCAATGAGTTTGGTGAGACGCAGGGCGTGCAGCCAGTCCGCATCTTTGTCGGTCAGATTGCCAACGCCTTGACCATGGTACGTCCAGATTTTCCTTCTCAACGCAAACACCACAATCACCTTATCAATGAGTACTGCAATTGTCTGGATCGGCGAATGACATAATTGCTTGATCGCGTCGTGGCGCAATGCCTGGCGCGGGCTCCGCTCTCGGAGTGGAGTTGACAGTTGACCCTGGCAAGGCAGGAGGAACCTTAAATCCATGCTTAACAGGGGGCAGGAGCGACCGTTCAGCCGCTGATCTCACCCTTGCCTGCAACTTCACCTCACCAAGCCACAACACCACCATTTTTCACATACACGCTGAATTGCTGCCATCTGTCGAGCCGCTCGCTTACCATGCATTTTTCAGGTTCTCATTCTCGCTACTGGCGCCTCTTTCGGTATCAAGTCATGGATTGAAGGTGGTGTGCTTGTCGCCGTCATCGCCCTCAACATCTCCGTCGGCTTCGTGCAGGAATACAAGGCTGCCAAGACCATGGACTCCCTTCGCTCTCTGTCGTCTCCCACAGCCCAAGTGGTCCGCAGCGGCAATAACGAAACGGTTCCGACGGCCGAGATTGTTCCTGGCGACCTGGTCGAGCTTAAGACGGGCGACACGATCCCCGCTGACGTGCGTCTTATCGAGGCCGTTAACTTTGAGACCAACGAGGCCCTCCTCACCGGCGAGTCGCTACCTGTCCGAAAGGAAATTGCGAGCGTCTTCTCCGATGACACTGGCCCTGGCGATCGTCTTAATGTTGCCTATAGCTCTTCCACTGTCACCAAGGGCCGAGCCCGTGGTATTGTCTTCGCCACTGGTCTGTACACGGAAATCGGCCAAATTGCCGCTGCTCTGCGTGGTAAAAATTCGCGCCGTCGCGAGCCCAAGCGGCGCGAAGACGGCAGCACCTCTTTCGGTCGCTATGTCCAGGCTTGGACCCTGACTGGTAGTGATGCCGTCGGGCGGTTCCTTGGTGTCAACGTCGGCACACCCCTTCAACGCAAGCTGGCCAAGCTCGCTCTGCTGCTTCTCGGCACCGCTGTCATTTGCGCCATCATTGTCTTAGCTGCCAACGACTGGAAGTCTGACCAGCAAGTCGTCATCTACGCCGTCGCTACTGGTGTTTCTATGATCCCGGCTTCCCTCATCGTTGTTTTGACCATCACCATGTCGGCTGGCACCAAGCGCATGGTTGAGCGCCACGTCATTGTTCGTAACCTCAAGGCTCTCGAGGCTCTTGGTGGTGTCACTAGTACGTATCCTCCTCGCCTCTCCCTTCTGCTCCGCTGACAAGTATAGATATCTGCTCCGACAAGACCGGAACCTTGACCCAAGGCAAAATGATTGTCAAGAAGGCTTGGATTCCTGGTCGCGGCACCTACTCTGTCGGAACGACGAACGAACCCTTCAACCCTACTGAGGGTGACTTGGGCCTCAACCCCGAAGAGCCTCGCAACATTGACTTCACTTCCAAGGAAGCCGACGGTGAGGTCTTTGATGGTCACGAGCTTGTGAAGAAGGACACCACTCTCCGCGAATACCTCAACGTCGCCTCTCTCGCGAACTTGGCCTCGGTTACCCAGGTTAACAATGAATGGCACGCACGCGGCGACCCAACCGAGATTGCTATCCAGGTGTACGCGTCCCGCTTTGGCTGGAACCGCCTGGGTCTGTCCACCGGCGAGAACGCTCAGTGGAAGCAGGTTGCTGAATTCCCCTTTGACTCGGATGTCAAGAAAATGTCCGTCATCTTCAACGACAGCCACGCCAACAAGCAGCATGTCTTCACCAAGGGCGCCGTGGAGCGCGTTATCGGTTCTTGCCCCCGTTATCAGTGTGGCGACGAGATCATCGACTTCCCCGAGTCTGTGAGGGAGGAAGTCCTCAAGAACATGGTCGCCATGGCTTCGCTTGGTCTTCGTGTCCTTGCCCTTGCCTCCCGCACCGATTTCCGTCACGTCGACGACAACGAGGCCGAACTCGAGCGCAGCGAGTTTGAAGAGAACCTTGTATTTCGTGGTCTGGTTGGTCTCTATGACCCTCCCCGTCCCGAATCCGCCCCGTCTGTCCGCTCCTGCCACCAGGCTGGCATTGGTGTTCACATGCTCACGGGCGACCACCCTGAGACTGCTCGTGCCATCGCCCTCGAAGTCGGCATCCTGCCATCGCGTATCAACGAGATTGCTGCTGATGTGGCCAAGACCATGGTGATGGCTGCCTCCGACTTTGATAAGCTCACTGACGATGAGATTGACAAACTGCCTCTGTTGCCTCTTGTCATTGCTCGCTGCGCCCCCCAGACCAAGGTCCGTATGATTGAGGCTCTGCACAGACGCAAGGCCTTCGTCGCCATGACGGGTGATGGTGTGAATGATTCTCCCTCGCTCAAGCGTGCCGACGTCGGTATTGCCATGGGTCAAGCTGGATCCGACGTGGCCAAGGAGGCTTCCGATATTGTTCTCACAGACGACAACTTCGCCTCTATCCTCAACGCTGTGGAGGAGGGCCGCCGCATGTTTGATAACATTCAAAAGTTTGTCCTCCACGTGTTGGCGGAGAACCTTGGCCAGGCCCTCACCTTGCTCATCGGTCTCTTGTTCAAAGACAAAGACCAAATCTCCGTGTTCCCTATCTCGCCCGTCGAGATTATGTGGATCATCATGATTACTTCTGGTTTCCCTGACATGGGTCTTGGTTTCGAAGTCGCCGTGCCTGATATCATGGACAGGCCTCCCCAGAACGTAAGTTGCAAATAACTCCCCTGTCGAGAGTGTGCGGTGCTAACATCTCCCAGTTGAAACAAGGCGTCTTCACCCCCGAACTGCTGTGCGACATGGTTGTCTACGGCCTCTGGCTCGCTGCTCTGTGCCTGACGGCCTTCACCCTCGTTCTCTTTGGCTGGGGTGCCGGCAAAGCTGACATTGGCACCAACTGTAACGAACGGATCGAAAATGGTTGCGAGATTGTGTTCCGTGCGCGTGCCACAACATTCGCTGCACTTACCTGGTTCGCCTTGTTCTTGGCCTGGGAGATGGTGAACATGCGCCGCTCCTTCTTTCGCATGCAGCCTGGCAGCAAGAAGTATTTTACGCAGTGGTTCCACGATGTCTGGCGCAACCAGTTTCTCTTCTGGGCTATCATCGGTGGCATCGTCACCATGTTTCCTATCCTCTATATTCCTGGCCTTTCCGACTACGCCTTCAAGCACACCGGCATCGACTGGGAGTGGGGTATCGTGTTTGTGGAGTCGATTCTGTTCTTTATGGGTATTGAGGCCTGGAAGTTCGCCAAGCGTGTCTACTTCCGCCGCAAGGCCAAGCACGCCAGCAAAGGCGTCGACCTCGAGACGCGCACCTTTGGCCACTACTTCACCATCGGCCAGTCAAGTGAGAGTGGAAGCGCGGATGCCGAGAGCGATGCTGAGAAGGCTGCCCTCAAGCGGTCATCTCGCAGCGACAACATTGATGATGAGAAGAAGGCAACTGTCTGAGGCTCTTAATCTGAGATATGTGGTCTACATGACTTGCGTCGACTTTAGGCGTCGCCATTCCGCGCCGCTGCTGTATGTGATGAGGGAAAAAAGGGCTGCGACTTTCTTTCCTTCAACATCACATATTTTTTCCGTATACGTTTGTTTGCTATCGTCATTGCATATACGCTTGCATATACCGACCGCGAGGAAGGAAATAGGACATGATATTCCCGGAAGGATGACAACTGGAGAGAGGGATTGCGACGGGGAGGAGCGAAGATACCACATGTGCTTTGTGCGCGTATTGACACTCATATTGGAATTGGAGAATATTCCAGGGATTGAAGGACGAGGGGGCTTTGTAGTTTGTACGGCTCACAGAGTCATGCAGCAGCTGTTGTGGGTAATTTGTCGGTGCCGTATTGCGAATACCAACAGTATCCAAAACCTTTCAGTCCCAAGTTGTGAATATGTTTGACACTTACGTGAGGAGAGTTTGAACTAAGAGTGAGAGTAAGAGAGACTTACTGTACCTTACCTTAGAATTTCAGACTAGTATAGTAAAACAATAGACTTTACCTCCATTCTGTTTACTCTTGTATAATGTACTCCTACAAGGCAAGTAGCTTCATACTCTTCATAATAAACCAGCATGAAGCTGACCCTCTACAGTCATAGATCGCAACTAGGACACGCACAACTTCGAGAGCGAAGACCTTGACATGAGGGTGAAATATATTCACATCTGTGCCTACATCAACGAGCACAACGAAGGGAACCAGGAGGATCCCACCTACCAACCACTTGGCTACTTTCTTGGAAATTGGTATAGGTCAATAATTGATCGTTCTCGAAAGTCGAGTAAATCTTGAACAGTGCAAGGGGAAACTTGTTTCTCTACGAACTGAAAAGCACACGCTCTATGGACCGGATCTAACAACCCCTGCCCCAATGGCCAAAGTCTTGGCTCGGCTATTAATTATCTAAAGCTAAAAAAAAATAAAATTATTAGAACTAGAGTCAATAAAAAGAGTAAAAAATATGTATAATGAAACGAGGGCGCTAGGGAGCTATAAGTATAGGGGCACTTAGTACCCATATTAATCTCTTAATCTTTCTAGGAATATTACGGCTGCGAAGGTTTTCCCCCTTATACGGCCCTATACACGTAACTCCATCGGGGCTTCTTGTGCTATACCTCGCCATAGGGCTAGCGACCCCAGCCACCCTGACTCCTGATGCCTGCAACAACCTTAGCATGCAACACAGTCAGTCAGCCTGTGATCTCGCTTATGCAGCAGGGGTCAGTAGGGCGCTGCGCCGCTGCCCACTTTTTGAAGAGCAACGAGGCAGAGCCGTCATGTCGTATTCCCATCGAGGTTAATTCGCATGGCTGGGCTGCAGTCCTCTCCTGCTCATGGCCACGCTCCACAGTCTCGGAATGAAGCAGTGAACCAGCAAAGGACTGAAAAATGGTCGTTCGCGCCTCGATCTCCCGCAAAGCGATCGGCTCTATATCCCACGACCACAGCTCGCAGACAGGCCACAACTCCTTCGACCCTGAATCGGACGACATCAGTCTGCAGAACCTGGCCCGCGCCAGCCGGGGGCGCGAGCTCCCTTTGTATGATCCCCCCGAGAGGCACCGCGACAGACCACGCGCGGGCGACGACCACGACCACGACCACGAGGATGAGTCCTTTGTAGGGATCACTGCGGCTACTGCCACGCATAATCATACATCTGGATACACCTCACTTGCGCCCAATCTAGAGCCGGCGGCATCGAGCCACGATAAACGTGGTGCTCCGTCTTCGCCGCAATTGAGACCACGCCATGGGTTCCTCTTCCATGTCAAAGCGTGGTGGCAGGAGCTTGGCTGCTGTCTTCTGGCATTCGGGCTCTTTGGTGGTCTTGTCAGTCTGCTGCGCATGTACAGCGGCGAGTCTCCTCCCAGTCACCTCACCACCATGGTCGCCACCATCGCGACGATCTGCAGGGCTCTCACCGTGCTCCCCATCTCCGAGGGGTTATCGCAGCTCAAGTGGAACTCCTTCTCTCGGGCAGAGCGGCCACTTGCCGACCTCTACGCCTTTGACCAAGCGAGTCGCGGACCGATGGGCTCCCTGCAACTGCTGCTCACAACGCGCGGGAGGCACGTACAACAGCATCAACTTTCTATATGGGCACGCGAAGCTGACTTGTGCAAGACTGCTGGGCATCAACACGCTGGCCGCTGCGATCCTTCTTTCTGGCTTGGCAACGTCGCCTCTCACCCAAGCCGCCATCGCGCTCGAGCCGCCCGCCTACAAAGTGGTGCAAGGCGCCATCGCCAAGAGAGCCGTGGCGTCTGGGGTAGGTAACTCGACCACCATGGACATGCTCCGACAGATCGGACGGCAGACCATGTTGATGCCAGAACTAGACCGCCGTGACCGCATCATTGGACAACTGGAGCCGCAATGCCCTGCGGCCAGCTGTCAATGGGATCCCTTTGAGTCGCTCGCCGTGTGTGCCACCACGAGAAACATCTCAAGTGCGCTGCTGATCCAGACCATGGACCTCAAAGAGGCGCGCAGGGTCCTCCCGGGTCCATACCAGAAGCACGCCCCGCCTGGCGACGATTACTTTCCCAAACTGAGGAATATCACGTTGAGATCGACAAGTGATTACTGGTGGGGTGATTATTTTACGGTATACGATGCCAACTGGATTGGGGCGTGGACCCCCGTGAAGTACCTGGCATTGGACTCTGCGACGGATCTGTTGACCGAGCATGGAGGAACATACGTCGCCCGGCAACAGATCATGTACAAGGTCGACGAAAGGGACGATTTGGGATCGCCTGGTCCCCTCCCATCCGGCAGCACCGGAGCGTACGGCGCGTTCGAGGTGAACTGGCAATGGTGTCTTCGGAGGTACAATGTGACTGTCACGGACGCTGTCGCCCGCACGACCATGATGCGGGAGACCATCGACGTCCGGGAGTATGACACGGAGGAACTTAAAGCAACCCTGGTCGATGCGGAGGGAGAGGAACAGTTCACGTTCGATTTCGGCCCCATTGCGCTGTTCGAGTTTCGTTGGAATTGGACAACGGCAGACGACGTCCTCGGCGGACAACTGCTCCCGGACCTTTGGCCCCAGACCTTCAACGAATCTTCCAACGTTCAGCGTTTGGAAGAGTATGCGCACCGCAAGGTCATCGACCTGGCAGATGACATGGCCCTCGCCATGAGTAACTAGTAAGTATTCGCACCGACATGGGTTCTCATGCAGGCCCCCTGGACCATGGGATCTTTTGCCGCAGCCTTCGCCAGGTGGAGGAGAGCCCAGAGGGAAAGGTCAAAGGCCGTGCCAGCATTGGACTGATCGTCGTCGTCCGTTGGCCGTGGCTTTCCGTCCTGGCTGCACAGATTGTCCTCACAGCCGCTTTCCTGGGGTATGTGATGGTCGATGCCGCACGCACCGGCGTCACCATTGTCAAGAGCTCGAACATGGCGGAGCTCGTGGCCCTTGGGAAAGGAAAGGATGTCATAGGCCTCGATGCCGACAATGCACGCGGCCTCTTTGACGGGGGCACTACGCAAAAGGTGGACAAGAGCCTCCAGGCAAGCCTCGTCTACACTGGTTCTGGCTGGAACCTGCGCGTGCACCAAAAGGATTGCTCTGGCGAGAGAGGCTCCCGAGTCTGGGGCAGGGTCTTTGGGGGAGGAAGTCGAGGGCCCTAACGGGTTCAGATACGCCCTGCTCCTCCACCGCTTGTTTTCGATGGGAGATGGCTTCATGAAGTTACAGTCATCGGATAGGCTCGGGGTCCGGGCTCGCGTCTGTGATCATCTTGAGGTAGGCAGACTATCGAAAGAGCTTGAGAGACAAGGGACAAAAATGAACACGTAGGAGGTTCGATCGCTGTTAACATCGTTACCGTCACATGACATGAAGTCAGAACCCCTGAAAGAACTCGCGCCGTGCTGCCTACCCTACAGTTGCAACTCCACGCAGCCAATGTACATGTAGGCTACTCTTGTACCCCTTAAGCTCCGCGAAGCTTAGCCTCTGCAGAACAAAGATATAATTAAGACTTAAATAAGCCCTATATTACTAAGTATGCTAGGTAAATATTAATACAGATGTACTATCTCGTACGGACTAGGGTGTTTAGCTTTTCTGAGTAAATGCGGTAGTCCAGACGCCGGAGTTACCCCGCGTCTGACGGATTTTCTCCGTCACGTCATCAGGGAGTCGAAGACTCGGTGATCAGTCACCTTGACCACCTGCTCTTAACTCCTCCAACGCCAGTCGAGACTCGCTACACGTACTAAATACGCCATGGCGAGATAGAGTTGATATCAAACACTGCCATTTCCGCCGAGCAGCAATGTCCGATGACGAGACCGCACACTCGCAGGCATCGCGCCCATCACAGCCTCGCGGAAAGGAGCCGCGCCGCAGCCTCAGGCTTCGCCTTGCATGCGCGCGCTGTCAGCGCAGGAAAATTCGCGTAAGCTGAGATGGGGAACTCACGGACGAAATAGCTGACGCCCAGGAGTGCGACGGCAAGGTCCCGACATGCAACAATTGCCGAAAGGCTGCGGTCGACTGTGTCGATGGCGACAGCGTCCGCCTCGGAGATATCCCGCGAGCGTGGGTTCCCTTCCTTAGGCGCTCTATGTGCCTATTGAGAGAATAAATAAGCAAAGTACTCATACTGCGGCAGACAAATCAAGAGCCTACGGAATAGGGTCCAATGGCTCGAATCCATTATCAAAGCCCGTTGCCCAGACGTGGACCTATCGCAGGGGGGCGACGATCTCGACGTTGGTCATGAAATGACCGAGATGACCCCTGTTGCATCTGTGGAGGCATCGCGTTCCGAGCCTGAGCGTTCTCATGAGGTCGACGCGAACCCTAGGATCCGAGGGAGGGTGCAGGATGGGCTATCACATGAAATTGGTCTCGTGGCGCTCAAAGCTTCGCAGCACCCGCGGTATCTGGGACCTTCGAGTGGCTACTTCCTGGCACGGGTGATGTTGGCCACCAACCGTCCCGAGGAAGCAGGTTGGCGCTCCAAATTCGGAGCTGGAACAAGCCATGCGGAAAAGTCGATGCCCGTGGACCTTGTCGAGGCGCTTCAAGGGCCGTTACCGTTCCCACCGGCTGCGCAGGCCAGGCTACTGTGTGACCAGTACTTTGAAATTGTGCATCCCCAGTTTCCGATACTGCATGCGGCGACATTCAGGGACAGGCTGCCCCATGTATTGGAGAACCCTGACATGGACGACCAAGATACCTTTCAGGTCTTCATGGTCTTGGCGCTGGGCGCCATGGTTGCCTCACACCAGCGCCGCGTGCATCTTCCCGCTGAATCGTACTGCTTATCAGCTCTACGGCTGCTGGAGCGCATCCACGCGGAAAAGTCAGTCAAGGGACTGCAGTGTCTCCTGCTGCTGTTCGTGTTCACGATACACAGCTCGAGCATGAAACTCAGTGTGTGGCACCTCAACTATCAGTGCATTGCCGCCGTCATCGATCTTGGCCTGCAGAGGAACATTACTGCTGTCACAAACTCGGAAATGACGGGGCTGGAGCAGGAGATGCGGACCCGCATACTCTGGGTTGTGTTGATACTGGACAGGAGGGTTGCCACAATGATGGGGAGACCTATCGGCTTGAGAGATGAAGCGTGTGATCTACGAGTGAGTGTCTATCTTCGTCTTTGAACCGTAAAATCGGAGACTGACTGGTGTGATAGCTTCCTCAGACTTTGAGCGATGACTTTCCTGTGTCAGGGGGCGAGTCGTCTGGGCAAACAACGCCCTCTACGGCAGCCTTCTCGCTCCACCTGTTCAGACTCACCAAGCTCAACTCGGAGATCAAGTACGTCGCCATGAGTATCCGCCGCGATCCGCCATACTACGCGTTTCCACACGCCGCCGATCTGCAAGAGTGGCAGCGAAACACTTTTCGAAAACTCGACCAGTGGTTAGCGGACCTGCCACCGCAGAACTCGAGCAATGTGTATATCCACACCATCTGCCAGATCCAGGGTCAGAGCCTGAAGATGGTGCTTCTCCGACCGAGTCCGGCGATACCAGACCCGTCCAAGGACGCGCTACGCCAGTGTCACGAGGCAGCGGCGACAAACCTGCGCCTTTTTGGGATTTTGTACACGGACAATCTTCTGGTGCACGGCTGGGAGACATTCTACCACCTCGTCCTCAGCTGCATCACGCGGATCTACTGCATCAAGGCCGTGCCGGAGCTGGCGAGCGAGATGGACCCCCAGACCTTGCTCGCAGACATGGGGGACTGTTTGGGCATCCTCAGCGCCACGGGCGAGCACTGGCCCGGAGCCAAGCGATGCCGTGACATCCTACACGATCTCGTCCGCTCCCTGGTGCAGTGGCTGAGCGATCTCAACAGGACAGCGGGAACGCGGGCGCCAGACACAGCAGTGCCCCGGCAGCAACAAGCGTTGAGAAGTCTGCCTGCGGACACGGCATGGGACGGATCGCAGCTCATGCCGCAAATGGACAATGGCGGCGACATGGCCACAGCACCACCCGTGATGGCTGGTGCCGAAGCGCCTCTGCCGTTCTTTGGGCAGGACACGTTCGATCCGTTGGCGGGTGTGGGATTTGGCGACTTTATGCCCGATTCGCAGGCCATGGACAGCATGATACGGAGTTTGTTCGATGACTTTATACCAAACGGCGTGGAGGGGTTCCCCGATACTCTTGGGTAGCGACGGGATGAAAGCGTCGTTCCAATACGGCGGCCCCTTCCCGGCTTCCTACTTCCTCGGACATTCACCGTTTGTTGAATGCGTGACGGAGGAACTCCGCGTCCGCAGAGCATTTCCCCCTAGGAGTTTGCCTACAAGAAGGCATTGAGGGACTCTAGTTTAGACGCCAATCTGATCTACAAATCGCCCCAAGATGCTCGAACTCACTGGCAAGATAGCCCTAGTCATCGGCCTCGGCCAGTCTGGATCGGAAGGCTGGGGCATCGGCGCGGCCTGCGCCGTCACGCTGGCCAAGCAGGGCGCCGTCATCTTTGGCGGGAACCGCACAGTCGCCTCGGCCACCAAGACAAAAGAAACAATCGAGGCAGGCGGGGGCAAATGCAAGGTCGTCGCCATGGACGCCACGTCGTCCGCATCTGTCAAGGTAGCGGTGGATGCGTGCGTGGACGCGCACGGGCGCATCGACATTCTGGTGGCCAACGTGGGCTTCTCGCAGCCAGGCTGTGCCGCGACGATGCAGGAGGACGTGTGGGATGCGCAGATGGACGTCAACCTGAAGAGCGTGTACCTGGCGTGCCACCACGTGCTGCCGGTCATGGAGAGGCAAGGGGCCGGGTCGATTGTGTGCGTGTCCAGCATCGCGGGGCTGCGGTATATTGGCAAGCCACAGATTGCCTACAACACGGCCAAGGCAGCCATTCTGCAGTTTGTCAAGGCGACGGCTGTCGTCTACGCGGCCAGGGGTGTCCGGCTCAACGCTGTGGTGCCAGGCTTGATGGAGACGCCGTACACAAAGGTCTTGTCGGATAGGTTCCCTGTGGAGGGAGGGTACGAGGCGTTCAAGGCGATGCGGGATCAGCAGGTGCCCATGGGCAGGATGGGGGATGCTTGGGACGTGGCGAATGCGGTGGTCTTCCTGGCGTCGGATGAGGCACAGTACGTCACGGGGCAGAAGATTGTTGTGGACGGGGGGATCACGTCGTCTACGGGGCGTGTGTGAGCAGGTCTGAATCATCTATCTGGGCTATTGGTCTCTGGATCTCTCAATCTCTTTGTTTTGGGCTTGCCATCTTCTCTGCAACCAGTCCAGCGACATCTTGGTCGACTGCAAAATCGAATCTCGTCACATCCTCCTTGAAAGGCCACAGCCACGTGCTAGTCACCCTGCGGGAGGTCAGTTTCACTCGTCTATCGTTCAGTCACTTGAACTACCTCTCGTGCTCCTTGCTGGCCTGGTACGTTGTCAGCGCCGCCAGATCCTGATGCACGCTGACAAGGGCCATCTGGAAGCCCTTGCTCTTCTCGATAGGATCGGTGACAGAAGTCCCGCCGACGTACAACTGTCTGTTGAGGACGCAGGGCAGCTCACGCAGGGTCGAGAGTTCCCTTGCGAACGAGGCTCGATGCTCGTCCGAGACAGACGGCTTGAATTTGAAGAGGACTGCCATGTGTTAGGGAGGGTTGGTACGCAGCATAAGGTGAGCGGCGTACCAACGTGTATGACGGCCATGATGGGGGCTCGAGGCAAGAGAGAGATTGTGGTAAGTCTATGATTCGAGTGTAGTGAGCGATGATGATTTGAAGCAGATGGATGATCACCGACACATTAATATCAGCATGTCTGGTTGTGCTGCGGACGAACACCGCGCTCACGGAGTTTGTCCGTCTGAATAGGCGACGTGCCACAGGCCTCCGAGAGTCATGTGGGAACATTTCACTCTTTAATTGTTGCTTCCCTCTGACGAGCCAGAAGTCTACGTCTAGTCAGTCGGTCGGATGTGTCCGTCTGCTCTCAGTACCGCAACATTCGCGCGCAATCACGATTCACGACCCAGGTCTCAAGGCTTCACCAGCCCATGACCACTCAGCTATTGTTAGCTCTAGACTTCAGTCTAAATGCAAGAAGTACTCGATTCTCATATGCATGGCCAGCGAGCTTCTGCGTCTCATGTCACTTTCCACTCGACTCTGGGAAGCGGCTCTATAAAGGTCCTGGGTGTCGGAGGTCTAAATAGGCTCACAATTAGCCTCGAGAGCCAAGATTCCGCATGCATACAATACGGCATTTCATACACCCGCATGTTCTCGCCGGAAGTGTGTGTGTCCACGCCAAGCGCTCTCCGCATATCCCCCACATTCGAGTGAGACCCTCCTCCGCAACCCTACCTTCGACTGGAGAGGGTAATACGGCCCCTATTGCCCCGAGCGTGGTGGATGGCCATGGGATGAGAGTCACGAGTATTCTCTGCTGCTGGTGGCAGGCGAACAGACATGCGGCGTGCTTACCTGCGTCCTGTGGCGCGAGACAAACACCTCCCTGCTCACCTCACCGTTGATCGGTCGACCAGTGAGCGCCATGTCGTCCTCCACCAAGACGCAGACCCCTGCCAGATCTTCAACCACCTCACGCATGTTCTGCGGGGAAGCCATGTTCGATTCGTGGGAAAAGCCTCCCGGCAGCCCAGTCTCTCCGAAGTGGAAGTATAAAGGAGAGGGAGATATGCATATCTCGCCCTCAGACCCAGAGGCTCAGACACCTCATCACTCTGTTCTCCTTGGTGATCAGAGATAGTCGACAAGTTACAACAACAAAAGAAGCAAGTCCATCCCCGCCATGGCCATCATCGGGCACAAGGAGGAGTTCAGCGAGGACGCGGCGCGCCTCACGCAGATTGCGCAGGCCGACCCGATCCCCTGGTACAAGAAGCCCAACCTACGCTTCTGCTACCTGATCCTGGTGCCGTGCGGGCTGGGCGTCGAGTGGACGTCGGGCTTCGACTCGTCCATGATGAACAGCCTGCAGGGCGTGGAAGCGTGGGTCGAGTACTTTGACAACCCGACGTCGGCGCGCCTGGGCCTCCTCAACGCCATGTACTCGCTCGGAGCGCTCATGGCGATCCCCTTCATCCCCAGCATCTCCGCGCTGCTGGGCCGCCGCCGGACCATCATCTTCGGGTCGCTCATCATGGTGCTCGGGGCGGGTCTCCAGGCGGGCTCGCTCAACGCGGACATGTTCCTGGCGTCGCGGTGGACTCTGGGCTTTGGGATCCCGTTTGCCATTGTCAACGCGTCGTCGCTGCTGGGCGAGCTCGGGTACGAAAAGGAGCGGCACTTTTTGACGTCGCTCTTCAACGCGTCGTGGTTCGTGGGCGCCATCGCGGCGGCCGGCACGACGTACGGCACGTTCCAGATGACCTCGACCTGGTCCTGGCGCATCCCCTCGCTGCTGCAGCTCGTGCCCAGCGCGTTCCAGCTCGGCTTCATGTGGTGGTGCCCCGAGTCGCCGCGATGGCTGGTCAGCAAGGACCGCGGCGACGAGGCCCTGGCCATCCTCCAGCGTTTCCACGCCGAGGGTCCGGACGGGGACGAGTACGTGCGGACCGAGTTTGCCCAGATCCAGAGCACGCTTGCCACCGAGAGGGAGCTGGCCGCGCGCTTTGTGTGGATGGACGTCTTCCGCGACGCGCCCATGCGGCGACGCTTCCTGCTCGCCTGCGTCGTCGGCTTCTTCACGCAGTGGTCCGGCAACGGGCTACTGTCTATTTATATGAAGAAGATCCTCAACCTCGTCGGCATCACGGACCCGCTGACCGTCCAAAAGGTCATCCTGAGCAACACGTGCTGGGGCCTCATCAACGCCGTCCCCATCGCCCTTATCGCGCCACGCTTCCGCCGCCGCGTCATGTTCCTCACCTGCACCATTGGCACGGCCGCCGTCTACACCGTCTGGACGGTGGCCTCGGCTCGGTATGCCATGGACGAGACGGCGGCCGCGGCCGGCATCGCGGTTCTCGTCTTCATCTACCTCTACTCGCCCTTTTACAACCTCGGCTGGAACGCGCTGACATACACGTACATGGTCGAGATCTTCCCCTTTCAGCAGCGCGCCCAGGGCATCGCCGTCGAGCAGATGACGGTCCGCTTCGCCGTCTTCTTCAACACCTACGTCAACCCCATTGCGCTGGACGCCATTGGCTGGAAGTACTACATTGTCTACTGCGTCTGGATCCTCGTCGAGATTGCTACTGTATATCTGCTCTTCCCCGAGACAAAGGGCCGCAGCCTCGAGGAGCTGAGCTTTATGTTCGAGGACAAGGCCGTCCGCGACAGGGTCGACCACCAGGTGGGTAAAGTGCTGGGCAGCGAGCTGGCGGAGGTGGGAGAGCCACGGGGGAACACGGCCACGAGGAGGGCAGACTCGGCGGAGGTATCATGAAGGCAGGGGAATGAAGTAGGGAAATGGTTGCAAAAAGGGCTCATGGGAGCATATAGTCGAGCTATACCAAGTCGTGACAAGCAAGGACGGCATCACATTCATGATATAAATTGTGCAGGTCTATTCTGTGCCTCGCACATTTTCCTTGCAATCTATCTTGCACTCTACCAGGTTCATATGCCCCCCTACACCAGATAGCGGAACTCGCGCATATGCTGCCTCTTGGCCGCGACGGCACCGGCGTCCATCTCGATCTGGGCGGTCTGGACGGCGACGTCGTGCTTCGTCTCCCAGGGGTCAATCTCGCCGGCGGCAATCTTCTTGTTGAGGTCGACGAGGACGAGCTTAAAGGCGTAGCAGCCGGCAATGGTGACGCCAAACATGGCGAGAACAATACCGTAGCTCTTGCGGTAGCCATTCTCCTCCATCTTCCAGACGTAGGAGCCGGCGACGTTGCCGAGCTGAGAGAAGGCGTTGATCATGGCGATGGCGACAGCGCGCTTGGCGGGCGGGCGCGGGAAGGAGGACGAGATCCACGAGTAGAAGACGATGAAGCCGGCATAGGAGCCAGCCTGGAGGAAGAGGGCGACGTAGCGGGCGGCGACGTTGAGGGTGGACATGGAGATGACGAAGCCGACGATGCCCATGAGGATGGGGCCGACGACGTGCCAGAACTTCTCCTGGGTGCGGTCGGCGTGCCAGGCCCAGACGAGGGAGAAGAGGCAGGAGAAGAGCCAGGGGGGCGAGCTCATGAGGAGGGTGGGCACGTAGCCGAAGCCGAGCGTCTCGGTGAGGGAGGGGAAGAAGGCGTTGAAGGACAGGCCGATGACGTACGACGTAAAGGTCAGCATCATGAGGTAGATTTTCTTGTCGACGAGGGCCATGCGCAGGCCACCGAGGGCGCCCTGGTCGGCCGAGTCGGTGTCAGCCTCGCCTACATCCTCGGCCATGCGCAGCTGCGCGACGTGGCGCTCCTCTTCGGTGAAGCCGCGGGCGTTGTGGGGGAGGTCAGGCAAAATAAAGGCGGCGGAGATGGCAATGGCCATGGTGGCGCCACCCTCGATCCAAAAGAGCCAGCGCCAGGCGCGGTGGCCGAGGGTGCCGTCCATGTTGGAGAGGATGCCGGCGCCGACGAGGGCGGAGAAGGCGTTGGAGATGAGGTTGCCGCAGAAGAGGAGGGCGTTGCGGGTGGTCAGCTCGCGGCGGGTGTACCACTTGGAGAGGATGAGCAGGGCACCCGGCAAGAAGGCGGCCTCGACGAAGCCGAGGAAGAAGCGGGTGGCGACCATGCCGCCAAAGTTGTGGACGACGCCCGACAGGGTCGAGACGAGGCCCCAGAGCAGCATGGCGCAGGAGATGTACAGGCTGGGGCGCTCGATGCGGTTGATGAACATGTTGGACGGCACCTGCATGAGGATGTAGCCGACGTAGAGGATGCTCAGGCACGTGGCGTACTGGTTGTAGTCGAGGTTGAGGTCCTCCTGGAGGCCCTTGAGGCGCGCGGCCGCAATGTTGTTGCGGTCGAGGTAGTTCATGATGTAGATGAGGACAAACAGCGAGCACCGCGCGTCGAGCTTGCGCTTCAGGCTCTTCTCGACGGCCACGCGGCGCGCCGGGTCCATGGAGAAGGACGCCTGCTTCTGCTGGGCCACGTCGTCGTCGTGCTGGAGCTGGGCGGGGTCCTTGTCCAGCGAGCCATCGCGCTGGCCCGCGGTGGTGATGTTGTCGGCCATTCTGTCTGCTTGCTGGGCAGCTGGGGGCAAGTGGATGGGTGAAAGGGTTGAACTTGGACCTGATGGTGAAGACTCGGAACTTTAGAAGGAGGACAAACTGGCCATGCTATATACCTGGATGCCTCCCCGCTACTCCATCTTCATCCCCAGCTCTTCGTGACTTCGTCCCTCCCCCTCGTCACGGCGTGGGGGTTCAAGCACTAGACACGGCTAGGCGAGGCCTAGGACATGGAGAGGAGGGGATTCCCACTCGAGACTGGAGAAGAGAGGTGCGATCGCGTCTCCATGATTGGCGGGTCAGGAGTCTCCACGAACCGGCGGGCGAGCTAGACAAGGTGAGAATGCGGAGAACAGGTCGGTTGTTGGGGTCGGCGATATCCTCTGATGCAAAATTTCAACATCTGGTCGTTCGTCTTTGTCTGTGCTCTCTGTCTGCTGTCCAGGTTGGGAAGGATGCCGACAGCCGTGCTGACACAGACGGTCACTGCTCAATTGGTCGTGAAATAGATGATGAGGCACACGGTAGGCGAGCCAAGCAGTCAAAGAGGTGTCTGGATGACTGCGCCAAGGACAAGAGCCGACGGGGACTGGAGAGTCAGTCTGCGGCACTTGAGAGCCATTTTGCGACCAGAGTCCTCCAGTCTAGTGAGCTGCCAAGCGGGCTAGTACCTCACGGTTGCGTATACGCGACTCGCGAGCCAGGCAACCGTCAAAGCAGCTCGTGATGGACGGCATCAATTGGCTGGGCGGCGGACTCTCCGCTGCCATGTCATGCCACCTCCCGAGCGGCCCCCACGCTCAAGCCGCGAGCCTCAAGGAGGAGACCCACAGGACGCGGAGATACTTGGAGTCGGTCGGTCGGTCGAGCTGTGAATATGAGTGTCATGGGGAAGATGATGCTGCTTCTGTCTTCCTCGTGGTTTTGGACGCGGCTGAAGCAGACCGTCAGGCTGTCAAGGCCACTAAGCATCCGGATGGTTGCCCTTGAGACCAGAAAAGAAAAAAAGTAGAAAAGGGCCAGAATGAAGCCAAGGGGACGTGGATGGGCCTCCCCTCGGATCCGACCCCAGCCAGAAGAATCTTATTCTTCCCCCAAACAAAACCCCAACCTTGACCTCCTTGTGGCTGCTCCTCCACTTTGGCGCGTGCTTCATTTGACACGCATTACATAACCCGCCGGATTATGGCCGAGCGTGCCAGCCATCATGGCCAGACAGACCTGGCTGATGAAAATATTCTCTCGAGTCTTCCATTGCAAGTCTGGCGGAAGCACCCGGATAGCCCGTCAGTGCATACCGCAGCTGCAAGCACAGGAAGCCTGGAAACATGAAGCCAGGATGACTCGCTCATAGAACTCGGGGTACTGCAACCCCACGGTCATCAACCCCCTGCGACCAACCACCCCTCGGGTCCGAAGAGCCGCATGAGCACATGCCATGACCAAGGTGTCATGGATGATATCTATTCACTCCCGATTGATCAAAAGGCCATGATGGCATACCGAAAGACGCCTGTGTTGCTTCTCTGCTTGTTTCTGTGACATTGAGCCGTGGCTGCGCATCAGCCCTCCTGATTCGAACTGCGTGTAGCTGACTTGGCATGGTGCGCGTGAGGGTGACGGTGGCCAGAGTGGTCGTGACCAGCATGATCATGGCCATGATCATGCTCATGCTCGTCATCATCAAACCCAGGCCAGTCAGGGAATCCGTCTTCGAAAATATCAAGCAAAGCATTCTCCTTGGCCTCCTCATCCAGAGAAGAATCCCTCATAATCCCTTTCCAGGTCTCATACTCCTCGACCGTCAGGAGACAGACATCCAGGAGCGCCCTGATCCCATCATGGTTCAGCTTTTCACCGATAAACACAATCTCCTGACGACCATCGCCCAATTCTCCCCCTTTCTCAATATCCCATTGTACTAATCTGTCCACCTGCCGATCGCCCGTGAGATACTGCTCTGGGTCCAGCGTACAGAACCATGGTCGCCCGCAGGCCAGTGTGAGCATCGATCCGGCAGAGGACCATTCGCCCGCCTGGTTTGGCCGCGTGGCGAGGAGAAACTCGCCTTTGGAGCAATAGAGGGACCCTAGAATGGGGTGGTTGCGCTTAGTGTCCAGGATGGCTTGGTGTGGTGGTGTCTCGAAATCTTTGGTCCAGTCTGGCTTCTTCAAGACAACATTTTCCTCTGAAGACTGCTCATTTTCGTGCACATCCATGCCTTGGTTCTGTGACTCTTTGTCTTGCTCCTGCTCGTCATCAGGGTATTCCATCCGCAGGATGAACTTGTCATAGAGAAGCGTGAAAAGGCGCTTGGGGTGGAAAGGCCGATACTTTGTATAGACCAGGCTCTGTACTTGGTACCCCTTGGACTTGGAATTCGTCGTGGCAACGTTCCCGCCCTCGACCTAATGAGAAGCTTTGATCAGATTGGGAGCAGAGTAGAGTGTGCATGGAAATGGAGAACTGACTTCTTCCACAGTCATAGCTTTCAGATCCTGCAGCCATCCATAGCCAGTCATCGCTACCTCGGGGTCGAACAGAGAGGTGTTCAGAATCTCATGCAAGTCGACTTTCCCGAAAGATGATTCCAAGATTTTCGCTCGGTGGTTGAGCTGTTTGATAAGTTTTGTAGTGCGGGACTTTGTCTCCTCGTCGACCTGCAAAACGCGGACATTCCATCAGCACGTACGTGGCAGCGTGTGTACCAAGAGAAGGCATCGCGCAGCTTACCGTATCGATCTTGTTCAGCAGAATCACGTCTGCAAACTCGATTTGATCAATCATCAATTCAGACACAGTACGCTCATCATTGGGCTCGACATTGGCCTGTCGTTGCGAGACAAGCTCATCCGTGTGGAATTCTCGGGTGATGTTGAGCGTCAGCCACTCGCTTCTGACCACAAACGGAGTTGGAAAGGGTATCTACATGTCTTGTAGAGTCTCCAGCGTTATTTCGTCGATTCCCTCACCCGATCCCGCTAGCTGCTCAATGTTGCGCGAGTCGAAAGAGGCGGCGACTTCCTCCGGCTCCGTGATGCCGCTGCTTTCGATGACAATGTAGTCGAAATTTTGGAGCTTCCATAGGTCGAAGATCTCATCAAGCAAATCTCCACGAAGAGTGCAGCAAATAAACCCATTCTGCAGGGCAGTGACCTTTTCTTGGGTCTTGTTAAGACGATATGTTTGTGTGATGGTGGCAGCGTCGATATTGACCCTAGATACGGGAGATGGAGTCAGACAGTCTGCTAGACTAAAATCGGGGCGCAGTATGCGAGAGACTGGAATGCCTCACCCTGGCATGTCATTGACTATCACAGCGATGCGAAGCCCATGGTCACTCTTGAGGATATGCTGCAGCAGCGTGGTCTCGCCTGCACCCTGCAGGTCCCTTGATTAGCAACGAATATTGTTCTCTCTGCATAGCATTGCTATCCTATGAGGTAGGTAGATAGCTTTTTAGTGCGGAGCCAGCAGCACCTTGAGGGATAGCCTTTCAGGATCTCGCTGCTTTTCCTCAGAAAGCAGCGCAGCACGCCCTTGATGAATGTGTGGTACAACTACACAACAACATCAGAGAGCCGCTTATTGATCACTCTCAACCATCAGTAGTGCCATTGACGAAGAAGTTTATCATGGCACTCATCTTCTCTCTCACAACACCGCTCGGCATGGCGATCGGGATTGGAGTTCTGCAGAGTTTCAACGGCAACGACCCCACGACGATTATTGTAATTGGAAGTTTTGATGCTGTGTCGGCTGGTATTCTTATCTGGATTGGTGTGGCGGAGATGTTGGCTTCGGATTGGATTTATGATGGACCCATGGGTAACGCGGGTCTACTCCAGACGTGCGTTGCGTTGTTCGGCTTGGTTGCTGGTATGGCTCTCATGAGCTTCCTAGGAAGATGGGCCTAGTATGTTAGATGCATGTCGCGGAATTGATGGTCACAGGCATCGGATGGTTAGGAGAGTCGTGTGGCGCGAGTGAGACGCGGCTGTGACGCGGACAGGCCCTGGCTAGATCACTATAGCCGGCATGTCACGTTCGAAGAATCTCAGTCACAGAAGTGAACGACATACGGAGCATAGACGACGCAATGGCCTAGGCAGGCTGTATACCCCAGCTACCTAACTCCCCAGCCCAGTGCTACCCACACTATGACTCTTTAATCGACGAGGTAATATCTCGCAGTGGGGATTTGAGTCGTCCGTGCAGGGCGGGCGCCGAGACGAATCATAGGACGCGGCAAGGACGCGAAACGGAGACGGTCCGGGAGGTATCGTGTGGGTCCCGGCTCCCGGGGGCCGTGAACGGTGGGGCCGGGGCCGGAAGATGAGGCGCGTGGCCCGAAAGGGCGGGCGAAAAGGGACGATAATCACGTGACATAGAGAAGAGATAGGTAGGTCTCCTTTCAGCGGTTTGACTCTGGGAGAGCGGACGGAGTCCCGTATTTTCCACTGGGTATGGACGTATGTGACAGACGAAGCCATCAACAGCCTTTGTAACCATGCGCACGACCCGTGACCAAAAGATACAGTCATGGAGAGCAATTAAGTTATCGGCTCCAGTGCCCTACGCTGATTCAGCTTCAAGCTTCGCGCGCTTTCAAATCTGCAGCATACGCGTCTGGCAGGAATGGAGGTGCGTGCAGGTCCTCGTGCCTCACCTGACTGGTACAGGGTAACTATTGATAAGCTATGACATCCGGCTGTGACACTCCGGTCCTTAGGACCTCTAACCTCCTCGCTAAGAAGCTCAAGACAAAGGACGAGGAGGAGACTATAGCTTAGTAATATTTATGCTGCGTCTAAACGGCTGCGTACAGATAGCAGCGTGTGAATAACTGCTCAACAAGCTGCGTATGGCGAGTTGCGTACGATGAGTTATATACGAGTGGTTTACTGCAAATCCTACGCAGCATGTGGTACGCAGCATACCTAATGTCGCGACAACAAAGCAACCTCTGCTTCTCCAGAGACATATTGAGCTCGCAAGCGGCTACTCCACCTACAACAGACACCAACTCTGCCTAGGCTAGAAGCAAGTCTTGACATCGTGTATTCAGACTAAACAAAGTTATGCTAGAAGGTTGAAGGGGTTGAGAACCCCCCCAGACTCGCTGGGGAAAACTTCTCTTAAGTTTGAAAGATAACAATCGTCCTGCCGCTGCCATCCCTGGCATGGCCCCCCCGAGTATAGTCGCAAAGACACTCGGTCGCCGTAGTCGGAGCCCAAGACCGGACTTTACTCGACGGCCTTCATGCCTCGCGCTGGCTGCAGCCTGTAGCCCTGCACGATGGCGTCGAACTCCTCCTGGCCGTGCTCCGCGATGTAGGCCTCCTGCTCCTGCCTAGCGCTCTTCTCGAGCTCGGCGATCTTGGCGGCATTGTCGCTCCTCTTCTGGGCGGGGCTCTGCGGCAGGTCCCTGCGGAACAGCTTGTAGTGGTCGTCGCAGTAGGAGCGGAAGTCGCACAGGTTACAGGAGCCGCAACCCCAGTTGTCGTTGAGGCAGCTCTCGTACTCGCTGCAGTTGAGGATGCAGCCGCCACTGGCGCTCCACGCGCAGCAGTAGGAGTTGTAGTCGGTGTTGATGAGATCGAGCTGCTTGTCATAGCTGTGGTCTAGATTGCGAATGCACGTTAGCGGGCAGGGAGGGGGTAGGCGGAAGAGCACAGGGAAGCTCCTTTCACAAGAGACGCCCACTTACATCTGTTCCAGATATGGCCCTTCTTGGAGTTGTTAGTGATGCAAGCCTTGTAGATGTCTGTCGCAGAAGGAATCATGAGTCAGTCTTCGTCTCTTTGTGTAAGCAGCGAGAATCTCTCTAAGCACAATACGGCATATCTTATTCCCAGATGCCGTGCAGAGAGGACGAGGGCGTGACAGTCTCACCATCTTCGTTGCACATGTAGTCCTCGTTATCAATAGCGAAGGGTGCGTCGCAAGTCTCCATCGTCCAGACCTCGGTCTCGCCCTCACCCTCGGGCTTGTCCCAGAGCTGCAGAATGCATGCGGAGGGCGCGAGAGGCTTGTTGTGGATGTACGCGTGAAGAGAAAGACAAGCCTGGGCCTTGCCGGCGAGACCGACGGCCGCCACGAGTGCTGGAAAGAAGCGCATTTTCGCTGCGAGGTTCGATCTTAGGACTTGAGAGTGCGAGTTGAAGGGACTTGGAAGGAGGTTGAGGAGGTGACTGTGTGATGGCAGAGAATGGTGGTTTCTGGTCTAGCTGATGGTGGCGGCGGCTTGTCTTTTATGCTCGTCTGTACGCCGCAACTCTGGTCGACTTCATTGACTCTGGTTCACCGACCTCTCTACAGTACGTACGCCAAGATGCTGGGATTCTGTGGTTAAGCTGGTTGTGAAACCACCGAGTCTCCATTCTTGATCTTTGATTGCTTTGAGCAAAGGACAGCCGTCAGTTATCACTATAGTGTTGACCTGCACTCGCCTCCATCCGGGGTCCGACCTATGCAACTGCTCGGTTGAACGTCATAAAGCTCTTTTGCCCAGACTCTACCCTACATACACCTGGAGAATATAGGTGTAATTAGCTTGGATAAATACAGAAGGTCTTGCGTCCACGCATTTTGATTTGTCTAGATAGCTGTGGCACACTCTTGGCTACGAATCCTTTTGAATCCTTCGGCAAGCCTAGCCAGAACGGTCCTGTAGGTAGATGCAGATGACGCGCGCTACCAAATAACGGTGACATGCCAAGCACTGCATAGCTAGCACCCTCGTGTAGGTAGAAAGACGAAAATAGGCATAAGAGGCGATGAAGCCCCCTGAGCAGCAGGGGCCGACAGCGCATCGACGATTCAAGTTAACGAAACGTTGCAGCAACGGTTTGCCACGAGTAGTTTGCTCAGGTTGCATACAGAGCATACGGACTAGGGTAAGCATAAGTATCAAGCTTATAGATACTAGCTTAGCTGTCAGCACACTGCACTTGGGTAGCTGTTGCTATTGCATGGAGTGAAACCAGCAACCAAGGTTATACTAGTAATTCGATAGGGCTATATCGTAGAGCAAAAATACAGCAAAAACATACAACAGCCGGTATTCGCTGGTCGTCACCGACCCAACTACTAATCAGCCTTTCAGCGGTACTCTTTGCTATGGGGACGATAGCTTGTAAAGTAGAACATAATGCCTCCGACTATGCCTTGTCAGCTCTCCCCCAGCCACATTGCGTGCAGTCTGACCACCTATGCGCCAGGAGGGCGAGTAACCATGCCTAAAGATTGAGGGTGGAGTCTGGACCGTGCGGTGATTAGTCGCTTTTGACATGGCTATGTGCAGGGCATCTGTAGTTGTTTCGGGGACTAGGCTCACCGTGTCCGCGACTCCGTGTGGCGGAGGCCCCTATCCATGTCCCTGTCGCTGTTGGAGAGGTGGTTTTCAGGGCGCCACCATGAGGCCGCTCATTGGCTCATGGCCAAGCTCTTGAGCCTGCATCGAGGGATGGAGGCGGAAGTTGGTGCATCTGCAACTGCCTCTCTCCTGCAACAGCCCGTGGCCAGGCGCTGCTGCAGGCTGCCAAAATGGAGGAGAGTGAGCGCCAGGACCAGAACATGAAACCAGGAACACAGATAAAGACTCGTCGTGTCTTGTCAGGCTCAAGATGTGATCTTCATCTTCCCATCACCACCACCGTCCTGCGCACGCCCCCGACATGGATGTTCTGCAAGTGACTGACCAGTCCGAGCCTACGACCAACCAGCGCCTCTCAATCATCTATGCGCCTGTCCCGTCCGAGCCTACAACCGACCAGCTCCTCCAGTCAACCATCTATGCGCCATGGCAATATATGCAGATAATGCTTCACGACGAAGCAGACAGCTCTGGCGAGGCCTTTATCAAGTTTTTGTTCATCTCGTGTGGGGGCCCAACGTGTTACCTCAACTGCACCGATGCCAGTACTATATTCGGGGACTGGCGGGCAACATGGAATTGCCTGACCCTCGCGACGGTCTCGCAGACGAGGCGGAACGTGTCAGACAGTGCCGACAAAGAGTTAATGGCTAGCATCGACGAGGAAATATACGACCTGTACGGCGTCAATATGACAAGCTTTGATGGCACGTCCGTCCTAGAAGACCTGTACGACTGCGCCCAGGCTAGTTGCCGGAATGAGGGTGATAGCTGCGACCTTGCCTTCCCTAGTATCCAGGAAGCCCTAGAAGACTCATTCTTTTCGTGGCCTCTGTATATGGGAAATTACTTTTGCCTTGGCGCCAGGGCCGAGGCGAACCCTGATATTGCAGGGCCAGGGGTGAGTGAGTGATAAGAGACTCGAGGTCTCGCCTCAGCGTGAGCAGGCTGAATGGACACATGCGCTGACTGAGGCCTTGGGGATCCCCTAGATCTACGTGGCCCTCATGTCACAAAACGCCATAGCTTTCTATGCCTGCCTCGTCAGCCTCTGCATCTGTTCCAGGGCCATCATCGCGCGTCTCACCAGCTCATATCCTCGGTTAGACAAGTCCTTGCTACGCCTCGAAAAGACTAACTTTTCGCACGCCACGTTCTCCTTTGCCGCCGACTTTAGCGAGGCCCAGAGCTTCTTCGTTATCACTATCGCTATCGCCATCATCTACGGCGACAATCAGGACGCCAGTTTCAACGGGGCACACAACTGGCTCTCGGTTAACCTAAACCGGCATAATGCCTTCTCCCTGTCGTGGTATACCCCTATCCCGATCACTATCACCCAGGTGGTCCTCGGTCTGACAGCCATGGACTCCATCTACAGCCTCGTTCTCTCCACCACGGCCATGGTCCTCGCCGTCGTGGCCAGCGTACTTACGCAAAGTCAGCCCGATGTGTCGCGGGTCCGCGATATGTTGACTAAAGATAAGACTATTGTCCGCTTCCCCGAGTGCGGCAACAATCCGTCGCTGAGGGCGTTTTGCGGCACGAATGGAAACGATGGACCCTCCATCGGCGAGATTGACCCTCCCGGACTCCCTCTTGTGTGGCCGTGGCTTGTACTGCTGGGCTTCCTGTGGTACTTCAAGTTGCGCCATCGTCTCCGTTCGATGGCACGGCTGCAGCTTCAACACTTACAGCAGAGAGCACAGGGGAGCACTGCTAAGACGAGGACACTCCTTTTCTTGGGTAGGATGGTATGGCTCTTTGAAGCCTTCTTGATACGATTTGCACTGCCTGTGACCCTGTTGATCCTTTTATTCATGACGATAACTGTTCTCGCGTCTATTCAAAGGGATATTAAAGATTCGTCTTCATCGGGGTCTAACCTATCGTGGACTCTCGGGCAGGTCGTTGCCTTGCTCGTATGGGTGCCCGTCCTTTCAAAGTACTTCTACACCTTGATATGTGAGTGTCCGCTGTCTTTCAGGCTCTTACCTTCACTTGTGTCTAATCCCAAGCATGCTAATGATCTTTGGTAATTTCTAGTCGGCGTGGAGAATGGTTTCCAGATCAGGCTCTCCAAGTCGTACACCGTTCGTAAAGATGTGGAGAGATATGTAGCGGTCGATACCACGAGGGACCCTTCTAGTGGAGGCTTGGAACTCTCCTGATGCTGTTAGCTGTTCTCTATCGACAGCGCCTCAGGAGCCTATATTAGCTACCGCATGCTTGCCTATCACGCATCGAGAACACTTAACGTATTATAGGCCAGCCTAGTCTCCGAATCAAAGCCTTACACCTGTTTCAATAAATCCCATGCCTTAAAATCACCAGCGCATCGACAAAATACCGTGGAGCTACCCCTATCGTTATGCAATAATAGAGTCGAGACTCGCATGTCTATACAGCCATGTCATTACTCTTAAGCGTCCCCTTAGTAGCTTACTTATAGGAGAGCGGATAGGATCCCGTATTCTCTACTAGGTACAGTTATATGTGATAGTCGAGGCTATCATTAGTCACTATAACTATATACATGGCTCACGGCTAAAAGATAGATGACTCTGGACATTCTGGGCATTTCCTATCCCGGAGTTGAACCGACATCAATGGCATCGCTGCCTCGTAGTTCAAGTTATAGGCTTTCTCCGATCCTATCTCCACTTTCGGGGCTCCGAGTCCGAGTCCGGGGCGCTTTGACCCCCGCCGATACCGCTCCCCGCCTCTGCACCGTTTTTGGGTGGAGACGCGCGCCCGCTGTCGAGGATGCCGACTGTTTTTAATTTTATGCTCCGTCTTCTCGTTACGGACTACTCGGGCAACATCTCTGCGGCAGATGGGAAGATGGCCAGAGAGATTGTGTCAAAACTCCAGTCCCTTTAGGGGAAGCTGTAAAATGGATTCCCTCTGACCTCACAGCCCAGCATGTGTGTTGGCAAACGTAAAGCCCACTTGATGTGATTTGTCACTGAAGTAGATGCAACCTGTACCGCCCACTTAGACCTGAGATGGTTGAAGATGGTCTAGGCAGCTAGAGGGACTCTAAGTATCTCATACGCCGTCTTAACCGTCTTAATAAACGCTGCCGGGGAAGGATGCTCTGCACTCAGCATTCTGTTCATGGCATATGCGATGGTAAGTTTCCTGTCCCGGTCCATCACCACAATCGAACCGCCCCATCCGCTACCCCAGCCAACACTGCCCTCTGGCAGCTTGCCTTCGACAATTCCCGATCCAGGCCCGGTGAGGTATATCTCCAGTCCGCGCCTCCCGGGACGCCCTGTGACCACATCCACCCCGCTCGCATGCTCCGTGAGTGCCAGCTCCACGGTCTCCGTCGACAGCAGGCGATGACCATCTTCTGCACATGTGCCGCCAAGCGAGAAGCAGGAGAGGATCTTGACCAAGGCCCTCGCGTTCGTGTGGCCGTTGACCGAGCCCAAAACGCTAGACCTCCAGAGCGCACTATTGGCGTCCTCAGCGCGGAGTAGGGGGTTACACAACGTGCGCATGGTGATCGAGTCTGGCTCACATCCCATCTGCTCAAGTGCCTCCTGGATGGAAGGTCCCGGTGGAGGCACGACGGGGGCCACTCGGTTCCCGTCCTCCTTTCGACATCCAAGCTGAAAGTCCGTCCCGGTGCCTAGTGGCCGGCAAATCTCCTTTGTCACAAACTCGTCAATGGACATGCCCGTCTTCCTTCGCACCAGCTCACCGACGAGGAACCCTTGCGACACGCCATGGTATCCCATCGCGGCCCCGGGCGCCCATAGCGTTGCCTGACGCGCCAGCTTGTCCGTCGCCCCTTTGGCGTCGCACAAGTCCTCCAGCGTCATATCGTCCTGCCACGCACTGAGGCCCGCTGTGTGGGCTAGCACTTGGCCAACCGTAATGTCCGACTTTTCGTTGGCCGCAAACTCAGGCCAATGATGGGCCACCTTGTCGTCGGGACCGAGCAGGCCACGTGAAATCAGCATAAGAGCCGCCAGGTTGGTGACGAGTTTCGTTGTCGAGAAGACGTTGACAATGGTGTCCTTTTCCCAGGGCTTCTCGGTCGATGGGTCGGCGCAGCCCCCCCATATGTCCACTACGTTTTCGTCGCCATTAATGTTCACGCACAGACTGGCCCCTATATCTTGCCCGGACGCGATGAACTGTTGCATCAAGTCGCGAAGCTTGGAGAACCGGGGGTCACAGTGACCAAAGATCTGAGTCATTGTGGTAGATAGTACAGGAATGGAGATTAGCTACCTCGTGCATGTATGGAAGAGACCAGCCGAGGTTGTTTGTATTCCGAATTTATTTATAGTAGGGAGGGGCCGAAGGGGCGGGGGTTCACCGTTTATCGGAGTGGCCTCACGTGACGACCACACGGAAGGTTGATTATGAGGATTCTTAAGCACGTATGTCAGCGGGCTATAAGGATGGACACCCTCGCGGATGATGCCGGGTTAGGTATCAAGACATTTGTTGGAAAAAGACGGGCCGCCCGAACTGAGCCTGTGTCAAAGCGATCCTCTGCACAAGTCAGCTGGGACCGTCCAGGGCACGTATTTGTCACATCTGAACACCTCGAATTGTGCAGGCGATATGACAACTTGAACCTTGGGACCTTTGCCACAACCAATACATTGATATGCCACGTATGCTGCTCAGGTTCCCACAGCGGACGACCTGTCAGAGAAGAGGTTTGTCCATGGGGAAAGACCAAGCAAGAGCAGATATGTCAACCCTCTCTCCGCCACTCCAGGGCTTTGTACAGGGCACGTAATGTTTTCTTATACGTTTCGCCCCGAACACGAGTTGATCGTTGGAGGCAATCTTCCATCAAGGCAAGGGATTCTTTCCGCCTCCCAAGGTCTCGCTATGTGCAAGCGAGATGGCACATGGACGAAAGCGTATCGCAGTGGTCGAAGCCAAACATCGCCTGGAAACCCTGAATTACCGGAACCTGTAATTCCTCGGCGTCTTCTAATTGATCCTGTTTCCAACACGTTAACGCTACCTGATCTATGATCGACAGCGTGTAGGAATGGTTGAGCCCGTGCTCGGCCCGATAAACCTGCAGCACTTCATTCCCTAGACTCTCGGTCTCTTCAAGTCGAAACAAATACAAGTAGACGAGCGCCAGTCGACCCATACTAGCTAGTGTCTCGGGGTGTTCAGCCCCGAGCTTCGCCCGACAATCCTGCAGTACTTCCATCGCCAGCCACTTGGCGTCTTCGAGTTGACCCTGTACCAAGTATGACATTGGTAGACTAGACTTGGTACTTAGTGTGAGGGGATGATGGGCTCCATACGTCCCCGTGTACAGCATAATTTCTTCTACCATGAGCTTCCCACCCTCTTTGAATCGATCTTGTTGGTGATGTGCAGCTGCTAGGAAACTGGTATAGGCTGGTAAGTTAGGATTCTTGTTCTGCAAGACTCTCTGCCCTGGTGTGATTGCCCGTTATGAGCATAAACACGGACATGAGAGTGAGGAGCTTACTCTGGTTACTCAGATCGGGTGCTGTTGCTACCTCGTGAGCCGCCAAGTTTTCGACATGAGGCAGTAGCTGTTGACAGTCGCTCTCGGTTTCAGGGTTTGTCAGGGGAAAGTGTTCGGCCGCTAGTTGCAAGAAGAGACTGCTCCAGCGATGCTGCTCTCCCAACGTCGCGACCCATGCGCGTGTACAGAACTGCACGAGAGAGTGCATCTGGTAAAGCCCGGCGGCAACCGGGGAAACAAGTGAGTGACCGTAGAGCATATCCAGGTCGTCTTCCCTATGGATTGCTTTACTTTCCGCGTCGTCTGGGGCAGACGAGTCGTCGCCCTGGCCCTGGCCTGTCAATTGATGGACGCGACTATAGCCATGCAGCATGCGCTCGGGAATGTTCTGCGGCTGGAACTGGCTCATCAGCGCCAGTAGATTTGTGGCTGTGGCAGATTCCTTTTGGAGTTGTGCAAACGTCACCTGCCAGGTGATAAGAACAGAGTTCGACACGCCGTCGTACCGCCCATGGTCGCCCTTGCTGGTCTGTAAAAGATTCTTCCTGCAATCTGGCTCTGGTAAAACTGTTTGAGGTAGAATTCGACGGTGATGCGCCGGCGATGGATGTAGGCGGCGGCCTGGGAGATGGCCAGTGGTATGCAGTCTAGAGCGTCGACGAGCTCGAGCTCGAGCCCTCTTTTGCAGACTTGCTCGTCTGTGGCTGTGTGCCAAGCCGGTTCTGAAGGAGACGATGCGCCTGCTCTCGGTCCATTGTTGGTATCTTATAGATGTACTTGCAACCGTGTCCTGTGAGCTTCTCTGCGGCGTCCAGACTGCGGGCTGCGATAAGAAGTTTTCCATGGTCGCAACGCTTAAGTCTACGATAACTTATTGTACTTAGATCACAAACCGACTTCAGTCTGTCTACCTAGTAGCTAGTCTGACCCGAACGTCACATTCTCGTAGATGCTCGGACGGAGCAGTCTCGAGACGGCTATAATTAGTGAAAAATAGTGGAGTGCTGAAGTACCGCGAAAATTAAAGCTGCCACACCTGTTTGCTTACTATGTTCACCCTTGTAGCGCCTAGTCCCACTTCTCTAAAATACATATATCTTCACGCCTAACTTTCGAAACTACTCTTAGCTTAATTTAGTTCCCTAATTTCTATTATATATATAAAAGAAGCCTCTTATTACTCTAGTATTATCTTCTCTAACCTATTCTTATTATGCCTATCTATCGGTTTCTAATCGCTAGCCTTAATATTCGCTATAATCTATCCTAGGTAACGTATTTAGTAAGGTTACTCGCTTTACTATACCTGCGATACTACTTAATAAAACTAATAATTTTCCTCTCTACTTTTATTACTAATATAATATTATATTAATTAGTAATATTATTAAAGAGTAATACTCTTCTAGGCGCAGGGTAAGTGAATCGCAATAATCCGGGAACCCTTTAGGGTAGGCATAGTAATAGGTAAAGAACTTAGTAAATAAATAACTTAATTAGGAACTATCTAGTAGTAAATAAAGGCCTATATTTAAAGGCGTGAGGGCGCTATAATACCTTATAAAAGAGTGGGTTAAACCGAACTTAGTAGAAGGTTATAGAAAGTTTAATTTATAATAGCGAGTATAGTAATACTAGCCTTCGAATATTATAGAAAGCAATAAAAGCACTATATTTATAAGCGCTATAGACCCCTATAATAAGTCCTAAATAAATCCCTATAAGGGTTCTATAAGAGGGCCTTATAAGGTACTTAATTAAGGGATTAGTCCCTTATTATTACGGTTCTACCCGTTACTAGCGGCTAAGTACGAGACCTAGCCCGGTCGACCTAGATATGTAACGCGTGCCCGCGGAGATATATAGACTTTATAGAGTCTTTATAAGAAAGGGGGACTATAAATCCCCCCTTCCTTCTCTTTTCCTACCTTATTATTAAATAAACTTAATTTAAGTTATTAAGTTATTCTAACTAGGCCTAGCCTATAATATATTTAATAATTAATCTAACGACGTAGTATATTTATATAGTACGAGCTACGATATCCGACGAATAGAATTTCGAAGTACCTTTATAAGTAACTATATAAATCGCCGAATAATTAAATACCTCGCTTCGACCGATATAAGAGTAAATCGCCGCGCTCTCGTAATTTATCTATAGTAACTTTATAACGCTAGCCTTTTCCTAAGCCCCTAAATAAGATATACTTAAGCACTTTATACCCGTCCTTTTTATTATTATTAATATAGCGCTTAATAAGGCTCCTTAAGCTAATATCCCGGCCGAGGTATTTCTTAAGCGAAAGCCCGGCGGTTATTTTATAAAAAAGCTATTAATAAACCCCGCGAAATTCTTAAGTAATATTAAAGACTATAATTTATAGAAAGCCTAGATAAAAGATAAGCTCGAGTTAGATTAAGATTACTTCGATTTATAGTAAGAACGCTAATACTTTATTAATAATTACCTAAATATTAATATATAATATATCGTATAGGCTTACTATAAGGTAAGGGAATAAGCTAACTAAGACCCCTATATATTCTTAGCCTACCTCGATCGATATTACGCCGACCCGAACTAAGGCGTATATACTATAGAAACCCTACGGAACCTTAAGTAAAGTAAGATATAGTCCTTCGCGGCTTTCTTACTTAAGTTCGAGCGTATTTTAGCTAAGGCTAGAGGTAGCCTCTAGACTAATAACGCCCGCCTTATATTCCTATCGGGTGCGATTAATTAGCGACTCTATAATATACTTATTCTTATAAACCTCCTTAATGACTATAGCGAGTAAGTTACGAGGGTATAAAGCGTAGCTTAAAAGCTCGAAAGCGCCGATAGGGGCTCGAAGATATAATTCCTTTATAAGAGGGTTATATTAAAGATTAACCGCGCGTATACTACTCGTAATAATAATAGCGATATTATTACGACCCAGCATGCGACCGCATGCGCCTCTCACGTGCACCCCACTTTTTCCTCCAATCATACCACCACGCATGAAGTATGGCTCGCGACCTCACCGTGAGCCTACGCTCCAATATCAACGCATGGCTCACTAGATCACGACGCTCCCGTGAGCCCTCACTTTCACAAACTAGTATATAGGAAGCTACGCTTCACCATAGTCAGTCTTTACCTAGCTCCTTAGCTATTAATACAATTATCTACGCAAGATCCACTATCTCGCATATAGACTATGACCCGACCGCTTAAGTTAACGATATCCTAGTATACTTAGTTTAAACCCGACTTCTATTCTATCTACCCGGTAGCTAGTCTAGACCCGAACGTCATATATTGATAGCTCTTATTCAGTGCACTACCGTGTCAAGTACTTAAGCAATACGATACTATAGCCGATATAGAGAATAACAATGTTAGGGACCTTAGCGAGACGATTAAGCCCAAGTTACCTAGACCGTTCGATAGCAACCTAGGATAACTAAACGGGTTCTTAACTTAGCTTAAGATGTACTATCGACTATTCCTTACTAAGCTCGCCGATAACATAGATAAGATCCTTTACGCAGGAATATGTCTCACCGGCACGGCCTTGGCGTGGTTCGAACCACGCATAAGGGATTTCATAGAGACTGCGGCCAACCTCTAAGACGACGAAACTCAAGCTATATTCGCAAGCTTCGAAGGTTTCGAGAACACTATCAAGGACGTCTTCGGGAATATAGATAAGAACCGGGTTAATATTAAGACCTTACGAACCCTAAAGTAAACGGGATCTGCTACGGACTACGTATTAAAGTTTCGATAACTATCCAGCAGACTCGGATAGGACGACGAACCCCTTATAACCTACTTCTTCAATAGTCTAAAGTTAGAGGTCTAGGAGTAACTCTACGATAAAGACATACCTAAGTCCCTCACGGAGTATATCACGAACGCAATCAGGATCGATAACCGACTATACCTAAAGCGCAAAATATTAGGAAAAGGGAGGAATATAAATCAATCGTACCTAAACTTTAGAAACAATAGCAACGGGGGACGTCGCTACTAGCCAAACCAAGGACGCCCCCGATAGCAGAATATAGTATAGGCATATACGACAAACCCAGGACCCATAGACCTAGACGCCATATAACGATAACTCGCCGCGATAGACAATAACAAGAAAAACTTAACCTACTACAACTACGGCAAGCCAGGTTATTAGAAGCGCGAATGCCGCTCACTAAAGAAGGGGCGAGGCTAGGGCTGGAGACTAGTACCTAAAGGTAAGCCGAAGTAACTAAATATAACTAGGTCCGGCTACGATACGAAGTACCCAAGCTAGTCTGAGGTGCTATGCCCTAACTAAGCAGCTAACACGGAAAAAATACTAAAGAAGGTCAACAAGCAACCCATAAACTAACTAGTGGCGCACGAAGCCCTATACTAGTTAGGATACTATGATAACAACTGCTATACCTATAAAGGCGGTAAGGAAGAATCGGGATGGTTTCTAAAAGCCCCGAAGGCAAGGACCCTTACTATTATATAGAAAATCACCATAACCCCTGAGGATAGCGATAATTCGGGAAGCGATATAACCAATACCCTGGACTACGAAGAAGAACTACTACAGAAGAAAAGGATACTCGAGACTAACCTGCTGCACGGACGAGCAACCCCACGAGAATGGATAAAAGCAGCGATAGATCGATACGACCCCCTGCCGCAAGGAGAAGACCTCTAGATAGTTATCCCCGCTTAGACACTAGACGGAGGAATTAACTAGGTAATAGACCGAAGAATAGTCTTAGGAGACGACCCACGTATACACCTAGATACGCTAAAATACTGCGAACTCTCATGGATCTCTTATATATACCACTTTTACAGAATATATATACCTAACAAAAGAAGGCATTAAGTCTACCTAATTAGGGGACTAGCCACCCGCGTTATTAACGACCTATACGAAAAGCATAAAGCGAAGTTCTACGAATATATACACGTAGAACCTAGCATAGGATATATGATACTAAGGTAGTTAGCAAAATGCCCCGAAGCATGCGCACGAGACTAGAAAACGTGGCGCGGATATTAGTTAGTGGACTATCCACGACACGCTAAGGCAAAGGTGTTCGATTAGCACAGAACCAGGGAATAAAAGGAGACAGAAGAGCTCCGGCGATACGAGAATACCGCAAAGGCATTGCTCGGTATTAAGATAGTTAAGAGCAAGGAATACGCCTTAAGCTACGGATAAGGGTGCAAGGGATACGAGAAGCACCCTAACGGCATAAGATTACCGTTCGACCTTACCGAACAAGCGGATCGAGACTATATTAGTAAAGGAAAGACAAACCACGAAAGATATACTAGAGCGAAGGAAACGCTATACCTACGACATAGGATCGAGGCACGAGAATACCTTATTCCGCAGGGAAAAGCATACACGCAGTGTATTACACACAGGCATTTCGAAGGATACACACTAGACTACGGAGTCTACTGCTACGGGTGTATATATTACCTATACGAAGAAGAAGGAAAACGATATCCCTCGATATACCTAGAGTCGTACGATAGTAGCTACGTATACGACCCTAAGGACAATAATATCGATATAGAATACTACCCGTTAAAAAACTATTAACGTCGCCTATAGAAAGGGCATAGGACGACGAAGGAAACCCAAAGACCCTCTGCTCCGTGGAGATAGACGGAGGACAAAAAACGGTTTTAGAAGTCTAGATTAATAGATATTGCTTACGAATACTATTAGATAGTGGGGTAATAGGTAACTATATCTCACTAGCAGTAGTTAACCGACATATACTGCCATAGAATTATAAGACTCGGGTATATAAGCTTTTTAATATTAAAGGATAAAGTTTCGATTACAATAGTAGAACCATCGACCGCGAGACCGATTATCTCGACGCAACGATACAAGGACACTATAAGATAATCGTCTTCGATATTATAGACTT